GATGTTGTTTAGTTTAAAATATCATATCAAAATGAAAAAATCACATTGAATGCAAGGAGACTAGTTCGACGTTCAATGCTAGAAGCGCTAGGATTTTTGAGTGTATAAAAACAAAGAATGATCTTGAGAACGGGTATCCATCTTTTCTTCTGTGAAAGCATATTATAAGCGACACTGTACACATTTTTTCTTTCAAATGGGATAAAGCATTATTTCAATTTAGTTTTATTCGTTTCATTTGTTCATACCCCGACTTTGAAATCCCTTATATGAAGATTTCAAACCCAAAAAAATAAAAAATTCATAAAATCAAGCAAATCTTGATCTCGTATCCACATTATCAAAGAAACAAAACACAGGGTAACAAGTGTTGATTAATAAACATTCAATATTCAATGGTTGCGAACTTACTAAAAGGAATGTTTTAATCTGGAATTGTTAAAGCTTAGAAATGTTAAAAAACAAATTTCTCGAACTTTATTTTCCCATGAAACAAACATAAGCAGAATTATATCTACATTAAAATCTCTGCAAAAAATATTCATTTTGATTATGCCGACCTGTAAAGATAAGGTGCTCCAAATAAATCATTCACCTGTAGTCAACTACAACTTATAAATTTTTTTTTATGAATTATAAACATTATCATCATGATAAAAATATTAAAAAAAATGTAATTGATAAATCATCATCTTATTAACTATTTCATAAATCATCTTACAAAATATTCCATGAATTATATAAATTTTATTAAAAATCTAACAATTACATATTGTTGACACTAATTAAAGCAAAGAATACAAAAATCTTATCAAATGTGACCTAGTATTTTGCAGGCAATCTTAAGCAAAAAACGATAGATCCAATGAATAGGAAACAAATATCCAAAACAATCTTCCGGAAGATTTAGTAGGATGACACAACATTTCTTTGTGACATTTTTGAGTTTGAAGCGCTTCACTGCTTTTACACAATTCGGAATTGTTTTTACGTCGGCCAAACAAGATGTAGGATTAGGTAATAACCCGTTCTCTGATTGAGGTGCTAGTGCAGACGATGGAGGACCGGCAATATCATTTCTTTTCTCATTACTCTTTGTTTGTATAGATATTGATAGTACTACTATCAAAGCTAACACGATCGTAGCCCACATTCTTTGCATGATTCGATTGTTGTTTAGTGTGTGTATAACTTTGTGCTTATCTCAAAAATAAAAAAATTGTCAATTTGTATTTATAATTCTTTTATGTTTTTTTTTTTTGGGTAAGAAATCAAATATTGTTTATTCATTACATTTAGTACATGCATATAATATATGTTCCTTTTTCATATATATATCTTACCTTTCTAAGAAAGAGTGAAAGAAATCTTTGACAAAAAAGTAGTTAAATTTTTTGAAATTTATACAAATCTGCTTACTCAAATATTTAATACTAGATCCTGACCCGCACATACGTGCGGGATTTCATATTTTAAAAAATATTTTCTAATAAATTTAATTCAATATAGATTATTTTGTTGTTTTATATGTATATATATATATATACACATATTTAGATAAGACAATGAGAGAAAGTAGTGTCGTCCCGTCTCATTGCCTATCTTAAAAATTTTCGTCACATAACTGTTCCCTTTAAAATAATTACCAATATGAAAATGTTTAATTTAGTTCAACAGAGAAGAGAATGGGTAAGAGTCTAAGAGATTTAGATGGAATACCCGTATTTTCTGTATTTTTCCTTTCGGGATTTAATTTTTACAAAATAAATAGAATCTATTCAATTTTTTTGTTAAACATTCTCTAATTGTTTAAAATGCTGGTGCGGATTATATTTGAACACTTATTTATTTGGTATAATATTCATAATTTGACAATCCCACGAAAGAAATTTTCTAATTCATATTCATAGAACACTACATAAAAACCTTATTCATCCGCGGTCTATAAAAAATGTTTTGTTTTCTCTAGTTGAAAAAAGCTTCATGGTTGTAAAGACTCAAACACAGAAAATAATAAAAACATCAAATACTAATCCAACTATTATTCTATTTGTTTTAATGATCTCTTTTCAAACTGTAGTAACATGATATTTTATGTTTGGATTATCTATTAATAAGTTCAAACATCGACATATGAACTATTTTTATCACTTTTTTAGTATTTCATTTGTGTATGTCAAACGTACGTATAACTTAATTATTTACGACTTACATTTGGAATAGTGGGCTAATGAATATTTGTGAGTCTAATTTTATATATTTATAGGGAAAGATGAGGTTAATGTGAAAAATTAGGTTTACCTACTTTGAATTTTTAAAAATAATTCAATATCTTAATTGATTATTTATTATTATTTCAAATTTTAAGTCAAATCTCTTGTTTAAATATTCTTGTTTAAATATTTTATATCTTTGAAATTAATGACAACATATTCATATTTTCTTTTATTATTATTATTTCTATCATCAATATATTGGTTTAAAGATATATTAAGAAATCAATTTTAGTATTAAAATCATATTAATAGAATATAGAATATGACTTTTGTTAAATTTCAAATCATTATTTAATTTTAAACAATGCTCTTAAAGAATTTTGAAAATAACGAATCCAATAATATATTTTTCCTAAATTAATTCAATTAATTCAAACTAATTAAATCAGTTTGAATTAATTATCTTGCCGATTAAATTTAACTTCCAATATTTTCTCAAACTATTAGTAACTTATGTTTTCCCTAAATCCTGATTTTTAGGCAATAGATTAGATTTTCGGATTTTATATATTTTAAGGTCATATATATAGTTTCTGTTATTTATTTGTAGTAAGATTTGGAAAAATTGAGATTTGGAAAGATTGAAAACTTTTAGTGATATTTATTAGGTAATTTTATGGTATGATTTGCATAGTTTATTTTATATGAATTCTAATAATATAGGATTTTATATAAAAATTATTATTGGATTCATATATAAATAATTTTTGATTTTTTAACCATGAGAATTCGTAATTTCTATGAATGGTTGTTTCTTTAATGATAATAAATTAATGATTGGATATGAGTTTTTATGGTTGCAAAATCTTGGAATTATTATAATTGTTATTAATGTCACTAATATGATTGCTATTTTTTTTTCTTTTTTTCAAATTAAAAAAATCTCAATGGCATCATATGTAATATTTTACCTTTTATAAGGTTATTTAATTTTGAGTGATTCCCAATTAATAGTATAGATACGGGAAGTCAATTCTTTTTCATTAACTACAAGTCTACAATAACTAATCTTAATAACACACAAATATTATTATTCAATCCTAACTATATCTTAACTAAATAACCTTTCATTTACTACATGGATTAATTCATTCATTATAAAAATGAAAAAAAAAACTAGAATAATATTTTCATCTTAGAATTAAATTTTTTTTATTTGATTTCATCTATAAGTTAAACAGTTCAATATATTTTCTTAACTTACCATTTATCACATTTCATATATCAGAGAATGTAATGTGAAAAAGTAAAGATTGTGCACAATTTTGTGACACCACATTTCATATTTTCTTTTTGAGAAATTCCTTAAAAATACACCAATTATTTAGGTATTCCAGTAAAATGCATAAACGATTTGGATGCCAAAGAAAATACATGAACTAATTTTTCCGTTAATTATTATACAATTTTTTAAAAATTACTCATATAAAACCCAGATGAAAAGTAACATATTTAAATAAAATAGAATAAAAATTAATCCGAGAAAACGAAATTAAAATCTTACCATCTTCAGAAATTCTTAAATAACTCTATGAGATTCTTAAAGTATCTCTTTAATATTCTTAAACAATTCTCAAAAAGTTTACAATATTAATTAAGTTAAAATTCTTTTAAAAATTAATGAAAAACATCTAGAATTTTCTCTAAAAATTCAAGAAATTTTCTTTCAAATTCATTTTTTGTTGTCAACAAAAAATAAAATGTCAATATTTTCATGTAAAATTTAATAATTTGGAAATAAGATATATAAATTGACATACATCAAATTGTGTAAATTGATTCTATTTTTAGTAAACCCAAGAAACGCTATAACCCCATTTATAGATGTTTATAAGCTCTTGCAATTGTTTTCTTAACTTTTTCAAATCAATAATTAAACTAATAACTTGGCACGTACGTAAACCATCCAATATAATCCAGATTTTTTTTGTTTTGTTTCTTTAGTTTTGATTTCAATTCTCCAATATATTTGTGTGTTTTGATATACGTTGAAGTTATATACAAATTATTTAAATATAAGAAAACAGTCACTTCATATTCTTCATGAACCTGATAAAAAAGTCTTTCTAGACATTTTTATGAAGATCAACATTTCATCATTTTATCAAGATCAACATCTCATCTTGATACAATGATAGAGAATTTGTTTAATACATCTCTTACTTAATTATAATTGATAGATGATTTTGTTTCCATGTATTTCACCAAGGAACCTAGGATAAGATATCTCCATCATTGTAGATAGAAATTACGAGGGATAAAGAAGAGCATAATTAGTCGGTTCAATGGTACAAAAAATTGATGAGAAACCTGCGAATCAATTTGAGGCGGATACATAGACAAATCAGAGACCAACCAATTCATGTTTTTTCTTATAAATATATGCCTTGTACGAGTTCAACCCTAGTTTTTAGAAAGCATAATAATAAGTTTATTTTCACACCATTTGTTCTATGTATACATCATTAATACCATATTTAATCCTTTTATATAAAAAAAGTAGTCATATTGCATCCAAAAGTTTCGATAAAAATAATTTATTATTATTAATAATAAGGATAATATGGGCCACATGTCATTGAGTCAACAATGATAATATGGATCATAGGTCATTGAGTTGTACATGGACTTAAGTAGGCTACACATACATAGTTGTTGCATGTCAAGCTTTAAAACTAACATCGTATAGCCATAGTTGTTGGATCAAAAACAATTTTGGAGAAATAACAAAAGATTGTATTTTATAAATGACAAAAAATGATGTAAATATTGTATCCGAATAATATAGTACAAATTATCGACATCGATCGGTTGAAGCGAATGATACAGAAAATTTATTTAATGTAACCTAGTGCTTTGCAGACAACCGTCAGGATAGTATGATAGATCCAGCGCATAGCGAATAAACGACCGAAACAATCGTTCGGAAGACTGAGTAGGATGATACAACAGCTTTTTGTGACCCTTTTGATTTGGAAATGTTTCACTGCATTTGTACAATTCGAAATTTTAGTTAGGTCGTTTAAACAAGGTATAGGCTTAGGCAATACTCCATTCTCGGATTGAGGTGCGAGTGCGGACGATGGAGCACGGGCAAGATCATTTACTTTCTCATTTCCCTGTGTTTGTATAGATATTGATAGTACCATTATCAAAGCTAATATGATCGTTTCCCACATTCTTTGCATATTTCCACTTAGCTTGTTGTTTAGTGTTTGTATAGCTTTGAGCTGATGTCAAAAAAATAAAACATTTCTTTTGGTATTTATAACTCTTGGATGGTTGATTATTTCGGTATGAAATCTATATTGTTCATTCATTACATTTCAGTACATCCACATAATATTTGTCCATTTCATATCTTTCAGAGAAATATTGAAAAAACATTAAACTATACAAATTCACTTACTCAAAATTTTGATTAATTTGAAAAAAATTATCATCATTAATTATCAACTATAATACAGAAAATAATTTATTCAAACCTAATTATAAATTAGCTAAATTCCCTTTCACTTAATATAAGAATCCATACAAATTAATACAAAAAACAAAACAAAAACACACAAAATTGGGAAATATATATTCATATTTAAATTCAATTTATTTTATTATTTTATTCCATCAATAATGTAAAAACTATAAGATATTTTCAAAATGTACCATTTGTAAATTCTATATATTAGAGAGTGTAAGATCACATTTTCGTATTTTCCTATTCAAAAATTGTATTTTAAATCTTCTGAAGTTACTAAAATAAATATGTCTTTTGTATAGTGATTCTTTTTTATTTTCTATTTTATTTTGCCCTAATTGTTTTCTTATATATTTGAGAAATTTCAAAAAATGTCCCTGTTACAATTCCTCTTTTTCAAAAATGTCTTTAAATATTTTCCACTTTCAATTATACCTCTTTTGTAAGGTTTCATAAAGCTTTACAAAGATGTTGTAAATCCATTTCTTATTCTTTTACACAGTTCTAAGAGATTTTAAAAAGCTTATTAAGGTTTTAGAAGGGTTTATAAAGATGATTTGGAGTTTCAACCACTCTACGCGCTGCCATATACATCAATGAGCATTTTTGGAAAAGAGTATTTTGAAATTATTTTTGGTAAATGACATTTTTGAAAAATATACCGTAGAAATTAAAAAGCATTTTTCAAAAAAAAATCTATATTTTAAATCACTTTTTTTGTAAATTTTTCTTTTTCTTATTTTACTTGGTACTCGAGGTCAGTAATACTACCAACTTTTGGATTGTTTACACATATTTGATAGCTTTGATTAATTAGTTTTAACAACTAGACCAGAAACCGACTTAGCATCATCATTAGATGGTTGTTGGACAAGATGTTTATAAATTATAAATGTATTAAAATGTGTTTTTAATGTAAAAATGGAGTGCATAGAAGACAAAATAAACATGAGTTAGCTATAGAAAATATGTTTCTTGTTATATTATCAATATACAATTTACCAGCTAGAGATAGGCCCGGACGTTCGGGTATTCAAGTCGGTTTTGGTTCGGTTTTATTAGATTCTGGTTCCATTTACTTATAGAGTTTATGATTCATATAGGTAAAAATGAATTCGGTTCAGATCCGTCCAGATATATTGTATATTTTTGGATAGTTTGTTTGAGTATTTTTTGATATTTTAGGTATTTTCTATAAAATAACTAATATTTTTAGGTATATAATTGTATTTTAGATTTTTTCAAATATCCAAACTATTTAAATTTGATAAAGGTTTGGTTTTGATTCTTTCAGTTATGAAGTTTAGAATTTATTATAGTATTCTAGAATTTTGGTTCGTTTTCATTTCGATTCCAATTTGACACTTTTTGTTTGGTTAATTTGTCCACGAAGAATTAAAGCTATAGGATGAAAAAAAAAACAGAAAAGCCATAGAATTATAAATTTTTTAAAAAAAAAAACAGAAAAGATTAGGAAACTTTGATTTCCCGATCAATGAGTAAGTGAAAAAAAAAAATGTTATATTTTAGAAAGGGACGAGAACAACATTAGCTGGTGATGTTTGTTTGATACTCCTTTTTAACTGTCTTTTTTTTTTGGTCATTAAAACACAACAAAAATAAGTTGCCTGTCCCCAATAGAAACGAAACTACAAATTTCTTTGGTGTCAATTCTCAGTTCTTACGCACGACGCGACGTCCCTGAGCCCTAGCTTCCGGCAAATCCTTTCTTCTTTTTTCTTCATGTCCTTTGCTTCATTTCGAATCGAATTCCATTTTGAATGTAAGATTTTCATTCTTATACATATATGAGTGTTTGTTAGATTTGAGTATTTCTTCTCCAGCGCCATGGATATTGAAATTAGGGTTTTTTTGCCTCTACAGTTAATTGGGTTTGTGATTTATTGGGGTTTATTCGAAATTGCCATTATTGGGTTTCTTAAAGTCTTCGCCTTTTTATGTTCATCATCGATTCAAATTTACGGTTTTTGCGAGGGTTTTGTGTAGAAATGTTAATTTCTATGTGAATTGATCATTTGGATTGCGTAAAGTTTGCCCCTTTCCTCGAAAAATTTGATCTTTTACCTCAATTTGTGATCTTTAATGTGTTTAGATTCTTGTTTGCTGACTTTTGTTACATTACCCTTTCTTTGCAGAAGCTTGGAGTTCATTTTGACTTTATTGTTGGATCTTATAGTTGATACAAATTTGGGGAAGAGTTGAGATCAATATATCTTTAGTATAAAGTGGAGCTTCGACATGTTGCGTTTCAGTTTTAGTGGTTTCGATATCTCAAGTTGTTTTATTCATCTTGCTGAATGGCATCCTTTGGAATAACAAAGCTTACCGGGCTTAAAGCCCCTCTTTTTGCAGAGTAAGATTTTGATTTGGTTTTGTTTTGATCTTTAGGAAAGTAGATTTGTACACTTGAGTCAGTTTTTTATTATTGGTTCAATGTGTCTTTACAGGTTTCGTTACTGTTAGCTTTTGGGAATTCATAAATTTTGGAGTAGATAATGTTTCGCGATAGTTTTTCATTTGTCCAAGCGATGAGTTGCTTCGGGTGTTTTGGTGGCTCTGAGAGATCAAGACAATCACCAAATCCATATGATGATGATACATATTCCAATGATGGTGATGTAACCAGCAATGTGGGAGGAGATGATGAAGAAGAAGAAGAGGAAGTAGAGGAGCAGAGCCGTTCCAAACGATCAGAAGAAATTTTGAAATCTAAATTACAAAATGGACTAATCTGCAGGCAGTTTCCAGTGAAGGAAACTAATAAACTAACACGTGGAGAGGTACGTGACTTCTGGTGCTCATGTCTAATGAATTTTGTCGAGTGGTATTCTTATAGCAGTTTGTTTCTTATTTGTTTTTCAGGATGAAGATGGAAACAAGACAATAAATGAGTTTGTTCGTGAGCGTAAAATTGGATCTGGTAGTTATGGGAAAGTGGTAAGTGTGAAATTAAATTTCAATGCTACATTGGTCTTTTAGTCGCTCTTGAGCACATCTTAGAAAAGGATTAGAAATTCCATAACGTTGTTGTTTGTATGTATAACAGGTTCTATATCGAAGCACTGTCGATGACAAGCATTATGCTATTAAGGTATGCTCTTGTTTTTATTTCCATGGAACCACTTGAAAGCTTATTTTGTTTTCCTGGTCTTCTATGGCACTGTTCATTTGAAATTGGACCACCATAGGGCAGATTATATAAATATTTCTTAAGCTGATCACATAATGGGATTAAACTTTCTGGACAAGTGGTTATTATCTTTTTGGATTCCCAGGCTTTTCACAAGTCATATTTACTAAAGCTACGGGTTGCGCCTTCAGAAACTGCGATGGGGGATGTTCTTCGTGAGGTATCCTGTTACCGAAAGACTTGTGTAATGGGTTTGATTTCCGAAAACTTAGGTAAATGTTTTTGTATCTCATCATTGTAGGTTATGATTATGAAAGTTTTGGAGCATCCTAATATCGTTAATCTCATTGAGGTGATTGACGACCCTGAGTTTGATGATTTTTACATGGGTATTTCTTTCCCTTTTCTCTGTATATCCTTACCTCAAGTCTTTCTCTTTGGTTAATTTTCTGTCATCTTATACTGTATTTTTTCTTGTCTAGTTCTCGAATATGTTGATGGAAAATGGGCCTATGATGATTCTGGACCACCGGGTGCTCTCGGAGAAATTACTGCTAGAAAGTACTTGCGCGATGTAGTTGCCGGCCTCATGTACCTTCATGCTCATGTATGATTTGCACTGTCTAATACTTCATCATCCACGCTGAAAGTTTATATGATAGATACTCATGATTTTCTCTGTGTCTTTTGGATGAGACAGAATGTAATTCATGGGGACATCAAACCGGACAATTTACTGGTTACTAGTACCGGGAGAGTGAAAATAGGAGATTTCAGTGTCAGCCAAGTATTCAAGGTACTGATAATACACCAGTCTTGTTTTTATTCTCCATTGATTTCTTCAATGTGTAATTTGATTTGATCAAACATGTTACATTTGATGCAGGATGATGATGATCAACTCCGCAGATCTCCTGGCACTCCTGTCTTTACTGCCCCAGAATGTTGTTTAGGTATAACATACAGTGGAAGATCTGCAGACACGTGGGCAGTGGGAGTTACTTTGTATTGTATGATATTAGGACAATACCCGTTTCTGGGTGATACACTTCAGGATACTTATGACAAGGTTCCCGCCTCTCTCGTTCCACTAATTTTGTTTTTTTCTTGACACATCTCTCTAGAAACAATTTGAATAACGCAGTCGGCTCGTGTTTTATCTTGTACCAATATTGCAGATTGTTCACAACCCGTTGATAATACCGGAAGGACTGAATCCTCATCTCAGGGACTTGATCGAAGGTCTCCTTTGCAAAGGTGAGTTCTTATCAATTGTTTTGTAAAAACAGAATGAATCTTTATGATAAAGATATCGCCTTATGTGTGTAATGTGGCTCACGCTATACACTTGTGGCAGATCCAAACCAGAGGATGACGTTGAAAGCTGTGGCGGAGCATCCATGGGTCACAGGAGAAGACGGAGCTATTTCGGAATACTTTTGTTGGTGCAAACGCAAAGCTGAAGAAGAGGAAGAACCTAATGGGATCGAAACCGTAGCTGAAAGCTAAAACCGGTATACTTGAACATAGCAATCATATTTTTGCATGTTGGCGGTTAGAAGCGCTTGCGTTTTAAGTTGTTATAACTCCTTTAGGCATGTTTTGAGACTCTGTTGATTGTCTCCGACTCTCCGTCATGTAATGAGACTCTTGATTGTCCTTTTCTCTCCTTAGTTTTTTCACTCTGTTTTGTTTTCCGATACACATATTGGATGCATGTTTTGGATCATTGTATTGTATCTACTGCCTACTTGAATTGTTGTTATAAATCAATGATGTTTATTTTAATTTTTTGGTACACTTTAAGAAAATTTGAGACATTTCAGTCAAACTTTTATCGTCGTCAATGAGATTAAGCATGTGACTATGTGAGACACATTCGGGTCAGCTGCCATCAGTGCCGGTCACGTTATCAATGTTTTTGTTATAATAAAAACAAACATTGATTTGACAAAAAAAAAAAAAAAAAAAAAAAAACAAACATTGACATGAGAAAGATTGAGCATGGAATATTAGATTCAAATGAAAAATGAAAAGATCTATCGAGTCCTTACTCGGCTGGAAACCGAGCGACCGGAGATCCAACGTCGTCAACCGATTCACGAACTTGCCCCTTGCTAGTGAACACAACAAAGACGCTTAGGGTCTCACACAGTTTTTTGGGAAGAATTTTTTTTACATTAAAAAAAAAAAACTCAAATTTTTAGTTATGCGTAGGGCATTAAAGAAAATTTAGAAACTTTGGACCGGCCCTGCCGGGGACCTAACGTGGACAAAGACCACTCACCTCACCTTACGGCTGCTCCGTCGTGACCAAAGATAAAGGGAACTAGCTTCACCACCCGGAAACTTCGACGGAAACACTTCTTAGAGGAATCGCGTTGCCGTCCTTGGAGTAACATCTTCCCGAGGAGATCATTCGGAGGTTAATCACGACAAGCAGCTGCACCCGCCTTCGCTAGTTGTCCAGAGCCGAACGTCTTCGCACCATTGCTACCATGCTGCCTTCTCTAGCCGTCCACGTAGTGTTTTATTTTAAAGAAATTTTCACGTTTGACATGAAAAAAAGATTGATCTCACCGTTTGGCAAAGTGAGATTCATTTCTCATGTTTTGACAGTTATTCCGTTTTATGACGAAAATGCCCTGACGAAAAACCAAACGGCACAGTTACGTTACGGTTTAGTTTCTATTACCGGTTTAGTTACTTTTTGTTTTGAATTAAAAAAAAAAAAAAGAATTTCAAGAAAACGAAGAAGAACATTCATCCATCTTCGTGAGAAGTAGAAATCAGTTCGGAATTCATTCATCCATCTTCGTTTTCGACATCTCCGTTCGAATTGTCGGCTACTTGATTTGAGGCATTGCATTGAACTCGAAAAACCGGCGAAGAGAAAGTTCCAGTTTTTCCGGCGAAGGCGACCTTAGAAACCTCCGGCGAGATAGAAACCTTCGAGATGGCTGGGAATAAACAAAACGACGAAGTACCAAGGAAGCAGCATACGCGGGAAGGCCCCGAGAAGGAGAAGCGGGTACTCAGAGTATCCCCGAGGAGGAAACTCTCTCCGACAAAGCCGCCGGAGGAATTGGGTAAGTTCATATATTATTTCGTTTGTAGTTTCTTTGGGTGTATCGGAATCTTAAAGCTTGTTTGATAAAAGGGATAGAATTTGCCGGATTTTGCCAAATCTGTAGTTTGAAAATTTGAGAAGATGAATTGGAAATCTATGTTTCCGCCAAAATTCAGATTTTGAGTATATAATGTTGATAATTACTGTGTACGTACACGAATTCATATTGTTTACATCCTTACTTAATTGTATATCACTTGTAATTTCAGGCAGTACAAGTGTTGCTCCGACTGAAGATCTTATAGTTGAAGAGTTACCACCAAGACTCTTTGCTATAGACCAGTACCCTTCGAAGACGAAGATGAACGCGTACTCCAAACCGGAGTACATTTCTGACATAGCGCAAGTTCTTAAGGGAAAACCTGAGATGCAGATGCTTCTCGTCTCTCCATTTGGGTACCTTTTTGGAATACCTGCTAACAAGTCTTCCTTCTCAGGTAAGCTTGTGCTTGGATTAATATGCTTTCAGTTAGTGACAAATAAAGTGAATGAGATGTGGATGGTTTTCGGTGGTCATCCAATCAAATTTGGACTAAGAGAATTTAGTATGGTAACTGGGCTGGAATGTGGGGTGTATCCCAAGAAGAAAGACGTGGAGGCTGTGCTAAAGGTTAAACCTGGGTGTAAAAAAGTCTGGGATGCTCTGTTTGTGGAGAAGTTTGGGGAGGATGCGATTCCATTAGTGCAAGATTTGGTGGCCTGGCTGAAGGAGGATACCACCATGGATGGGTGGAAGCAACTGGCTCTATCACTTATAATCCTGGTAGATGGTGTGATAGCGTGCGGTAAAAACCCAATCAGGCCTCAAGATACGACTGTTGAGATGACGAAGAACGTGAAGTTCTTCTTGAAATACCCATGGGGAAGGCTGTCTTTTACCCGTACTTTGGAGAGGATAGCAAACTTCCAAACCCCTTCAGAAGCTCAAAAACTTATAAGGTGTGTAAAGGATGGGTCTTATGCACTACATGGATTCCCATTAGGACTCCAGCTGTTTGCGTTCGAAACAATCCCATCCCTTGCTAAGCTAGTACCTGATGATGAAGCTAACAAGACATTTACTCAGAGGTCTATCCATCATCTTGCCTCACTGCGGGCAATCAGGACATCCAGCATCTTGGAGTGTGAGGCTGCTGAAGAGGTATGTACAATTGTTTATGTACGTACATTATTTAAAAAGTAAGTGTACATTCTCTAAGTGGTTAACAAACTTATTGGTGTAGGTTGAGGTAACCTATCTTGTGAAACCAGAGGAAAATATTTGTCCTCCATCCCTGTCATGGGATGATGAAGTTGAGGATCCAAGAGTTGCTTACATTGAGCGACTGTTGTTAGTTGGTCATGAGTGGAAGGAGGAAGAATGGGTTGGAGGTTATGCTGCATTTCCAAAGCAGGAGCGCCCACCACAACTTGGAGAGATACGTGAGTGTAAATGTTGTTTTTATACTTTTGATTATTGTCCCTTGAAGACCAATCAATGATTAAACTGGTCTATCGTAGGTGTGAAGAAGAGGAAAAGAAATGTACCAGCCCCGAATGCACCTGCTTTGAAAAAACAAAAATCTGTTGTGGAAGAAGAAAATGAGGACACTGCTGAGGATTGTTCTGAAGATCCCCAGTTTGAGAAGTTTGTAGTTGAACTTAGGAGGCAGGAAGCACAAAATAAACAAATGCAAGAAGACTTGAAGAAATTTGTCCGTAAGGAGATACGTGCTGCCTTAGATCCAAAGGGCAAAAAGACAGAACCAACCAAAACTTCCCATGCTTCACAGGGCCCAAATAAATCGGTGGTTAAGGCACCGATGAGTGTGAAGAAGGCATCTAAAAGGATGTCTACAAAGAAAGTCTTCAAGTCTGGAACAAGAAAGTCTTCAAGGCTGAAGAATATAATGACGTCAGTTGCGGAGATTACTCAGCTTTCTGATGGTAACTCTTCCTTTGAGGAAGATGACCAGGTATGGCATGTACGTACATTTATATATAGTATTTAAAAAAGTACGTACATGAAGATTAATAACTGCAACTTGTCTGCTATGGTACAGGATGAAGCCAACAATGAAGGTGGTTTTACTGCAAATGATGGAGGAGATTTTTTGAACAGAGATATGGTTGACACTGGAGTAGCTAACATTTTAGTTGGTGGACCTACACCTTCCCATCAGGTATGTCGTGTACAAATATTTTTATCAATTATTTCCAGTTGTGTACGTACACATAGGCTTCAGAAGTGTATGGTATACTATGTTTCAGGATGAAGGAGCACGTGATGGTGGTGAGTCTGTCCTTGTTGGTACACAGTCAGGGACCGAGGAAAAAGCTAGTGCTGACACAGAGATGGAAGAAATTCCATCTCCTGTACCTTCAACCTCTGTACAGGTATGTCTTGTGCTAATAGTCACATACTGTTTTCCATAAGTGTACGCGTATCAATTATTTTCAGTTCTGCACGTACATATAGCTTAAGAAGTGTATGGTATACTATGTTTTAGGATAAAGGACCAATTGATGGTGGTGAGCCTGTCGTAGTTGGTACACATCCAGGGACAGATGAAAAACCAACTGCTGACACAGAGATGGTAGAAAATCCATCAGGTTTACCTGCAAAATCTGGACAGGTATATGGTCTGCTAATAGTCAAATGTAGTTTTCCATATGTGTACTCACATAAAGCTTAAGACGTGTATGGTATATTTGTTTCAGGGAGAAGAACATGGTGTCGGTCTTGAGAGTGAAGCAAATGTTGGGGAGCAACCAGAAATTTGTGAGGATAATGATAGAGATACATCTTCTCAGGCTGAACACACCGAGGAACCCGGTGTAAGTGTACGTACATTTGTCTTTCTTATTTCCCGTGTACGTATAAGTAATGATTGTTTCAGACATCACAAAATAAAGGATATAGCCGATGAAGTTCAGTACTTGAGGGCACCCTAGAGGATCCCCCTTTACCATTTGCAGTAGTTAAGAATGTAAGCTAACTATATTTTGAAACACCCTAGAGGATCCCCCTTTACCATTTGCAGTAGTTAAGAATGTAAGCTAACTAAAGCCTCCATGGATGTGGATGCAGCTAATGTAAAAGAGGTAAAAATCTCGTGTTTGGTTTAAAATTATACACAGTTATTAACATGTGGATGCAGCTAATGTAAAAGAGGTAAAAATCTCGTGTTTGGTTTAAAATTATACACAGTTATTAACATACGTACATAGGCGACGGGGTGGAAGAACAAGAGGATTCAAACCCAGGGTTAGATGAAGCAGACACGACAGTTGGTACACTGGAAAATATTGTGAGTATCTTCCCAGTAAATATTATCATTACATTTTGAAATTGTTTAATCATGGTGTTTACAATAATACTTCTTTACAGGATGAACCAAACAACGATGCTGCAGTCGAAGCAATAGCAGTTAAAATTCCTACGCCGGTTGTACCCATAAAAGTGAAGAAGCAAATAATTGTTGAGATGGATGAAGCCCTTCCGGAAGGTTTTAAGGAAACAACAGTCCTCGTGGAGGATGTTCCTGGATGAGCTCAAGATTCAGAGGTGGTTATAGCGGCTGGAAATGTCCCTTACAACCCCTTGGAGAAGGTTGACGCTTCCAAATTAGAGCTCTTAACCAATGTCCTCCGCGGTCCGAATGTGTAAGTATCGTGCATTATCAAAATTATCCCTTAATTGATACATTGGTTTTCTATAACAACCAGTCATACTATAATATTGGATATACATGAAGCACACTCTTTTCGGGTATCGCAATGTGGACAACGAGTTTTTCTCCATGCTTATAGCACAAGGACAGTGGGTGGATAATATGGTAAGTTGAAATAGTACATTTGTGTACATTTTTTAAATATGCCTGAATTGTACGTACACTGACTGTCTATGCTATTATCATTTCAGGTCTTGGAAATGCTCGCAATCTTGATATGGCACAAGAACGGTCAACAAATGATAGCAAACTGATGCGTTGTTTTGGACTCCTTCCTGCTTTATGAGCTTACTAAGCGTGCTGTCAGCTTCAGGAATTGTATAAATAAGCTTGGGTTCAAATGGGGCGACCGGCTATACGACATGGCCAATGGAATATACATACACCGTGAACCTAGTCTTAGGTGGTTCAAGGATGTCGACGTGGTATATGCTCCGATGAACTGGAAAGGTGATCATTGGGTTGGGTTGGCAATCCACCTCAGAGCCCGGCATATAGTTGTCTATGACGCTCTCATAGAACACACGCGGGAGTCTGTTGCATGGTCAAAGATGCAGCCTGTCTGTGAGATGATGTCGTACCTAGTGAGAGCGATGTGCGCGGATGTATTACCTGAGAAGTACTCAGTTGAACCTTTTGCCTATGAGAGAAATGTTATGGTCGCTCAAAACCCAAGTACAGGAGATTGCGGGCCTTACGCAATGAAGTTCTTGGAGTTGTTGGCGTTTGGTAACCCAATGTCAGACTTGGTGAATATTCAAGAAGCAGATATGGCCACCTACCGTCAGGTGTACGCAACAAAAATCTACGAACACGGCAAGCGCGAGTGTGGTAATCGGCGTTTATTGTAATCATCCCTGGATGTTGAATTATTATTATTTCCTAGTACTTATTTCCTTATTTTCAACAACCTAATTAGAACAACGTAATTAATTATGGAGATCCTAAAAATATTTATGTAATCGTTATAACTATCTTCTCTAAACAATCTGCACATCGTACACTTATTCAAAAACCAACATGTGTACGTACATCTTATATAACGTACGTCTTTTACACAAAAGTCGATTTTTCTCATAATAAGATATCTATTTCTTTACTTACATTGATTTGACAACCCTCCCTCACTGCATCATCACTTACGTAAGATTGCATTAACTACAACCATAACTTAACCAACTAACTTCATTGTTCTTTATTTAAGAGTAGGAATTGCATTGTTTTGAAACACCAAATTCCAAGAAATGTCTACACCAAATCTACCTGAAGATTTGCTAGCCAAGATAGCCAAAATAATGGCTGACAAATGTTGGTGGTACCTCAGACCTCTGTTAAGATCAAGGCGTGGTGGAAGAAACATTGTCTACAGGCCGGATGTCTTGAAAGATGCTAATATTTATAGCATGTGCAGTGATCCCGATGACTTCCATGCAGCAGGCCATGATCCGAATGACATCAACGCTGAAGGTCGATATAGACCCTTTTTCAAAAGGTGTCTAGAGGCTGGTAACCCGATTGCTATTTACCATGAAGGACTGCGTCTAGTTACCCATGAGTCTGACATTAAGGGCGCCATTGTACTTTTACAGCGGAATGTACCAAGACACGCCGATGCAACCCTGGCCTGCGCTATTCTGTGCATATGCGACGGGAATGCTCACATAGGTGGTGTGTATCTACGCCTGTTCGCAAACAACCATTACGCTTTGGAATCAGAAGAAATAAAAAAATATGGAATTAGGTTAAACAACACATACGGCGTAACCTTTTCGTACCCTGAGGAACGTGGTATTCAAACGCCTCCTTGCGCGATGCTGTGTTCAATCAGATCTGGACCCTTCAAGAATGTGTGCAACGTATGTTACCTCTGGTGGTGTGCGAGAAGAATTAGTCAAATTCTATAGGGATTTCTTACGTAATATTATCTGAATATCTAAGTTTTTATGTTATAATATGTGGCCTTTGCAATTGTACTTTGCTTATCAGTAATGAATGTCTTTTTATCTACATCATTGCTTGTTTTTCATATACTACTCAATCTTATGAATGGTTACAAATAATTGTAATATTTTATATTAAATTGAGAAACAAGTTTCTTAATGTTAGATAATGGTGCTTTGTCTACACAGGCTTACGAATTATCATTAAATACATACTGACCTGATTTAGCCATTGATAATGACCTCTATCTTTTCAAAAAAAAAAAAAAGAAACAAAATTAATGTACATATATACGTACACATCCCTGTAATTAATGTACACTGTCTTTTATCAGATAAAACGAAATTGTAAAAGAAAGAGATTTGGTTTTTAATGCGTTTCCCCCAGATTTAGCCATATACATGAACTCAATCTTTTCCCCTAATTCGGCGACAGACATCAACTCAAACTTTTAGTCAGAGAACGTAATAAGGGTAGACATACGTACACGGGTATACGTTACTGTGTACAAGTATTTTAGTTGGTTTGAAACCAGAAATATGAGAAGCGACTTTCGAGATGGTAGTAAATGATGATGCAATGCTGATTGATTTGACATGTAATAACCCATATCTACAAGTTTTGGAGTGGTTATTTAATGCATACTGTCAAGCTCTATTCATAGAAAGGACCTCTATCTTTTCGCATAAATCTCTTTAATATACGTACACGGTTTGCAATTAATGTACACTTGCATTTGTCAGATAAGAGGAACTTTAAAATAATGACACTTTATTAATGCGTTCCCCCCCAAATGTAGCCATATACATGAACTCAATATTTTGGCCCTATATAAACGATATCACACACACTAATTTATTTGCTCACATTCTTCTAAAACCTCCTTCATTCATCAACTGCAAGATTATTTCTAAACCTCCTTTGTTAACAACATGGCTTTCCCCGCAACCCCTCCAACCGAGATGTACCTTGCAATACAATTGCCAAACCCGATTTCCGTCCTCATCAACTACCTGCCCGTATCCCAGACTCCCATCGAGACCCTCCGCCACTTGGTCGAAGCAAGTGACGTAAACGCAATAGTGATGGACGACTTCATCACATGGCCTCACTTCGTGCAGCCGGAGTCTCCCTTCAGGGCCTACTTCAGCCTCTTGCTGGAAAGGGGTGCGATCCCGGCTATATACCTCGAAGGTGTCCGCCAGGCAAGCAGCTTCCTAACGGTGGCCCACGGCATTACACTACTCAACTCCGTCGCTCCATCCAACCCTCTCGCCTGCTTCGCGACCGGCTTATTCCTAACTTGTAGTGGCAACCATGTCGACTTTCTTCCAGTTAGCGATATGTTCTGGGCGATGACACCCACATTAGCGGCAGCTCACGCAGTGGGGGAGATGGTGATGTATCACATAAGCCAGCTTCACACCGAAGGTCCTCGGCTCTGGCAACGTTCATGGAGGTATGTGCACACACCGGCATGTGTTGGCCTTTGCACGTACAGTTCCGGCTGCAGAGGGTGTTTCTTTTACTGGTACGCGAGGGAGATGTGTGTCTTCTATTAGATATGACTTTGATAATGACGGATGAGGCATACAATTTTCTGGCTCATGTGTATGCTTCGGGCTCTACTTTTTAGTTTATTGCTTCCGCATCTAATATAAGTTGTTTGTCTTTCTTGAATGTATGTCCTTCTTCGGGCACTTAATTATGAATGAATGAAGTTTTTGTTGTTTGAGGACAACAATTATGATATATGTATGTTTTCGTGTACGTACAAGGGTTTCGTACAATTTGCTGATTGAAGAACCAAAAAGCTAGTAAAACGTACACTGGCAAATTAATTGTAATTGTAGACGCTGTACGTATAAAATGTACGTACAATTACCCAATAGTTTATTATACAAAGTCAAGTAATTAGAAAACGACAAAAAGTTTATGTAGTTTTACAATACTTAATATAAATCTGGTCTTTAATAATAAGAAGACTGGGGAAAACAAATCCCCCTAACTAAAAAATGACCTGCTTGATCTCTTCCACTTCCGGTGTGTCCGGATCGGCAAAGACCTTTGACACAGGACCATGACTCACAACCTTAGGATTAGCTCTGTCGGTTAAACGCCAGAAGACGAGTGCGACAACAACATTGCGCTGACCTAGACTCCGAAAGAAGGTTTGGAATTCCAACGCCTGTTCATTGTGTGCTTCGCATTCCAAAACTTCGTTGCTACATTAGATTAAAAGAAGAATCAAGTCAGCGTTTAGATTAAAAAGTGTAAGTGAATCAAATGTGAAAAGAACATTTACTATCTATCTTTGATCTTGAAAGGAAGCTTGAGACCGTAGAAGTCTCCGGTCAAGTGGCCAACCTCCAACAACGCTCCAATGACATCTACATCAAGGGCCAAAAAAATAGAAATAAACTTCTAATTTCAAAAATGTGTCCATAAAACGTAACATAAAAAACATCTCACCGACTAAAACTTTCTTATCAACTGTTTTCTCCCAAATGTAGTCGAATTGAGTAAAATCGTAAAACGATATTGGGTCCCTTCGTAAGGCATTAGTAACGACCGTCCGATCCATAAACCATATGCCGTAGTCATGAGATGTTGCTCTCACTGGGTCAGCGACGTTACGGACCAAGAAAGTGGTCACAATTTTCCACTCATTTTCTTTGATTCGGTCTATGTAAAAAGGAGCAAGGCGACGATCAATGGTGGCCTCGATACGGGAACGGGATCCCTACAGAATATGATATATAACAGATTTATATAGAATTGAACCTAACGTATGATAAAAAAAAACACAAACACGGCACAGGGAAACTACCGAATTATCTGCCAAGATAAGGCCGAGTTCGAAGACGTTGGGCGCAACAAACTTCTTAAACACTCTGAGGACAAATACACATATTGTCCACCCAGTGATCTGAGGACACAATTCGGAGATGGTGTGATACCCATCCATCACACGGTTAGCAAGAACAATCGAAAGACTTTGTGTTTGATTGATGTAACTGCCAAATGTGAAAGGGTTTTTGTTTGAAGGAACGTGGATAAAATTGAGGAGGAGATGTGGCTTAAATAAGGAAATTCCGTAACGGACGCGGTGGGTAGTGCGAAAGTGTTCCAACGGTTGAGATACAAATGTGTGTAACCGTTTGTAACCGTTTATTGCATGAAGATTATACGTACACAGACACAACAAACACGTACACTAACAAAAACGTACACTCAGAAAATGTACATAGTTATTCGATGGCAAACATTAAACGTACGTACACCGTCACAACACTTTGGTACACACTGTCCACACATAAACGTACACTGTCTTCGCGGAGACATAAAGCTTATGAGGAGAACTAAATAGGATTTTTACAAGTCTTCTTGTTATGACCTGCTTGTCTACATCGTGTGCACTGATTTGGAATAAGTCTTTTCTGTCTCTTTTTCTGAAGTGACAACAACAATAAGTTAATAATCTACGCATCTATTACTGAAAACATAATATTTGAAAAATCTGTACACGTTTGAATGATAGCACTTACCCGGTTTTCACCTCTAGATGGAATCCTTTTGGTTGTTGGTCTTCCTGGTGGTCGTCTACTGTATAGAGGAATTAGTATCAAATCCGATATATGTTGTGGGATGACAACATCCTTCGGATCCGCGATAGGTAGAATCGGTTCTTGAAAAGAATCGGAAAACGTTTGAAGGTCATACCACCATCCTACAACAACCTTCGGATCTATTCCAAACTCGATTGCAGCTGCTAGACCGTGTTCACATGAGATTCTCAACTTTGTGTACCTAAGACACGTACACGTACACTCGTCCAGAACGACATGAAAATGCTCACCTGACTTGCTTGTAACTTGATAACTCCACGGTCCAGACATCTTAACCGCGAATTTCCCTGACGCAGGCAAATCTTGGAGAAAACTCTCATCAACCTCAGGCGTCACTAAAGACTTACACCTAGCCACTTTTTACCTCCTCGCTGCAAACCATCGCATTAGGACCTCTCGAATGAACTCTATCATGTACACAATCGGATATGATTTGGCTCTTGTTAAGACATTATTCATAGACTCCGAGTTGTTGCTAGACATGATATTGTAGTGTTCCCCTTTACAGTGAGCTCTTGTCCAATGCTCAAATCCAATTTCCTCTAAGTAATTTGCGCATGCAGCACTCTTAGCCCTTAACTGTTCGAAGTATTTTTCAAAATCTCTCACTCTGTAAGCTTTAGCAGCGCTAAAGAATAATCCAGATACATCATACTTACGATAATAGGTGGAGATATTTCGCTCAAGGTGTACTGCACATGCACCATGATGAGCTTTCGGATAAACCACACTAAGGCCTTTATATATTGAAGAATGTCTGTCCGATACAATCATTAAATCTTCACTGTCTGGAACAATGTCAGCTAATTTATCAAAGAACCACACCCATGAAGCGTCAGTCTCACCATCCACAACACCAAACGCTATTGGAAATATTTGGAAGTTCCCGTCTTGGGCACATGCAATGAGGAGACATCCCTTGTAACGTCCTACTAGCTGCATTCCATCTACGACAATTACCTTCCTCATATACTTCAGATCTTTTATAGAAGCCCCGAGAGATACAAAAACATACTTAAAGCACTGCGTACCATCAGCTTCAAGTGTAGAGTGTAGGTGAGTTATCGTACCCGGATTAGCTAATTTAAGAAGATACAAATAGGTAGGCAAAAACCTGTAACTTTTTATATCATCCCCCTTTACATTTTCCACTGCAACCTCTTTAGCTCTCCAAGCGGTAGAATATGAAATCCGAACATTGAGATCATTTAGGAGCAACTGTGGTAAATCGACAGCTCTCGGACCCCCTTGCGTAGAACTGTATCTGCTCTTCACTCCCTCTCCGAGAAGCTTATAACTAGCATGTTTATTATAATTCTTACGAGTGTTGATGTCACACGTATGGGTGGTATCATACGATGTGATTTTGAAACATTATGAATTCTTGACAACTTGAGCTGTCAAATGCCATGGAAAAATATCATCAACGCAGACCATCTCCAATCTTGTAGGACATGACCTACGTTGCTTGTAGCAAAAGCATTGTTTGATTGCGAGATAAGACATTGTTTGTTGTATGACTTTTCTGCTCTTAAAAACACTCCCGACATACAAAGTCTCACATGTCGTACTCAGTTCGACTTTTTTCTCATCATCTCGTAAATTGGCTAAATCATCGAATACCGGAGCAGCATCATTATCGAGAATCTCCAACTCGCCACCATGTAATGTAGAAAAGTCATTATACACTTCGTAAGCCTCAGCTGCGGTAACTAACCGATTATCATTCAGTGTCCCACTTGCGGAAGCTCCAATACCACGGTCGATAGTGACTTCGTATATACCATTAATATTGGTATTTGTGTTACCTTCGCAGCCTGTATCTTGTACACACTCTGTAGTGTACGTACATTGGTACAAACCATGTTGACACGTACGTCTTGGAGTCACGGTTGGTGTACGGTCACCCGAATGAGAAATGTTATCTCCGCCAGGTGCAGTAACTAGCCGATTATTATTCAGTGTCCCACTTGGAGAATCTCCAATACCACGGTCGATAACATCATCCCCAGAGACTTCGTCTATACCATTAATATTGGTATCGGTGTTACCTTCGCAGCATGTATCTTGTACACATTCTGTTGTGTACGTACATTGGTACAAACCATGTTGACACGTACGTCTTGGAGTCACCGTTGGTGTACGGTCAACCGAGTTATCTCCCCCACGTACACGATGACTTGTGTACGTACACTCTGCCAATAGACGACTGAATTCCCCTGGATGTTGAACCGTTTGTTGAGTGAGAATGACGTCCTCCTCAACATTCCCTATTCCATATTCTTCAATAATTAAATTGTTCCACTTGTTGTAATCGTAATCTTCGCCACTACCTTCACTACCGTCTATAGTAGGATCGAGGGTACTTCCCCCCATAGATCCATCATCACCCTGATAATCATCATACCCAGCACCATCTTCGTTGTCCTCCTCCTCTTCTTCATCCTCATCTGTTTTATCGTCTTCAACGTCGTCTTGCTCATCTACGGCCTCATTATTTCCATCTACATTTGAAGCCGCTACGATGGGATTTGGTGTCGTTGCACTCCAACACACACGGTAACTCTCACCATCGGTCCTAGGGACAGTATTCCCGAGTGCCTTGACGGTTGTAATGAAAGAGACAAACAAGGTGACACTAGGATCCCCACCACGAATCAAAAAGAAGGTATCCAGGCTCATTTGATTGTCAATGTAGACAGGAGGGCGTTTACTTTCTATCATCACTGACATCTTTTCCGGCATCCAGTAACTAATTATTGGATTGCATTCGGTGCACTTCAAACTGAAAACCTCACATAATATACGTACAAATGCCGTGTACGTCATGTTTTGCCTAACACGTACACAACGACCAAACCAGCCTTCCCATGGTTCAAATTTCCATTCTTCTTCTTTGCATTTCCACTCACCCACCATAGTAAATACGGGAATATCCATTACCCACCTGCATCATAAATTCAGCAGAACCCCATTAAATGCAAATGAAAGCATGATTATATCTACAAAAAACAAAAAAAATTCCCAACTACACACTATAAACATAAATCTATCCTCATTTAGCAATTTCAACTAAAAAAAGTGGAAATAAAAATATTCTGGGTTTTTATATAAAAACAATGTTGATCTAGAACACAATCAAGACCCTAGTGTGTTAAAACTAAAAACTTCTTAACCAATTTCATTACTTACACGTTCAATGCTTGTCTTGGCTCCAAACTTTGTAAATCAAGAAGATCAAACCGATGCAGAATCACATTCGTTCAGAATAATTTGTTTGTTTGATGGATCATGTTTGTCTCTTACAACTATTCACACATATAAACTAATATTAGAAAAAGTAATGATGACTTTTGCATTAATTGTGACATGAGTCATGTCTAAACTTTTTGGGCATTAAATACTGATGTCTCATTGTTTTTAATGTTATTAATCCCAATTTGTCACTGTACTCCCGCGCAAATCAATTAAGAACGAAATATATTGCTTAACCGGAACAGTGTACGTAACTGAACCGTACAGTGAACAGTACATCGGTCCGTTGGTAGGGATAAAATGGTCAGATTTTGGCTAAATTGTCAAAACTTGAAAGCAAAATCTCACTTTGCCAAAACATGAAATTAAAACTTGGTCTTATGCCCTGCCATGCAATTTACCCTTTATTTTATTTTTTCATTTTTGTATAGCAATCAAAATCTTACCTTCTATCCTGAGATTTTCACAATCATATGAGAATAACCAAAACTCCATTTTTTTCTCTTTTCACGTCTACTTATAAGAATTTACATACGGTGATTATAGTATATCTTTCTTCGTTATTTTTTTTTTAATTTCTTTACTAAAGACATTATACTCATAGCTAGTAACAAGATTTTGTGAAAACTTCAAAACAGTAGAAAAACATGAAATAAGAAGAAAAAAAAGATGGACAAAAATTTCGCCAGATTTCGATTAGATTATAACAATCATTTGTTATAGAATTCAGTTCTGTTACAGAAAACCAAATGAAATCATGTATCATTGATAATACACTTCCACGTATTTGATAAAATGAATAATGATTCATTTTCAATGAGCCCAGATATTTTAAAATCTGATAAACTCTAATTCTAATAGAATTGACTTCAACTTATACAACCAATAACACCCCCTAAAAGAAATAACAAATGATGTTCGTATATTTTTCTAGATACGAAAAAATTCGTGTATTTTGATGAAATTAAAAAAATTGTTAGTGTATTTGTATGGAATTTTTCACTTTTCAAAAATAACCGATTGCAAAGATTTTTTAAATTCAATAATAATTTTTAAAATAAGCTAAAGTATCATTATATTATTTATTTTAGCATGCATTACCAAACATCTGAAGCAAAAATTCAAAGATTATAAGATACGACAGAGAAAAAATATATCAATAAATGTTGTCGAATTTTAAATAACAAAAAAAATCAAAATTAAGTCAAACTAATCCTCGCCGGATCTCTCTCTCTTCTCTCATTACAGAATCTCTCTGGCGGCGTAACCGTAACGAGATCTACGAATATTCTCTTGCCGTTTCTTGTACACAAATCCGGCGACTCCAACCACACACACCGCCGCAATCGCTCCAAAAGCAACCCCAACTTTCTTCCCGCCGCTCATTTCTCCACCGCCTCCCGACGATGATTTTTCCCCTTCGATTCCTTTAATATCACTGTGATTCAAATCGCTAGCTTCAGGCGACGGAGACGGAGAAGCAGACGAAGAAGGAGACTGAGAATCATTCGGTAATGGTGGAGAGATCGATGGAGAGTTCACCGGAGAAGGTGATGGAGATAGAGAGTGTTTTGTTTCAGGCTCTGGAGGAGAAGAGTATTCAGTTGGAGATTCCGCTGGTGAATGAGGAGATCTGATTGTCGGTGGTGGTGGTGCGTGGATTAAAGGCGAATCTGCAGCGTCGTTGGTTAGATCCGGTGACGGAGCCGGTGAGGATTTAGTTAAAATCTCACCGGAGACGAGTACGAGCATCAGCATCATAGCAACAATGGTGAATTCGAGCTTCATTTTCAAATCTCAGATCTTTTTCTGAGAAGTTGTGATGATGATGAGTAAGTAAAGAAGAGAGATCTGTAGAAGAAGGAGAAATAAATGAATATATTACGATCGATAGATTTGCGGCTACGAAAAGTGTGATTGTGACACGTAGGATACGTAGGGAAATAGTCGAAGGTGCGAAACACTGGATCTAGTTATTTTAATTTTCGAAAATACGGAGAGAGAGGCTTCGCGGTTAAGGAAAATGAGAACCGTAGCGAGAAGTGATGCGTGAAATCGGCACGTGGGGTTCACGTGAAGAGCTGACCTTCACGTTCTCTTATTCATTCGTTGAGTATAATATTAAGGGGAAATCAAATCAGTCACCAACTTCGTTTGGGTGTTAAAAAAAGAAAGTTATTCGCATTTCTCAGACTTTTAACCGGAAGAAAACTTGCTCAGATCTGGTGAAGATGGTGTCTTCCCCGCAAGAGTGGCCAGCGTTCGCAACATACTTATAGGCGATTCAGAGCGAAAAGGAAGAGTTTGTCGTATTCTCATTATCTTTAGTTTCTCGAAATGCGAATGTGAAAGCGGATAAACTGGCACAAAATATTCGTACCCAGCCACAACTTATTATCTATGTAAACAATTTACCACGACATTTGCTCATTTGAGCCAATTTAATATAACTGTTGACAAAAAAAAAAAAGAAGAAAACTTTTGATTTAACAAAATTTATTAGCAGCATATAAAGTTTACATGATTGCACACTATAAGATAAAAGTAGAAAACTGCGACAAAAAATATCTCTCGCACATTTGTAAGGGACATGTTCATCACAAATTTACGACGACATTGCATGAAATTTGGTAAGACACAAACATTTCTTGTGAATACGTCGCAAAAATTGCGAGGAACTAGCGAGGACCTGTTCCGGAACAAAATTTGCAAGTTAAGTCTAGCAAATTTCTTATAAATCAGAGTTCCCTAAAAAATCCCTTGCAAAATTTCCTAGCAATTCCCTAGCAAAAATCGTAACTCAAAACATATACAATTTACTTACAAAAAAACAATTAAAAATCTAATAAAAAAATTTATGAGGTGGAGAAGATGATATATACACATTGCGACGATGGATGTACATTCATAGAGATCTAGAGACCGGTGATGTAGCGAAAAAGTTTTACTATGTTTTGATTGGTTTCATGTACCAAGTGACAAACGAATCATTTGCTCTTGAGAACGGTACAATATTATGCCCATGTCGTAAGTGCTTCAACGATAAATATTTGGATTTTAATTTAGTGAAGAAGCATCTATATAATAGAGAATTTATGTCAAACTATTATGCATGATTACGTCATGGGAAAGTTATAGAGATATCGCATGAAGTAGTAGTACGAATTATGGTGTCGATCAACCTAGTAATTATAATTATGCGAATTATGGTCATCAAGAATTTGATCAATTTGGTTATGGATATAACTAAGAAAATAGATTTCATGATATGGTTACAGATACATTTTATGAAAGTACCGCTGTAGTTGGGAATATGTTAGATGATGCAAATCAACCCCTCTGCAGCATGAAGTATCCTCAGCCCATGCATGATGGTCCACCGCCTCCTCGTGATGATCTGGTTTTTCTATCTTAAAAGTTTGATATCGCAGAAGCTTGTCTTTCAACTCAGACAGAAAAGATCCATAGTTTCGAGGCCTACTTTAACTTCCTAGCCGAGAAAGATCTAGAGTTTGCTACAAAATTTCGAGCCGGATCTTGTACAAGGACAGAACTGGACATTGCCAACGCGACCAGAATAGAGGTGGATAATGAGACGAGAGCTGCTGAGACATGAACCGGTACCGGTTCATGATCATCTCCATCACAACCCTTTTAATTTTTTGTTGATTGGTTTATTCATTGGTCAAGATGAAGAACAAATAAAAGCCACAGTCTACAAAATTCTCTATGAAATTGGTGTTCCTCCTTATCGAGGGATCATGAAAACATTTGCTGAAGAAATCGAAAGCATATTGAATTCACCTTTGGAGAAATTGGAGAAGATCAAAGTAAAGATCGAAGTTGTTGCACACATGTTTCCTGAAGATGAGATCGATGTTTAAGGGTTTTAGTTTTAGTGATTAAAGAACTTGCAAGTAGATCGTTACAATGATTTATTCTTTTGCTTCTTGGTCGTTACAATGATTCCTTCATTTGCTTTTTGGTTGTTTTCAGTTTTTTTTTTTTCTTTTTACTTTTACATTCTATAATGTTCTAAAGACTTACGTTATTTTGCAAAGTTTTAAGTGTTATCTATTACCAAGAGTTAAGGTATTTGTTATTGTGCAGTTGAAGTTGTAAAACTTCTTAAATTAACTAACTCATGTCATGATTCTCCGCAGTAAGCTGATCCGGAAATATCTACTTAACATTTTTGAAGTACATATTTGCTCAAGGTAATCGGGTCGGGTTTTAATTGATTTTGACTTGGAAATCTTTGATTCGGATCCTTCCAAAATTGAGTCAATCGGATCTTTAATTTTGGCTCTATTATTCCTAAACCAATTCTTCATTATAACAGAACAAGAATTAAATCCAGAAGACAAAAAAAAAAAAAAAACAGAACAAGAATCTAACCCACAAGTCTCGAGCTTCTTCATTAACAAAACTCCCATCAGCTGGAAAATTTTCAAAAGTGAAATCAGCTTTAAATAACATGATAATGTCTACATTCTAAGACTAGTTAGACTACTGCAATGGTAACTTTTTCAGCTGTTGAAAAATTATTTCAACTGATGAACACTTTGCAATGGTTTGTTGAAAATAAGAAAAAGATGATGTGGCAAAATTGGTGTTGAAAATTATCACCGTTGAAAATTTGTGGGTGGGCTCTTCTCTAAAATGTGGTAAATTTTTATCAGACAAAAAAAAATAAGCAAGAATTGATAAATGATTGGGACATTTGGACTGCATTGATTGGTCGCTTAGATTTTTTTTTTTTTTTTCCACTGAGATAAATTGATATGAGAAATGAAGAGGTACAAAGTTGCAGAACGAAAATGAGAACAATAATTAAACAACCCAAAGAAAGAAAAATAAATAAACCCAATAAGAGTTAACCAATGGAACGACGATCTTTGTCGATACGATCTTGAAGCCATGAAGGTCCTCCTAGCGCCAAATAGGAGGTGAGGCGTCCGTCTCTGGTGACACTGCAGGCTATCTCCCTAGCCAATGAGTTGGCTTTCGGTGAAGAGAGCTTGAAAGACACCTCCCCCATCACCCGTACAACCTGCAAAATTCTTCCAAGGACAGAACGATATTTTGGCCATTCATGTGGATTCTCCAGGCCGGAAATTGCAGCCGCGCAATCAGTCCACACCTCACAGGAAGAGATATGAAGATCATGAAGGCTTTGTAGAGTCCATAAGATACAGTGGAGCTCCGCTGCAATTCTGTTGAAGAAAGGTAAAAAAGCATCCCGTGCATGGAACAGAGCATCCCCCGTATGTGTTCTTATGATCCAAGCTCCTCCACAAAAGCTATCCTCATTTATCCAAGACGAGTGTAAGTTACACTTAAGAACTCCAATAGCTGGTTTAGTCCAGAACCGATGGGCTCGGCTACGGTTCCTAGAATCCCACTCCCGCTCCTGCGAAGTTTGTTGATTCTGTTGTAACCATTCCTCTGCTTCTTCTAACGCGGTAGCGATGACAAAGTGGTGATCCGGAGTTCTGGCTGAGTATAAGACAGCATTCCGAGCCTTCCAAATCTCCCATAAAAGCCATGGTCGCTTAGATTCTTAATTTTTTTTTTCAACTAAATTATTTAACATCAATTATTTCATCATAATTATAATTTTTTATATATAATTTCTATATCAAAATTCATCATTTTCATACTCTATTAATAGAGACTAGTTTCATTTATTTTGGACACATAAAAAAAATCTGTCTTTTTTACTATACCTTTTAGTTATTTTACAAAATTATTTAAATCCTAATTTTTATTTTTATTTTAATTGATAATTAATTGTTATTAATAGTGGGTAACCATAGAAAATAAAAACATTAAAGAATTTAAAATATGAAATAAAAATTGTAAGGTAAATTGTTGTAATTTTATTAAACAAAACCATTGTAGAAACTAAAAATTAATGGGGTGTTGAATTATGATGTGGAAGAGAGCGAAGATGATATGGAGTGTTAAAAAGTGAAAAATCGGTGTTGTAACATTTTAACCATTGTACATAGTCTTACAATGAGGGTGTTTAATTTTCTGTTTCAATAGTTGAGAATATGCAATGAAGGTGTTGAAAAATTGTAAATAATGACATGGCTTTTAACATGTTGAATAATGACAACATGTTGAATCGCCGAACAATGGGTCTCACTTTGCCACATGTCAGATTATTATGGGGCACAAATATTATTGGAAAATTAATTTAAGATAAAGACACGTGTTGCATTACTATTGATTACTGAGATTCTTGATAAAATTTTCCACCCGATTTATTTGACATCAATTATTTCATAGTATATTATTTTTTTAATTTATTTTTTATACCAAAATTCATAACTTTTTATACTCTACAAATAGAGACTTGTGTCATATGATTTAGACACAGAAAAAAAATAAAAGGTGGGGTAGAGTATTGAATTTTATTAAACAAAACTATTGTAAAGGTTAAAATTGAAATGGGTGTTGAATGATTAGGTGGAAAAAGGAGAAGATGATGTGGAGTGAAAATGAGGGTGTTGAATAAGTAAACCATTGTAGATAGTCCAAGTAAAGAGAAACTTACAATTTCCTTAGACTGTCAAGCAAAGCTCTTGTTCCCTAAAGTGTGTGGTGTCTTGTACTGGCTCCTACTTCTCTTATTTTGCTCTCTCAATTTCTGGAACTCATACATTTTACCATATTAGCAACTCATAACATTAAACAAAAGAAATAAACCAGAATACTTGTATTACCTTAGCTTTTTCAATAAACTGTAAAAGCACAAAATCAGGAAAACCAGTAAGTGTGTATCCCAATGAATCAATTTCCAGAAGTTTATCCTACAAGAACACAAAGCATTAAGTAAATCTGAGAAGACCATGTCCTTTGAGACACAGTTGATTCAGAAGCATCAACTCTCACGGAATGAGAAGTGACACGAATCAGAGATGGAGACAAGCACTAGGGAAAAGATGTGGAACAGAGAAACAAAAAGTCTCACATGGGAAATTGAGAAGCGGAGTGATATACGAATCGTAGACGAGCTCAGCTGTGCCGGAGACGGTAACAGAGAACAAGGAGCGACGGATAACAAAAAAATATGTTGTGCCGTAGAGATTAAACAAACGAATTGGAGATGGAACGACCTCGATTAAACAGAGAGATCCCCAATATGCAAGAGGATTTGGAAACGACACACAGTTAGGGTTCATAAGGATTTTTTTTTTCTTTTTTTTTTTTGTTCATTAAGGACTTTAGGAAAAAAAAATTAATTTGCAAATCTATCATAGTAGGGAGCCAAAAAATTAGGCAGTGAGTTTCATATTTTCCTTTTATGATTTAAAACCTTTACTAGCATCAGTTACCAAATAACTGATGCAAACCTTTTCTAATTAGCATCAAATACAAAGAAGTGATACCAATATATTACTGTTAGCGTCGTTCATATATAATCGTCGTAAGTTTTAACTTTTAATATTTTAACATTGCTTTACCAAAGTGATACTAGACGTAACGCTTTTATTTTCTTTTAGTAAATAAGTGATATATATTAAATAAGTGATGCAAGATAGTTAATTTTTTTGTAGTGTATCACATAGCATCGAAGAACCCTAGAATTTTGGGTTTGCGTTTGATTTTTTTTGTAGAATTTGTACTCATTCTATGCTTTTCTCTTCTAAAATTTACAGAAATCTCAGTTTCTCCGCAGATTCCACTCCGTTTCGTCTTTGTCTTTGATCGTTCGGGTAAGAAAATTTCATATCACTCCAGCAGATGTTCCTGTGAATTTTGGTGTGAAAATCTGCTTCGTTTCCCTATTTCCAAGTTACGAAAGTTTGTTTCTCTTCCGGTGACTGTATTTCTCGTCTGAAATTTGCAAAAATTTTACTCTCTCTAGATTCCGTCACGCCGTTTGTCTTCGTCATCGACTGTTCCAGTAAGAAAATTTCATATCACTCCAGCAGATCTTCATGTGATTTGTTTTCTGGTGTGAAAATATGCTATGTTTTCCTGTTTCTATGTTACAAAAGCTTGTTTCTCTTCTGTGAGTGTACTTCTGTTTGTTTCCCGTTTTGCATTTGATCTCTTTGTGAACTATTTACTTATCCTATGCATTTCTCGACTGAAATTTGCAGAGTGTTTAGAGATCACTTACGATGCAGAGATATGTTTAGAGAGAACAGTAGCTACGCTTAAGCTTTGGGTATTCACTAGTTGGGGATTTCTGTGGGCAATGGCATTGAGTATTTCTGGTTCTGCATTTGATCTTTTTGTGACTCTTTACGCCTCTGGACTGGAATTTGGAGAGATTGGAATGAATGGTGTTAGAAAATCACTTACAGCTGCAGGGATATGTTTAGAGAGAACAGTAGCTACGCTTAAGCTTTGGGTATTCCCTAGTTGGGGATTTCTGTGGGCAATGGCATTGAGTATTTCTGGTTCTGCATTTGATCTTTTTGTGACTCTTTACGCCTCTGGATTGGAGTTTGAAGAGATTGGAATGAATGGTGTTAGAAGATCACTTACAGTTGCAGGGATATGTTTAGAGAAAACAGTAGCTACGCTTAAGCTTTGGAGATTTCTGTTGACAATGGCATTGAGTGTTTATGGTTCTGCATTTGATCTTTTTGTATGTTTAATGATGTCATATATGTATATTTATTAACGAGCGCAAGGGATGCATAAATGGTTAGTGATGTTTTATGAGAGGACAAGATGCATTATCTTAAGGAGTATCTTAAGTAAATACCCTAATGAAGCTGTCTTTATATTATAAAACGAAGAGAGTATGTTTTATTAATTTAATAATATTAACCCTACTTTGTTATTTTAGATTAGCCGTTGTGTCCATCAATCTTCCGGTTGACAATTTTCATGAATAGAAATTTGCACTCACTTTGCATTTACTTTTGTAGGATGTGGGATACTGGGATGAAACATTGAAATGGAGACTAATAATGATATATATTTAATATTTAGTAACAAAAGTTTACAACTTTTTTTCCACGTATTAATTTTTGTAACATCACTAAAGCTACAACTTAGGATTTGATGTTCTTGAGAGATTGATTTGGTTTACCACATATAAGAATTAGACCCTAATATTTTTGATTCAGAGAAAACATTCCTTGATAAAAACGGCTTTGGAATCTGCTTCTGTGTGAATGTGAATGGGTCCACTATTTTGCTTGATGATAGAAATCAACATACATAAACAAATAAAACTTGCAAATGTTATATAATCTTTCATGTAAGAACTCTTATGATTTAGTAAATGCATGAGCTTCTGGTTATGGATGATTGATACGAACTTGTGAAGCATCACAAGACTTTGACACTTCTTATTCCTAATAAAAAAAGATTGGTTAACATCATCTAGTTGTTGGATTATAAGCTATGAAATTTTTTTTTTTTTAATATTTTAAGACTGGAATAAATTTTACCTCTATAAGTTTTGATTTTTTCCATCAGCCAACACAAATTCCAGATTCTAACCCGTTTTGATTGTATATTGTCATCATGAGTGCAGGATTAGAACGTGGACTCACCATGCGATTTTGTAAAGCCGCAAATCGCTTAGATATGCAAATGAAACTACCATGGAGATATTATACAGTATTTTTGCTGGATGTAAAAGGTAAATTTTTTCTTGATGTGCTGCTTTGTTTTTGCATGTATTGACAGGTTATTTATAGGAGATTGTAGATGTTTATCGTTAGGTTTTTTGAAAAGCGAAAAAATTTTAGTGATCAAGTTCTAAATCTCGGAAATCTTGTAATTCGAAATTAATGCTATTATAATTTACTAGAAATGGACCCACGCGATGCGTGGGTTTAATAATATATACTCAATTTTGTTATAGTTTTGTAAATTACATTATTTTACATATTTTTTATTACAATACTGTTTGAAAACTATATGTAATTCTATTGGTAAAAACGGTTATATATATAATATAAATGTTATAAGTGATAATTATATATATTTACACGTCTACTTATAATATACTACATATATTAAACGTTTTTTTTTTGTATTGACTTAGTATCCTATGATTGTTCATTATATATTTTCTCTTTAAGTGCATGAATTCTTATGCATAACATTTTCTTTTATAATTCTAGAAACTCAAGTGTGATCTCTATTTTAAATCTGGTTTATCTTTTCCAAATTTATATCTTTTTTTTTGTCATCAATTTATATCTATTGTATTTACAAACAAAAAAGAAAAGATATATATATATATATATATATATATAATTATATCTTATTTTTAATATATTGTCTTTCTCTTTAGAAATTTAGCTTTCTGAGAATAATTTTGTCACTCAATTCCGATATTTTTATATTCTCTTATTTTTATTTTTATTTTTTGTTTCTATCTTATTAAATTTAATGTTGTAATTGTGCTCTTTCTACCTATATTTGATATTTTTAAAATAATATTTTATAGTTTTAATAAGTGCATAGTGTTTGTATTACTATCAATTGCATTTATAAAACTTTATATTGTATTTTTGATAAGCTAAAAATTAAAAGTATACATAATTTTATTTTAGTTTTGTTTTCAATTATTATACACGATACTATCAAGCTATATTTTAACATTTTGTTTACTATAATTTATAAACTAATCAACTATTATTTTAATTAGTAATACTAATATGTCATAAGATATATCATATATCTCTAATTCACTATATATTAGTAATATGTCATAAGATTCATCACTAATATGTCATAAGATTAATCACTAATTCACTATATATCTAAAAAATGTATGTCTTTTCAACTTTCATACAATTTTTAGAAATACCCAACATATTGATTTTTAAATATGTCATGATTCATTACTATATTTTTTTTTAAAGCTAATAAATGTATGATCTTTCAACTTTCATACAATTTTAGAAATATCCATCATATTGATTTTTAATATATCAATTTTAAAACTGAAATGTTTATAAGTTTTTAAATATGATTTATCTTAAACATTTTCTCGCTAAAATTCAAATTATATTATTATGTATAAATTTATATTTCTTTTTTTTTTTTACTTATAATATTAATTCATTTGTATTATAACTTAAATATTTTTAATCATAAATAACAATAAGTAAAAATAAGTATGTATTGAATGAACATTTTAATAAATTTTGACTTTTAATTTTTAATTAGATGCATGCTTAGGTGGATGATGATGTGGATAGCTTATATGGAGAGAAGACTCTCCCATTATATATATATAGATTCAAATTATATTATTATGTATAAATTTATATTTCTTTTTTTTTTACTTATAATATTAATTCATTTGTATTATAACTTAAATATTTTTAATCATAAATAACAATAAGTAAAAATAAGTATGTATTGAATGAACATTTTAAATAAATTTTGACTTTTAATTTTTAATTAGATGCATGCTTAGGTGGATGATGATGTGGATAGCTTATATGGAGAGAAGACTCTCCCATTATATATATAGATTATAATATGAGAATCGGGCATATTCTCTAAATTAAATATGGTACAAAGTACAATAAGCACAGTGCTTTAAGAAAAATTCACCAAATTTGATTTCATTTTAAATTAAGAATTATATAAGCTAAAGTTCGTATTTTCCATTAAAGTAGAGCTTCACTTGATTTGTGGACCGGTTATTTAAACTCATTTGTCAATCATACAGATACAGCCATTAAAGAAAAATTTCGATTGAAATCGAAAATAGGGTTTTGGAACGAGAAATCGAGAGGAGAAGAAGAAGAAAAGAGGTTAGTGGTGATAGATCCTGTTGAGATTTGAGTTCTTGATTAAATCCTGCAACAAAGAAAAAGGAATCAGTGAGAAGAAGATGAAGAAAAGAGAAGAAGCACAACGAAGAAGATGACGAACAAGTTTGGTTATAGTCTTAGGGTGATAATACCTAGAAGTATGGTCTAGAGTCCAAGTAAAAGCATGGTGCAAGTGTGTGTAGTAAGTAGAAGTAAAGCTAGTGTAAGAGTGTGTGTGTGGTGTTGTGTAATGTTATCCTTGTGATCCATTAATACAATGTAGACTTCTAAAGTAAAAATGTGTTCTTGTTTTCTCTCTAGAACAAGTGAACACAAACGAGTAAGAAAGAGTGAAAGATAAAGAGAATGTGAGAATGTCAACATGGTATCAGAGCTTACTTATCCTTGGAGCCTGTTCAAGAAAGAAGGATGGGTCCATGAGAGATGTTACCTCTAAGCCGTGAGGAAGAACCTCCAAAGCTGAATGATCCCAGAGCCTGCATCAAGAAGAAGAAAGGTTAGGCCGAGAGGGAGAAGATGTCAGTCTAACGTAGAGACTGAAGAAAAGAAGAAGCAAGAGACGCAGCACAAGAAGCTGTAAAGAAAGATGGAGACAGCCATCAAAGAAGAAGAAAGCTGGCCGTTAGAAGATGACGGCAAAGATGAAAGAGAAAGAAGAAGAAGAAAAGAAAAGAGAGGTACGGACCTGAAGCTTGGTGAGAAAGAGACCAAGAGGATTCGGACCTGAGAGAAAAGAACAAGAAGCTGGAGAACGAGTAGTGAAAAAGTAAGATCGAGATCTGAGATGAGGAAATCTGATCGGAATCTACAAAAAAATTCAGCTCGATGGCTCTGATACCATATTACAAGATAAGAACCGAGAGAAAAGTTTGTTAAGATTTCGATTTCTTATTTCTTGAGAAAGTAAAGCTGTACAATTTGTTTCTTATATACAAATGTCTCCAATAGTTGCAAATCCCTTTCTATAGGCGTTTTGCCGTCAATACTGTCGTTGACTGCTCTTACTTCCTCATGTCTCACCAATCCAAGCTCTGCCTCGACCTAAATCCCTAAAAACTTGTTCTCTTATTTGAGTCAACAACAAAGGAAATAAACGCAAATCACGTGACTTCAACTCGACTTGCTGTTTTGAAACCTTTGACGTGTTGAGCTGCTTACTTCCACTTCTACTGTTTCCAAGTGGTATCAATACTCCCGCGGTCCAAAAGAACCTTGTCCTCAAAATCTGGAAAGCTTGCTATGTATTCCCACTTTTGGAGTGACAGAGAAGGAGAATTATTGAACAATATAATGAACCGTAGCGAGAGATTGATGTGTGCAACCGGCACATGGGGTTCACGTGAAGAGCTGACCTTCAGATTATCTTATTCATCGGCACTAATCACATTGGTTTGGGATGCATATTTAATACTTACATAACAGATTCTTAAATTTAATATTGCGTTGTGTATTTCCATCTTTTTGTGGTGATGCTGGATGCATATTTTATTAACTGTGAACGGAATAATATTAGTCAATGTCGTTATCTAATAACAGCAGTCTATGAAACACCATGATCTGAAGCTAGCGTCGTCAAAATTTTGTCTTATTGTTAAGTTCATTCATTTCAAAGGTGTGTCTACTATGGCCATGTTCGTTTGCCTGTCGCTGAATCCAGCGACAGCTACCAGCAATAGCGATCAGCGACCAGCGACAGCATGTATTGTTCGTTTGTCTGTCGCTGGATTCTGCGACCGAAACCAGCGACTGATCGCTAAAACCAGCGACTGACCGCTGAAAATTTCGGCGACTGAAAATTGCAGTCGCTGGTCGCTGGCGACTGTCGCTGCAATTGGTCGCTAAACAAACGACAAGCAAACGAACAACTTTTAGTCGCTGTCGCTGGTTTCAATCGCCAGTGACAGGCAAATGAACAAGGCCTATCTAATTCTTACTATTGATTTTCAAAATTTCTCAGCTTATAAATGTTAATAGATATTTTTGCATGATTATGAATCAATTTGAGATGGATATAAACAGCTTATACTATATGTTTTCTGATTAGCACATTCCATAAGATACCATAATAGTTAATGTTAAGTAGTATTGGGCTAAGTGTTATATGGGCTTAGCCTTTCACATGTTTAATGTCCGTTTACAAGCTAATTAGGTCGAACACCATACTTGTGTTCTCAGCCAATATATAAGGCTATACTTTATATTGCTTAATTCTTAAGAAATTCAGATTATACTATCAAGGGTTTCTTGACAAGTAGAACAAAGCTTATATAGGAGGTAATCAGTACTCTTCATATTCTTCTTCTTCTTCTTGTGTGGCTAGCAAGATGCTTACATGAAGTTTGTGTTTGAGATGCATGGAGAAATTTTCAAAGCCTTGGCCATTAGAACGTCATACTTCGCAAGACCAACCGGGGTCCTCCTCAAGGTCCTCCTCAAGGTCTCCTGAATTCACTCCATCTGCCACTAGAAATCTTTCCCAGACGGGGCGTTCTATAGGATTAGAGGCGGTTTGAAGATGATCAAATGGTAATTCCTGAATAACGTGGACTCTGTTCAACTCTAGCATGCCAAGATATCCAACGAAGTTCTTCTCACCGGATATAAGCATTAAATTATCCCAAGGTGGTCCAGCCATTTTCCAACCGGAAATTTTCCTTTGAAGGCCAAAAGATTCTGTTTCACAAACTAAAGGATTAAGACTCTATGCAAAAAGGAAAATACCAATCCAGTAATGTAGAAAGACATAAAGATTAACTTACTGGTTCGGAGGTTAGAAAGAGAGACTCCGGAGGAATAGAGCGCTTGCAGGATGTCGGTAGAGACGTTTGTTAGTATGCCAAGGCCAGTGATGGAGACACCACCAGTGTAGCCTAATTTCTTCAATGCTCGTTTGATACATGGACCTACACGACCAGCATCATAGCCATCGGGAACTGGACAAGTGCTCATGCCCCAAAAGACCCGTGTCGCAGCCTCCTTCCTCGCCATCATCATTCAAAACTTGAAGCTTAAAGATTCAAAATTTGGGCAAAGAAATCTGTTATGAGCCTCAGCCCTCGCCACGGATCTAGTATAGTATGCCCTTGTTAAACTTTAAGAACAGAGTAAGAGATAGCAAAGAGAATAAGGTTAATGTTGGAAGTTGGATTTTTATTCATCATAAGGTTTTAAGACCATTCTTACAAGCTCATAAACCGTCATTAAGAAAAGGAAAAACTCCAAAATTAAACCATAGTTCTAATGTAAATTAAAAGGAAACTACTCTAATCCTTAAATCAAAACAAAAACCATTAAACCAAATAAAACCAAAACACCTAAACCATAGCACGTATATATCAAGAGGTGATGGAGTCGATGAGACGATGACTATTCAAATGTTGACATGTTCAACAAAAACAAATTTCATAAAAGTTACTTTATTTACTTTATAATCGACTAATCGTGGCTAAGGTGATGAGTCGATGACTATTCAAATTTATTTTGAAACAAGATATCATATTCATCACCATTCGTCCCCACGCCTCTCTCTCGTCTAAACAAAAAAAGGACAAACCATGGAGTTGGGAAAATCAACGGAGAATCAAAACGACGTCATGGTATTACTAGCAAAGCATGTCATCGCTACCGTTGCCAACGGCTCCAACCTCGTCTTCTCACCAATGTCAATCAATATTTTGCTCTGCTTGATCGCAGCTGGTTCCAACTGCGTCACCAAAGAACAAATCCTATCATTCCTCACGTTACCCTCATCGGATCACCTCAACGCGGTCTTGGCCAAGACCGTATCTGTTGCCTTCGCTGATGGATTGGAGAGAAATGACTTGCACTTATCTACGGCTTATGGTGTATGGATTGACAAATCTTTATCCTTCAAGCCTTCCTTTAAAGATCTTTTGGAGAACTCCTATAACGCTACTTGTAGTCAAGCTGACTTCGCAACCAAAGTAATTCCTCTATATATGTTTTCGCAATTCTTATTGAATTTGTTTGCCTCAAATTCTTGGGTAACCATCGAGGTTTCATGAGTTTCCAACTTGAAACTAATTAGCAAGTGCATCAACCTTATCAAAAAAAAAAAAAAAAAACTAACTATCAAAATGGATATGAAACATATCTTTCTTTAGATGTGAGATACGTTAGAGTAATGTTGCAATTTTTCTCATTGTGTGGGTTATGTTTATTACATTGAATTTTTTTTAATGATTGGTTAATTTGTTGTTCACTTATGTTGAAGCCTGCTGAAGTGATTAATGAAGTGAATACATGGGCTGAAGCCCACACCAATGGACTCATCAAAGAGATTCTTTCACACGATTCTATCAAGACTATCCGTGAAAGTACGCTAGTATTTGCAAATGCAGTGTACTTCAAAGGAGCTTGGAGCAAAAAATTTGATGCAAAGTTAACAAAAAATAACGATTTCCATCTTCTTGACGGCACCACGGTGAAAGTCCCCTTCATGACCAATTACAAGAAGCAATACCTAGAATATTATGATGGTTACAAAGTTTTGCGCCTTCCTTATGTAGAGGATCAACGTCAATTCGCCATGTACATTTATCTTCCTAATGACAAAGATGGATTACCTACTCTGCTTGACGAAATAAGCTCCAAACCCGGATTTCTTGATAACCATATTCCGCGCCAGCGTATATTAGTGGAACCGTTCGGAGTTCCCAAGTTTAAGTTCTCTTTTGAATTTAAAGCTTCAGATGTTTTGAAGGAAATGGGGCTGACTTTACCATTTACACATGGTAGTCTAACCGAGATGGTTGAGTCGCCTTCCATTCCCGAGAATCTATGTGTTGCCGAGAATTTGTACGTCTCAAATTTTTTTCACAAAGCTTGCATTGAGGTGGATGAAGAGGGAACTGAAGCTGTTGCCGTTTCTGTTGCCAGCATGACAAAGGACATGTTGTTGATGGGAGATTTCGTAGCTGACCATCCATTTCTATTCACAGTGAGAGAAGAGAAGAGTGGAGTGATTTTGTTCATGGGTCAAGTTCTTGATCCTTCAAAACATTGATTGAAATTATTTGTTGTATTTTTGTGTGTTTATATTTGGTTTGATGGAATTAGGTTTGTAAAATAGCCATTGAATTTCGTCTTTTTTTTTTTTGCTTGGTGTCTAACAATAAAACTGATTTTTGACTAATGGATATATAGTAAATTTCTTATGGTAGTTTCATCTTTTTTAACGGAGTTGCAATTAGGTCGAGTCGAATAAGGGTATCATGTGTATCTCTTCGTAACTTCCGTATACTTACTTTTTCGAATTGGAGTAGTTTGAACCTTCTACAAAAATCCGCACGACGATAGGTTTTTGAAATATGAAAGCATATCTTATACACAACCGCATCACAGGATCATGTCACACCGATTGATCGATTCAAATGTGAGAGCGATCAATGCAGAGCCTCATGTAATTAGATCTTCCGTCATCTTCGATCTTTAACGCGTTTTGCTTTAAACTTCATCCAAAAGTATTTTATAATCCGCAAAGAATATTGAAGCAGGTAAAATTCAAAAATACCTACACATGCCCAGCCCACTAGATGGGTTAGCATTTGATATAAAGTGGTTATTAGTTAAATTTAATTAGGCTCTAAACTATTTGAAGCCCAATATTTTGCGACTATGTTCAGTGAAAATGAGAAGTAACTAAGTTACTAATGTGAAGTACCTGTAAAAAAACGTTTACCCAGTGAGGTCAATTTTGGATATATGCAATTTTGCTAAACGCACAGAAATCTAATGAATGTGTAGTTTTGAATGATATCTTCTTAATCAGTATTCTTCCTTTGTTATAAGTTATAACCTTCAAATATTTTAGACTCACGTCATCAAGCTATATCTAAGAAAGAAACTTCTACGCCACAGTTAAAGAAACAAATCTTAAAACGAAAATATAGGACAACTGAACTTATTTAACTTAGAATATTCTCCATATTCTTTAAGAATCTACAAAAATAAAATACGAAAATTTAGGAAAATATAGTACTAAACCTTTTACCATAAAAAGAAAGATATTTTACTTAAAAAACGTTAGAAACTTTCACTAATATCTATACTATTAATTGGGAATCACTCAAACATAAGTAACCTTATTTTGGTAAATTAATTACAAAGAATGCCATTGGTATTTTTAAATTTGAAAAAGAATAAAAATATAATATCCATTTGATATTTGTTTTTTTATATAAAACAAAATCCAAAATTAAATCAACAAATTAATAACTACCCAATATTTATGGAAATTGTTTGAAGTAGTTCCCATAAAATAAACAAATTAATAACTACCCAAAATTTATAGAAATCTTTTAAAGTAGTTTCCATAAAAAATCTAACTATTAATTTCAAAATTGTATATATGTAAACTTATTTAATTTCGTAATATATTTTGAAATATTTCCGGAAAACAAAAAAAATCAATTTAATATCATCATATATTTTCGATTTTAATTTATTTCTTTAAGAAAATATAAAAATAAATTATGATTAATGGAAGAATTTTTTTTTGAAATTGTAGATATGTTAACTTATTTAATTTGGCAAGGTAATGTTAGATATTTCCGGAAACGACAGTCCAATTTAATATAATTGAAAAATAACAAACAATAGTTTATTTTTGATTTTTAAAATTTCCATAATAAAACTATACTAATTAATTTTGATTAGTTTAGATGGAAGAAATAAAAAAGCAAATTTGATTATTCCAATGTTTTAAGAAACAGTTATTATATTTCCCAAATATAATATAAACTAGATATTTTGTATTTTGAAATATAGAATATTCCTCGAATAAATTAGAGATTTTAGATTCGTCAAAATCTCGAAATATTTTCTGATTTGAATGCAATTCATAAGCTCTAGACAATCCAAACTTTCATCTCATGTTTTGATTTATTTAATTAAATATAATAATTTTAAAAAATCAGTAAATATATATTAGGCTAATAAGACTTTATTAGTAACCTATAAAATGTTGCCCACTACATAAAAAATAACATATGTAACACATGTATCACTACATTAAAATTGTCGGACCATATAATAATATAATCAGTTTAAAGATTAATTTAGAAAATTATTATTACAACAATTAAAAAATTATCATGTGTTTTCCCATGGTTAACACACTATTGTTTTAAAACATCTACACACAACTCTTCACTAACCATAAATTTTCCATTTACACCAAACTATTAATACACTACATAAAATAAAATTGTTTTTGTAACACTACTGTATATCAATCAAAACTATAATATTTTCACATTTTATATAATTTTTAACTATTTTTAAAAAATTTTAAGATTAACAATTTTATAAAATTTACCCTGCACGAACGTGCGGGTCCAGATCTAGTATAGCATTAAAACAAAACAACAACAAAGCCAAACTAATCTAATATACCATTACGATATATAAGAATGACGACGGTGTACGTTTTACGGTTTCGTTCAATCTTTCACACATTTTGTTTTATTAAATTCATATATTACTAAAAAAATAGAGGAAATTCTTTAATTAAAAAAAAAATGTAAATACATATGAGCTTGAATTCTTAGGCGTTGACAATAGTGGTTTATTTGCATTCTCCAATTTCGCCGTTTTCAGGAGTTATGATTAGTTCTAATTGGTCCGTCCTAGTTCCCTTTTTGCTAGTATGGATGTTTGATTCTCTTAGTGAGGTAGTCTTTATTTAAGGAAGAGTCGCTCTCCGTTGCCAGGCCCGGCCCATCCATAAAGCAGCCAAAACATGTGTTTTAGACCCCAATTTATATATTAAAGTTATGGAAGTTATTTCTAATAATTTTAGGTAGCTTGGATGATTATGTAGGCTTTGGACACTTCCTGAGGCCGTGGGTTCGAGCAACCACAAATATTTTTACCCTTTTTCTTAACAATTTTTGCCTTTTCAGGTTCAGATAATTCTTACACTTTAAAAAATGCTTTAGGCCTCCATAAACCTAAGACCGGCCCTGTCCGTTGCCATGGATTTTCTCGTCCCTTTCGGTTAGCCACTTTGTCAAGCTATTCGCTTATGTAGTTCGGTGGCAGGCGAGTTGCTTGGTGTTAGATTCTGGTTTTATTGCTTGTGTTTCTCTTGTCTTAGTTACGACATTTTTTTTTATGTTGTTGATTTTATATTTCCTTTCCTTCACTTTTTGGGGTTTTAGCTTCCGATGATATCTTGTTATCTGTCGGCTTAGTTCTCAATATTGTTTAGTTTTTAGGTCTCGGAATTATTTCTTGGATCATCATTGTTGTATCTTTTATCATAAAATATAATCTATCCAAAAAAAAAAGAGCTTGGATTCATGTAGTTAGATTTGAAAAAAAAAACACTCACAAAAGGTTTTCAGCTATGTTGCATGGAAACTTTCTTCGAGGTCCGTTTCCCGTTTCCGAAACGTTTCGGAAACAGAAACTCTCGGAAACACCAAGAAACGTCACGGAAACACGTTTCTTAAAAATCTCTGTTTGGAAACACGATGGAAACTCACGTTTCCGTTTTGGAAACATGACAAATATTTTTTCTTTTTAATTTGGAAACTTATATTTAATAAATAGCATGAAAATATTAAGATTTATAATATATATAAATAATTTTGGGAGATTCGAGTTTTAAGATCTTTTTCTCGACGAACCAGAGTTAGAAACAGTTTTATATAATCTTTGATGGAACTAATGAAAATGAGAATGAAAATATTGGTCTAAATATTTGAATTCGAGCCTTTTAATCTTAATTTTTTAGAATTTTAGTTAAACTATTTAATAGTTTATGTTTTGGATTTGTGTTGTTTAAAACATATTTTTCTTTTAAATTCTTTTAGGTTTGGTTATATATATATACGTTTCCAAAACGTTTCCATTCTTTAACTTTAGAAAAAAACTCGTTTCCCGTTTCCGAAACGTTTCGTTTCCGCGTTTCCATTTCCGTTTCCATGCAACATAGGTTTTCAGAATATGCCACAAACCATTATAAATTTGCCGCATGTAATATTCCTCAACCACAAACAAAAGGGTATTAACGTCATTTCACTCGACGCAAACTAGAAGTTAACGAAGAGAAAAAATCGGGTCTTTTATCTTTTTTTTCACAACTGAAAACATTTATAAAAGCAGAGAGACTCTTCAGAGACTTCTCTCATAAGTTATAACCAAAACTCAAAAAAAAAAAAAAAAAAAAAAAAAAAACTCAAATTGCTTCTTCTCCTTCAATGGCAACGACGACGAGAAAAAGCTATTACCAACGGCCGAGTCAACGCTTCCTTCCAACAGATCGGACTTACCACATCACCGGAGATTCAGAATTCGAGTTCGACGAGTCCGATCTATACTCAACCCGCTCCGATTCGCCTGATTTTCGTCGGAAACTCATCACATCAAACCGTAGATCATCTCCGGCAACCGTAACCACCACGACGGTAGCTTCTTCACTTCCGATGAATGTACCGGACTGGTCTAAGATTCTCGGGAAGGAAAATCGTCACATCCGTCGGAAAAGCATCGATAACGATGACGACGGAGACGGTGGAAAATTGCCGCCGCATGAGTATTTGGCGAAGACGAGAATGGCTTCGTTCTCTGTGCATGAAGGAATTGGAAGGACATTGAAAGGAAGAGATATGAGTAGGGTTCGAAATGCAATTTTGGAAAAGACTGGGTTTTTAGATTAATTTCTTAAAAGTATAAGGTTCTCTTTTTTTGGGGTTTAGTTTTTTCTTAATAACAATTTTTACTAAATAACTGGTGAGAAGAAGAAGCATATAATATTTTCTAGATTATGCCTTCTTTTTTATATTGTAATTTTCGGTATATTGCAAAGTTTTTAATGTTGAGTATCTTGGATTATATTTTATTATTATCCAAAAAAAGTTTTGTACTGTAACTATTGTACTACCAAATTCCAAATCGGTGAAATTCGTACTTTAAAAAAGTTGTGGGGTACTTTAGCAACAAAGAAAAACTTGTGGGGTAAAATTGGATTATAATAGGAAATAGGGACAAACAGATTAATTATTGGTGGGGTTTTGGGGTTTGATGTGGGTGGGGTTGGTGAGAAAAGTAGAGGTTACAATTACATGAAAGTGACTAATTTTTTTGATAAAGAATTATTCTCAAGTAATGAAAATTTAAGATATTTTTATGTTAAAAACAAAATGAATAATTTAGAATAGACCATTTTTCATAAAAGTTTGTTTGACATCTGCCTTGTCCACGAGTGAGTGCATTTAAGATTTATTGACAATTTTTATGAATTCTGCATATATGTGACCTATATATTGGAGTATAATATTTATTAGAATTGAAATTGATTATTTATTTAGAAGTGTGGATGTAAATGAAATTGATTAATTTTAATTTGTGGAAGAGAAATTATGTGATCATGGGTTTGTTGTTGAGGTAGCAAAGGGGCATGCAATTTATGTGATTTCGAGGTTTTATGATTACATTGGGATTAAAACCCGCGCTATGCCGCATGATATATTTCTTAAATGTGTTTAACTATAAGTCAAACTAAAATCTTTTACTTAAAATGAATAAAAAGATGTTTGGAGAAAATTTTTTAGCTTATGTTCTTCATCACTAAAGAGTAACAAGTTCTCTAGAAGTGGAATATATGTTTGGGAGGATCCAATTGCCTACTACTTTCTTCCAAAACCTTTCATGAAACAAATGTATTCCACGTATCTTGCTTCCTCCAAGAATCACCGCCTTTTTTGTTACGCCTTGCAACAACATTAGTAACCCATTGCAGCACCACTATGAAACTTATTTTTTTTGTTTACTCAATGAAAGTTGTTGTTTCTTCAGTAACAAAAACAAAAGAGTATCCAAACTTGAATTTAAATAGTAACATATATATATATTAGATTTTAACCCGCGGTACACCGCGGGATGATTTAATTTTAAAGTTAGTATAAAAAAATATTTTGTAAATTGTATCTCCTTATAACATATTTATTTATATTATAGTTTACAATTGTTATTAAGTAACGGTATACCACGAGTCCACGAGACAATTATTAATAAACTGAGGATTTAACCCGTAATTAAAGCAGTATATAAATATTGATTCAAATTCGTCCGCCATATAAATCCTTTCCGAAATATAACCCGTTCCATAATTTCTTAACCCGTCCCGTGGTTTGTTTTTATTTTAAAATTTAATGATTATTTATTATATATAAAAGTTTACAAATCATATCGTTCTCTAAAATATTTATATTTTAATAAACTAAAGATTTAATATGTATTAAAGCGGCATGTTATTGATATTTTAAAATTTTATAAATATTGTTATTAAGTAACATTATACCACGGGGTAATTTTTGGTTTTATACAATCTTTTCTAAATGAGACTGATTTAATATGTCTAATATATGTGGTATTAAAAAAAAAAGATTTAATCCGTATTGAAGCGGCGGATTAATGATATTTTAATTTTTTATTATTGTTGATTCAAAAACCCGTCCCGCCAAACCCGTCCCGCCAAAAAACTCATTTATTTTATTAATGTTCTTATTTATGATATGATTCTGAATCATTGTCTAAATATTTTAATTGATGTAGAACGTTGAACACACACTTTCGTCAATTGGATAATATATGTCCGGTTTATAAATTTCGAATCACAGTATATGCAGAAAAAAAAATTGATTTTTTTTTTACTTTATGTATTATATGATGATTCGAAACAGTTAAAAACAAATCAAACAAAGATGATAGGAGAATCATAATTATAAATCTTAATCAAATCTTCTAAATATCTAAATTATTAAATATGGAATATCCGGTGTATGAGTTGGGTTAAATATAATCCGACCCAACAAATTTTTTGTGAAGGAACGGGTCGGGTATCCGATATACCCGGAAGCATTTTTACCCACCGTCACCAAAGTGTTGCAAAAATACTAGTATAGACTAGTATAGATATATATAAAGTTGAAAACATGCAGAAGATATAATAGGTGAATTGCATCTTATTAGACATCATTTGCAAACTCTCACTCAGCTTTGCTTCTCTTCTATGCTCCTAAACTTGCTATTGACATTTATACACTTCTAATGGGTCGGTTTATTCTGACTCGGACCCTCTCTTTCTTCTTCATCTCACCAAAGATCTTTCTCAACGACGTACTTTGCAAAGATCCAAAAAACTAAATACATTATGTTTTAAGTTAATTTTATTTTTTATGTAGACATTTTATTTTATTTTGAAAACATACATTTTGTGATACACCATGCTTGAATCAATTCTTTAGAATTCAGAATCACTAAACACTGCTTACAACACAAGCGGACTTTGTATTAAACTTCCATTATCTTTTCATATCTTGAACTTCAACAAAATTCACAAAGCGGAATTTTAGCTTTCTTTGCAGAGAGAAAAAGATTGATCTAATCTAACTTAAGCTATGTCTCAAATGTCAAAAGCAATCTACTTCCAATTAACAAAACAATGACAAGAGTTTTGGTACAGTGCTTGAGATTGTTTCCTTGAAATTAAGTATTGCAAAACATTCTCCATGGTACAAAGTACATTATTCTATCTTCAAGTTCAACAAAAAATCAAAACATGTTCTCAGTCTAGAATTGCAGAGAGACACAATATTATTTTAGTTATATCTTGTGCAATAATGAACTTAATTCAATGCTTCATAAATATTGAAAATTTATGCTTATGCTAGAGAGGATAGTGTTAAAACTTAAAACTATTACTTGCATATTGAAGACAACCGTTTGAGCACCATGAATCGATCCAACGAGAGGATCATAGTTATACGAGTCGAACCGTGTTGTCTTGGGATATATCCTCAAAAGATTCCACTGCGTGAACTTTACTAAATCAGGTCCACGAGTTTTAGCCAAAGTCTCAAGCCACTGCTCACTCATGCTTAACCGTATGTCTCGGTTAGGATCTCCATTTAAGCAGTTCTTCAACCCTCCTTTGTGGTTCCCAACGTGAATCGAGATTAAGTCTCTGTATTCGATCGCTGCACTCTCCTCATCTTTTTCTTGAACCAGTTCTTCTGCATCTGTCACAACACAAGACTCTAAAAAAAAATCAAGATACACTAATGGTTATTTTAACTCTGTTTTTTTTTTTTTGCTTTAGCTCTAATAAATTCATCCGTTGTTGAACCTTGAGAGATTTGGGTTTGAAGATACTCTTTTGGTGGCTTTGTTGAGATTAAGCTCGTAATCTTTAAAATGCTGAGCTGTAATATTGAAAATGCTGAGCTGTATTATTTAAAATGTTTTGATTGGAGTTCGTTTTTAATGATTTGTCACATCCAGGAAAGTTGAAAAAGTTGATGTGTCAGATCAGGAGAGAAACCTAGTGTTTTTATTGTATTGATTAGAGAAATATTCAAGCTAGTTGTTTCCAATATTTTTTAGGATATTGCCACTAGATTTAAAAAAAAAAAAAAACTGAGGGTCTAAACTTTAAACGGTAAATATTAGAGAAATTAGTTGAATAAAGATGAAGATGAATAAAATTTTACGTGTTTGTAATTTACTTAAGACTCTTAAATAATTCAGGAAAATAAAATGATACACAAAAAAAAAACTTTTAGAAGCATATGATATAATTAATAAAAAATAAAAAAAAATTTCAATTAAATTTTCTAAAACAAAGATTTTGCGCTTACTAATAATGATGTGACATGTGTCTCAAAAACATTTTCAAAGATAAGAGTTGAGATCTTCGCGATATGTTTTCCGGAATGATCAGTATACGACTGATGTACAACGGACAATCTCATATAATAAAACTTATGAAAGCTAAACTTTAAAGTTAAATTCTGAATAGTTTTGACGGACGAACCATTGTCCCGAATCAATAAAAGCAGGCTATGCATTATGTTTGATGTCCATATCCATATTATCAACATCTTAGAATGCTTTTCCGATCAAAAAGATGTATAATCCTCTTTTCCGATCATGACATGTGGTATTTTCTCTTCCAAAGTATTTATTAGAATATCCCACATTGCTTGGGATTAAGGTATTTGGGCAATATATATAAGATGTGGCAATCCTTTACTCTTGAACTAGCTTTTGGGTTAAGTTAGACCACATTCCTAATATTGTATCAGAGTCCAAGATTGGCCCAACAAGCAAATTTCCCATAAAAATGGTTTTACACCTATGTGACCCATATAAGTGGCATGTCTTGTTGTATTTCCGAGATGTTGGGCTTGGGTTGTTTCCCGTTGGACCGTTTCTCACCCACATCTCGAGGAGGCCTATTAGAATATCCCACATTGCTTGAAATTAAGATCTTTGGGCAATATATATAAGATGTGGCAATTCTTAACTCTTGAACTAGCTTTTGGGTTAAGTTAGACCATATTTCTAATAGTATTCCATCAAACAATATATTGGATCTCAAATTGTATTGACCAAAACTCAGAATTCTAACATGTCCTCGAAAACCCTACTTCTATCTAGTCGTGTTGGTATATTCTAAATTGAGCGTTTGGGAGGTAAAAACTTATTTTTGTCCACTTGACGATAGGATATAGTATATTTTTTAAATGTCCACTTCTCTTAAAACATTTTGTAACTATGTCCCCCATTATTCAATGTACAATAAAACAAATCATTGCTTTTAGATGTGGCCACTAACCACTTTCACTAACAATCAAAGATTAAATTTGGTGCTAAAGTGTTGTGTACCATTGATTATCCATATAAATTATATTATAATATCTCTCTACATAACACAAATATATTATTGCAAACCCAATGTTTACCTTGTTATCTATTACATGTAGCCAAATTTTATTTTATTTTTCAAGTTAAACGTTCTTAATTTCTGTCGATAGTTGCATATAGCCTAGTGTTAAGACATAAGTTGATATCTTGAACATCCATGGTTCGACCTTGTCATCAATTCTATATAGAATGGTCCAAAGTGAGAACCTCCCAAACATAAATTTTTGATCAAATAAACTATTCAAAACGAGAATGCTGGATGATAATAGATTTTTCTAAACTAGCTAAAATATAGAGTCGGTCTTGTAGGTATAGAGTTGTGCAGAATCGATCCAATGATTGGCTGATATATTTTTGTTTGATTTATTAATCTCTCATATTATATCTTTTTTTGAATATGTTAAAATGTAAAAATCAGAATGTAGAGACAAACACAATTCCACAAGATTTGGATTCTCAAAACCTTTTACTACAAATCTTTTAATGATCTTAGTGATTCACATATTAAACTCAACATCAAAACAACCATTGACTTGACTTTAATGATCTTAGTTAACACACTTTGATGACTTAGACTTAGTCATGTCAGCTTCAACTTCCAATGGTGAACGAAACTGAAAGCATTATTTGTTTCGATTTTCACTCGACAAAGATTGACTCTTAGAATACCGAAAGGCCAATTTTTATAGTTTAAAGGTGATGACCCAGGACATTATGGGTATGGTCAATGCTTTGGTCCTCCTCACTAGTCACTATAACAACCATATCTTGATATTTCTAACAGTTTCACATAAACTGGTTTTGGTGATAAGAACAATTCGCACACTTTGATAAAAATAATATATCTATGTATATATGTGTAAATACACAACGTCGTTAGATCAACGGTCCATATCAGTTAGAGTCATCCGTTTTTAAAACCGAATTTTAACATCTAATTATGACTAGTTTTGAAATTCGTCTGTTAGTAAATTTACATATTATTAATAAGAATTTTACTTTAAATCTGATATTATAAATCATTACAACTTTATACATGGTCTTGATATAATAGTAAGTGACAAATACAAGTTGGAAAAAAATTACAAATAAAGCTTGAAGTTGATTGTCGTATACTTAATTGTTTTCCCTTCCAGTATGCAGAGCCGGCCGTAATGTTTTGTTTCCTAAAGCAAACCTAAAATATTAAGCCCATTAACAAGCATACTTATTAAATACTCCAAGGACTCGAACCCAAGACCAACCAGTTCTTGATCCTTGATCAAATCCACACGCTCTTTTGGTTAATTATATATAACCAAAGACTCTGAGAAACATAAAGAAAACTGAATCCTTGAGGCTTTGAGCCTTTGAGAATGCTTAGACTCTGTCCCAAATTTTATTGTTTAGTTATATGTTCAAATCTTTTAAGTAACTTTACAAAAAAATACAAGCAAAAGTTTTCTACGGTTGTTAGAGTGGGAGAATCCGAAGCAAGCTTATTCTAGCTCTAGTAGAGTTTACTAAAAGAGATAAAATAGATTGGAAATTGAATACATCATGAAAATTCTATTGTGCAAGAAATGTTAAAGAGAAAAGAGATTACATTGTCACCAAAAATACAAATGAATTTTCTTAGAAAAATTTCATATAAGATGGAGAGATACTTCTCTTCTTCTCATTAGACGAATTTATATGTGAATCTATTTTGATGAAAACCCGCCACGTGGGCTAATGAGCTATTTTCTTCTCAATGATTGGGCTGCTCTAATAGTTACACCAAAATCTTATTATATCATATGTGGGAGGTCTTGCACTTCGCAGGTCGACCACCGTAAACACCTTTAGTAGCAAGAAAATCAGATTTCTATAGACCATGAGGGTTAGTGTGACGTTCGGTTTGAGATTCTCTCGGTAATCCAAAAAAAGAAAAAAAAAATCATATTTAAAGGTTTTTACCATATAATATTTTCGAATCAACAATATCCATCGTTAGCTAAAGCTAATCAACATTACGATCATTTTACTTCCTCGGAAATGTTTTGGTAACGTTTTGGTGACCAAGTTTTGTTGGAGAGTCTGCAACATGTAATGCATGTGGGAAGATGAGTGAGCTCTCACGCCTATAATAAAAACCTATTAGGAGAAAGTAAAATGGCTCACGGTTATAAAAAGCCCAACCCAACTTACAGTTAGCCCAAATACAGAATTTGATGTACGTTGAGATTTATCAGTGAGGTAGTTCATGAGATTTAATAATTTCTACAGCTACATATTTTGATCTTTTAGACTGAAAGTCCGAAACCTTCGTTGATCAATCTAAGTATCTAATTAACTGTGACATCTGAACTCCTAAAATGAATATTACAGTGACCAATATAACAAATTTACACAACTACAAGTACTATTTTGAGATGTGTCATGTGTGGGAGCTAGCTAGTCTTGGTCGATAAAGGGTGTTCCATATTTGGAACCAGTGAAAAATAAACTCATTAAACGACGACCTAGAAATATGTAAACACCTATTAAAATCCTATAAAACAAAAAACCGATAAAAAACTACGTAGTATGTATATCAATTATTCAAAGACTATGATCATCAACATTAGTTTCATTTAGTGTAACTTCATCTTCTTGCTCAGCTTCATACTTTCTTATTGTCATAATAAAAATCTATCCGTTTATTTTTCATTTTTGAAATGAACTTCTATACCACAATACTAACAAGCTATATATATGTTAGGAGATCTCGGAGATTACGAGATCGACTTGAAAAGAAAGTTAACATTTGTATAATATATTCTTATTATTAAATAAGTAGATTTCCTATTATATATATGTAAAGAACTTGCTAATCAAGTTATGATATTTGTATAAATAAGCCTATTGGCTAATGAATAAAATTGAGAGAAACTATTTTACTACTAAGATTTCCTCCAAACTTATCAATATATTTCATTTAACTTTAACAATTAATAGCTTATATTTGCCTTTTCCACCTAGAGCCAACGATGTATACTCTAAGCTTCTAGAGCCAACGATGTATCAATGACAAGATATATAGCATGATTTTTTGTCTTTTATTGCAACTTTGCACACCATCAACATCAAACTATGCTAACGGGGATTGCATTGTGATTTAAAAAACTAAATTGGGTAAATATTGTATTTTTGAGAAATTTGAGACAACATTTTCATCAATTTGAATAACACAAATAGTAAGAAATATACCAAAAACGGTAATATAAATATATAAAAGAAAATATCTTTTATTACCATATTATTAATTATCTAAATTTGGTTAATTCTGTTTTTTTCAAAATTATTCAAACATATATTTACCATTTTCCAAATTTTCATAACCAATTATAAAGAAAGAAAATATTTTTTGAGAAAAACAGAAAGGATATATATTTTTAGTACATCATTTCTAATATGCCCATATGGAAAAATAATGCATCCTATCATTACATACAATGTATAGAGGCATGACAAAATCTTATTGACCACCTTATTAAGAACTTTTTTGGTGTATAGTACAGTAAGAATGATTTGCTAAAAGATTTTTTATTTATATATATAAATTAAGTTTTTATGTTATTTTTGTTTTAGTCCTTAAAACTCAATGTGAATAGTTAGCTAAACTAGAAAAGAATCTTGTTAGTCCTCAAATTGGTTTAGTTATGAGTTCACATCATATGAAAAGAATTTGTTTTAGTTATGAGTTGTACATGTTAGTCCACATTACATGTAAGTGTAACAAAACCAAATTAAAAAGATTTTCATATCTTTGAACTTAAAAAAGATGTTCATAACAAACTGTTACTTCAAAATAATCATACAATATCTAATTTGTGGTTAGATAAGACAATCAGACTCTTGCATTCATTAACGAACATGTTATATTGCGTATACTTTTAATTTAGGGGGATTGACCTGCACATTTTGGAGATAAGGGTAAAAATGCAAAAATGACAAGTTGGAGGTATTTTTTTTTGCAAAAACCCTTAAAACACGGGCCTTTTATGTGTATAAAACGAGGAGATTAGATAATAAAATACATTCCAACAACTTATAGATTGCTTTCACATTCACCAAACGTTCTACAGTCAAATTCGATTATGTCTCGTCTCAACGCACAAGAACTACATGTTTTCCATGCTCAAGATAGAGATATATTCTCTAAATTGGTCCTCAAATTCTTAAGACCTCCGGCTGAGTCACTTCTTGTCATGGCCACATGGCTTTGGCTTGAGGACTTTGGCTTTGAAAACATTTTCTCAATCATCCTCACTCTCCCAGATCCACTCATTGTGGGTCTTGCTAACGAGGCTGTCTCATGCTTTCGGTGCCTTTATTTCAGCAATCCCCCAATTGGCCGAATCCCTCTCACCGCAAAATACATGAAAAAGAATATATCACTCCAAACAATCTACAAAAATCGCTATAGTGCTATCACAGGAATCAAGAACTTCTTAACCACTGTTTGTTCCAGAATCTTTACCGACATCCTTTTACGAGTTCTTCCATCTTCTTCAATGCCTTCCTTTGACACAAGACTTCGCCAACCTCGTAGAATCCCCGGTTTCCCTCATCCGATTTTCGGAAGCATCAACGTGATGCCTATTGAAGTTGATAGAGATAATTTCTCCAACAACTTATTTTTCATCCCACATGGTCTATGGGGCTGGAACGCTAATTGCATCGCCACTGAGAATGATCGGTCCTTGTTTTTAACATTTTCTCGTGGTTATCCAGTGACTCATGCAGAGATATTTGAGCTCTTTACCAAGGAATATGGAGAAAATTGTGTTGAGGGAGTTTACATGCAGCATGACAACAAAAAATCTCCCAATGCAAACGCGAATAGGAGCTGCGGGCAACAATCATTATTCGCGAGGCTTGTCATGGACTCGGTTGCTACCGTGGACCGCGTACTCGACGGCGATCAGAGAAAAGAGCTTGAGATATACGGAAAGAACATTTGGGCTCGTAAGTACGAGAAGAGGGAGTGAGGGACAAACCTACCTAGCTAATTGATCAGAGCTAGAAGAAGATTTTATTTTTCGTTCCGATACTTTAGTGATGTTAAAGTATTTATCTTATGTTGTAGTCTAATAATTAAAAATCATATGTAAGCCCAACCACATTTGGCTGCTTCATTTTGAAGGGATTTTTAAAGATGTTATAGTTGCTAGCCATATAGAACTGGAACACGATTTAACTTAGGAATTTTATGAGAATTTCTTATCAATTCGAAGATTAAAGGCATTAGACACATGAAATTCTCAGAAAATCAGAATGCAAAAAATTTAGATAGTTAGACTATAATTAAGAACAATGATAGATGAAAAACCCAACAAATGTATCCCAAATCTAACAATCAAAGATTAACAAAACATGAATTTTCCTTTGAAATCCCTTAACCAAATAAGAAGATTAATTAGACCTAAAATCGAGAAACAAGAAAATATATTTTTAAAAGAAATCATCATAAATTTGAATTGATATAAAACCATAAGTTCATAAATCTTATCCAAAAACACCGTAGAGTGAGAGATTTGTCACTCCAAGATTACAATTACAAAACACTGTCTAAAACTAGATAGAATGCAAAATAATTAAAACGAGTCTAAAATATTTATATGTTTTTATTTGAAACCGAGTAAGAACTGTAAAGATGGATCATGAAAAAAGAAAATGGGGCAAGTCTTCATAGATCGACTGATCCAGGTTTGAGATCGATCGATCAAGGTACTTTAAACCAATAATCTATACTAGATCATATTAGAACCTCGAAAATCTTGCTCTAAAACTTGAAAGGAATCAATGAAAGTTTTTTAAACAATAAAATTTTACTTTTGGAGCAAACCAAATTACTTTTCACGGCAGCTTAAGAACAACTAATCATATTTCTTTAGACCAAATGCACTAAACTATACGAGTTTCAACTTTCATCTACGAAGATCGGTTTTTGCACCCCCAAAAGGTTGGTATTTTCCGAAGCAACTATATATAATTAAGATCCTACTTAACTACGTTTAGGAGTTCAATATACTTGAACTCGATAAAATGTGTAAGTAAACCAAGCTTCTAATCTCAACGAAAATCGCAGTTATATATAAAAAAAAAAAAAAAACGAAAATCGGTTTACACTAATCCAAACTAAACCAAGCTTCTAATCTCAACGTATCAATCAAATACAAACCAATCGTGAAACTAGTAGTCACAAATAATATTTTTTTTCTCAATTGTTTTATTTATTTATTTGCTGAATTATGTCTCACCGAGATTAGAGTTTTTTTTTTTTTTTGGATTCTTTCTAAAATTATGTGATTTCTCATTTTGTGCCTCTTCTTCTTCTTCTTCCTCAAATTAGGGTTTTTTTTTTTTTTTGTTCAGGCGAGTTTCTTTGACGAGTAGCCCTAAGATTTTAGTGATTGAGTTTCTTCGCTCTGAGAAGAGATCTAATTAGCTCTTCTTCTTCTTCTTCATCATCCTCTTGTTTCTTTCACCATGTTTTGGAAGTTGACTGCTCTCTCTGCTGCTTCACCGGTGAGTATATACAAAGTCTCTCTACACATGAATTCGGAATTGTTATCGTCCTTTTCTGAATCGATTGTTTCTTTCTGCATCTGCTTTGTTCTTACGCAAAGTGAAGATTTCTGAAATGTTTTTAGATTTCGTTTGTTATTGAACTGATTGATGAAAGATAAATTCGCTTGTCAATGATTTATGTGGAGGTTAATTGTATTCTTCTTCGAATTTGTTGTCTTCTTCTTCACACCACTGTTATTGTGTATCAATGATTTTGTCTTCCAATAGTTTCATAGTCATGGTGAAATTGTTCTTGGAAGCTGGTAATGTAGTTTAGAGAAGAGAGAAACTAAATAGGAATGATGTAGTTTGCGGCGAGTGTGCAGTTTTTATCCGTTTTAGTTTTCTTATGTTGAAGTTGCGATTGACAGGTCGAATCGATATTAGACAAGGAAGATTTCACTTTGGAAGAACTATTGGATGAGGAAGACATAATCCAAGAATGCAGAGCTTTGAACAGCCGGCTCATAAATTTGTAATTCATTTTAGGCGTCCTTCTATTTTAACCTTGTTGTAGTTTATGTGTAGGATTTGTTATGTTTTTAGTTTGTACAATGACATGTGTCTTCTCTTTATATTAACCATTCCTTAAAAAGATTGAAGAGGATATGCAAGTCAGCAGATATTGCACGAAAAGTAGATAGAATCACTGCATACTTCCTTATGTTTTCTTTGCAGGACCATTCTGGTATATTATGGAAGTTTTTAGTTTCTCATAGTAGTAGCAAGAGTTGCAATGTTGGCCTTTTATGCTTTTATTTTGTATGCTCATTTGCAGTCTGAGAGAAAGAGCCCAAGTGGAACAGTTGTTACGTTTTATTGTTGAAGAATCTCCTGAAGATGCTGATAGCAAGCGTGCTTTCAAGTATGTGCATTGTGGTTTGTTAGAGATAACTTCCCTTGCTTTTGCTGATTAACTTTTATCCAGATGTTTAGTTTACCTGATTTAGAATATTTCTGGGAACTTTCATGAACCTAAGATTGATTTAACTTTAAAGCATGTTTTTCTTTTAGGTTTCCTTTCATCTCCTCTGAAGTCTTGACCTGTGAAATTGATGTTATTCTTAAGACTTTGGTGGACGAGGAGGAGGTATTATACTAATTTTCTTCTTCCTTTATTATGGTGAATGCAGATTTGTTATTTTGAGTTTGATGTTTCTTTTCCTTTGGTCTCATTTAATGGTTTATACTTCTGTTGCAGCTAATGAACCTACTTTTCTCCTTTTTGGAACCCAACCGTTCCCACAGTGTAATGCTAGCTGGGTATTTCAGCAAGGTAATGTTTTCATTGTTCAATTTCAATAGTTCATTTTAGAATTTTAGTTCTTAACACTTTTTAGATATTTATGTCTCCACATGTTTGTTACATACCAACAATGTATCTTGTCTCTTTATGGAATAGGTTGTCATATGCCTCATGTTGAGGAAGACGGTCCCGCTGATGAACTATGTAAAAGTGAGTTCTATTTGGATGTTATTCGAAAATCTTGCAATAGCACGGAAATCATGCGAAGATCTGATTGAAAATAGAATTTGTGTAGCAGAAAGCATATTAAGTTGGATGTTCCCTGTCCTTGTAATTTTCTGTGCTCAAGAAATTCTTCTTCGACCTACTGTTAATGATAGTTATACTAAGTCGATATAAATTACATTGTGGCTTAGGTAGAAAATCCTTGAATAGTTCGGCATATCATTGAGATGCACATTTCTTTGATACTTGTTACTTTGTGAATTATGTGTGTGAAGTCAATATAAATGTGGCAAATAATGTTTTAAAATACCATATACAGGCTCATCAGAATGTTTTCCAGCAACTGGTTGATTTGATAGGGATCACGTCCATTATGGAGGTAAACCGTCCCTTTCTTATCCTTTCATTTGATTCTGGTAATCACTTTTAAGCTTATGTTCATGTGATTTATGTAGGTTCTTATCCGGTTGGTTGGTGCGGATGATCATGTGTATCCCAACCACCTAGATGTGATGCAATGGTTAGCTGATAGCAATCTGCTTGAAATGATTGTTGATAAGCTTAGCCCATCAGTGAGTATAATCTGTTAAACTGTGTATCCCTTCGTTTTGCTGCAACTTATTGGAATTTAGGAAGCATGGGCATTTTGAGCTACTTCTGATTTCTTCTCTTTATTATTATTTTAATATTGAGTGGGATCTGTTGATTCTTCATGTCGCTGCTACTCCAGAGCTATTGAAAAAGCACATTGTTTTACCTTTATAAGACAATAGAGAATAGTTGGAAAGACTCTCCTGCATTTGCACATCTCTGTTTTATTCTTGATGCGGTTGTTGATTTCCTACTTCCAAATTCCTAAACGCGGTATAGAGAAACTTCTCTGCATGTGTGGTTGTTGTTTCGGTCAAACAACAAGACTTGCATTTTCTAATTTTGATTAGTTTGAATATGAATATTCTCAGAGTTTTGTTTTTCATTTACTGTTTGGATCAGAACTCTCTTGAAGTTCATGCAAATGCTGCTGAAACACTGTGCACTATCGCTCAAAATGCACCGTCACCGTTGGCTACCAAACTCTCTAGTTCAAGGTTTGTAGGATGTCTTGTTCTCTTAAATATGCTGAAACTTTTGTAGTATTTTTGATGATTCAGTGACCTTTTTGTTTGCAGTTTTGTTGGAAGGATATTTGGTCATGCTTTCGAAGATCCCCAGTCCAAATCTAGCCTTGTCCACACACTTTCAGTGTGCATTTCGTTGTTGAGCCCAAGAAGATCTGTAGTTTCTTCCCCCTTTATGTATTCATTCAGGGGCCAACAAATCTTCGAGTCTCCAATTTCTGTGAATCCGGAGACTATTGCCACCATGCTGCCTAGACTTGGTTAGTCTAACAAATATGACCCTTTGTGTTCTGTACATGAGTTCATATTCGTTCCTGGTTTTCCTGCTGAATATTTTTCATCATAACATTTCTATTAGTCTTTTTCTGATTGCTCGGATCCGATACTATTTTGGTTCATCCTAACATCTACTAACGAGTAACGTCTCATACTGTTCCTAGTGACAAGAAATGTTTGCAAAACAATGATAATCTTCTCTTTTTGTTCGCAACAATGATATAATCTTCTACTTTATTATTTCATTACTGTATTTTCGTGCTTCATTCCACTTCTTAATAGTCGCATCGGCGTATATTCTTTCATCTTTCTAGCTAGATATATCTGAGCTCTCATTCTTGTTTAACATATATTTTAAAATTTGACTCAACTTCTTATGTGCTTGGACCACTTGAATTTCCTATATGGCTTTCATCTGTGGTGCAGGTGACTTTGTCGCACTTTTAATTGTGACCTCTGATGAAAAGATTTTACCTACAACCTATGGGCAGTTGAGGCCTCCTCTTGGCAGTCATCGGCTGAAGGTTAGGTTTCATTGTGAAATTTTAGTTATTGTCAACTGGAAGATGGTTTAGTCATAAGATGGATCTCTTGTGTGTGTTTTCTGTTGTGTAATATTTTCCTGATTTCGTTTTTATTGCTGATGGCTTGTCTTAGATTGTGGAGTTCATTGCTGTCTTGCTGAAAACTCGGAGTGAAGCGACAGGAAAAGAACTAGCCAGCTCAGGAGCTATTAGAAGAGTCCTTGATCTGTTTTTTGAGTAAATACTTCTCCCTTTATCGATTACAAAATTTTAAATTGTTCTGTATTTCTGCACGTCTCTTATGTTTTGCTTGGCTTAATTCATCTTTTAATTGTTCATTCCAACTATGCAGGTACCCGTATAATAATGCACTGCACCACCAGGTGGAGAGTATAATAGTATCGTGTTTGGAAAGCAAAAACGATGAGATTGTTGACCATCTTCTCCGAGAGTGTGATTTGATTGGAAAAATTATTAAAACAGAGAAACAGCCAATTCTTTCTGGTGATAAGCAGGTATGAATTGTTTCGCACATGCATATTGGTTTCCCCAATTCCGTGAGACAAATGTGGAACATCATATTGTGTGGTTGAAGCAATTATATTATACCTCTTTTTTTTTATCAGATTCAAAAATGACCCGTTGTATCCACTTTTCCACTTTTCTAAAGGATAAGATAGATGTACTGAGCTATAGATTAACTGATTCTGCTTTCATGCAGCCAACATTAGCTGCTGCTGGAAAGCAGGCTCCACGGGTGGGAAATATTGGTCATATCTCAAGAATTTCAAACAAGCTTGTTCAGCTGTCCACTAACAGTAACCAGATAAAGACTTTACTTGAGGTTCGTTTTCCAGAAACAGTAACGTTTTATTGTAACAATGATTGCAGAATTACTGTTAACTGCAGTATACCATCTTTCTACATATATCGATTTGAGTTGTGATAATTGGTGTGAGTGAATATCTATTTTCTTGTATCTATTGCACCACTCTGTTCTGTACTCGTGAAAGTAAACCAGTTTAAATTACTTTGTATTCCCTCTATAATGAAATGTCCCATGTCTAACTATCTTTCTTTCTAATTTTTAGGCATCCTTTTACGTCTGATCTTGTGTACAAATAGTTGCATTTTGTTTGGTACATACAACATTCTGATGCGTTGTGTTTTTCTTTTCTAGGAAAATAACGATTGGGGTGAGTGGGAAGCGAATACGTTGCATGATCGAAATGCAGTTGAGAATGTGTATCGCTGGGTTTGCGGGTATGTCTTTTAATCAAACATTTATGGCTTCTTGTCACACCTATTGATGCAACTACAGTGATGCATTTACAATATCAGTATTTACTTGCTAGGTTCTCTTAGTAAACTTGGTCCAAAAACATTTGGGTTTGAAAAATAGATGGCACAGTATCTAATTGTGCGAGTACTGAGTCTCTTGATAATAATTTATTTGATTTGGCATGCAGACGCCCGACTGCATTACATGATAGAACTAGGGACAGTGACGATGATGAAGTTCATGATAGGGATTATGACCTTGCTGGGTTAGCTAATAACTTGAACCAGTTCAGATACAACATGCAAGAGAACAATGGTGCTGGAGAGGTAGTTCTTAGTCTCTCTGATCGTATCTCTTAAAATTTTGGCTGAATCTAAATTCCATGTTTCTGGTTCCAGGATCATGGTTCCAATGACAGAGATGAAGAGGTATTCATTATAGTTATATGATGTTCTACGTTTAAAGAAATCACTGTCTATGATAGGCCTGACTTTAACATATTCTGTAGGATGTCTATTTTGATGATGAATCTGCTGAAGTTGTTATATCATCTCTAAGGCTTGGTGATGAACAGGCAAAGTAAGCTTCCAAATCTAATTTATCCAATCCATGTACCAGATAGAAAAGAACAACGGGTTCTAAAACCAATGAAATGGTTTTTTCTTGATGCAGCAATTTATTCACAAACTCGAACTGGTTCACGTTCCAAGGAGATGAATTGGGCGAAAACACAGGAACAGGAGCGATATCTTCAGAGGAAGCAATGGAAGATGTAAGCTTGAATGAAACTTCCGGTGGTGGAGATGAAGAAGATGAAGACTGTTTGATTACAGAAAGCAAGAACCCTTTTGTTGACTCAGCTGCAGCCACAGCCTCAACCTCAGAAGCAGTCTCTGTAGACGCTGATATCGAGATTGACGAAGATGTGGGTACAGATGAATTGTCACCGGAATGGATTGAACGTGTTGATTCATCTTCATCCGTTCCACCGGTCACTACAGATCCATTCCCTGAAGATGATGTGAAGATGCCTGATGTGAGAATCCCAAACGGTTCTTCATCCTCGGAAGATGAGATTAGCCCAAGATCACCGCCTGTACCTTCATTGTTTGGAAAGGACGTTGAGTTTGTGGGAGTTGAGCCAGAAGGAACCGAAAGGGCAATGGATCAAGCTCTCAAGGAAGGCATAGTGGGAGAAGCAGGGCCGATGAAGAGGAACACCACCACAGCCTCACCGGGAAAGGAGAGCCCCGATGATAGTATGCAGGAGTACAACGACACTAACTACTGGAAGGTTGATCAGGAGGTGACTGTAGTTGAATGACGTAACACAATCGTTGTCTAAATGATTGATGACGTGGGACATCATTGTCTGAAGGATTCCCGAACAGAGACAGACAGGGAAGGGAAGGTACGTGTGAATGTACAGTACTACTAAGTCTTAAAGTCATAAGTCTAAGTCATCTTTTGTTTTTGCATATTTTACCAAGTGACTGATTTGCTCTTTTAGGTTTTTTCAAATTTGAATGCTTTCGTTATGCCTATCAAGGATTTATTTTACTCACCTTTTCTTTTTACGTTTGATTATTGGGACTCTTGTTGTAAAGACTTTCGTGAGGGTTGCACGTTGGTGGATAATAAAAACTCTGAATTAAAATGTCAACTGAAATGGGTTTTGAAGCTATCCATTACTTGTCTAAATGTCATCTTCATTAGTAAAAGAATCATATATGACGGGTATTTGTTTTCGTTAAGGGGTACCCAATTTTTTAGTAGGGTATGGATACTAAAAATCTATTACCTGAAAGGGTTGGGTCGGAAATTCAATGGTACTTGTCCTGTGTCCACTCCCAGAGCATAGAGACCAACGAAAAATAACCTAACAAACCCTTTTAGAGTTGTACTCTTGCTGCTTTCAAGTCAGTGATTAAGGGTTCTACCAACAAATTCATACCAGCTAGACCTTGCTAGAAACCATATTCTTAGGGGGTTATTACTGAATTGGGCATTTGTTGGACCAAAAATTTGAGTGAAGGGACAATTGTCTGGGCTTCGTTTTTAGGCATTTCTGGGATAGATGTAATTATTAATTTATCCCTGCTCTCTCTCTGTATCTCTAGTCATCTTCTTCTCCCGACAAAAACTTTGCTTCTCCGACCAAAACCATGCTCCAGCCACAACCCTTGATTTTTCGACCATAATTTTGTATGCTCCATCAACACCATCTCCGTAAACTCCATTAACGCCGTCACTTTCTACTCTTAAACCTATCTCTTTCTCCGACGAAACACAAAACTTCTCCTATAAATTCAATGGATTCGATTGATTGTATTTTAAATAAAGAAATCTAAACCCTAATAACAATTTAGTAAACCCAGTGGCTCTAATCATAAACATTAATTGAATCAAAACTTCCAATTAAATTGAATAAAAACTTCCAATTCATCTTCAAATTTAAATCAAATTGAAAATTACATGTTTGTGATTGAAAAATCTTAGAGGAAATCGCGAAAAGAACAGTCGTGTGATTGGTCAAAGCGAGGCGATTGAAGCATTTAACAGTGATCAAGCCACCATCATCAAGGCTGAGCTCACCATCGCCGCCGTTATAAGTCGAGATTCGAGATTTAGTCGTTCTTAATCTTACCATCACCTTCTTCTACTTGCTTCTCACCACCGCGCATGCCGGGTCTCATCATCACCACCACCATCTCATTTACAGTGTCGTCTTCTTCTTCTCTTCTCTTATCTTGACCGGATCTTATCATTGTCACCGGATTTCATCATCGCAACGATCATCTCGTTCACCGAATTTCATCAGCGTCATCAATAAATAGCTTGTATCTCATCTACAAAATTATAAAAGAAAAGAAGCGTAGAAGGCTCGACATCATTTTCTTTTTAATCAAAAAGCAGATTAAAACTGTAAAAGAAGTTGAGCAAAATTGTATTTTCGTCATATGAGAAATGCTCAAATACGCAAGTACCGGAGAAGTGCCCTGATCTCGTAATTATTGTTGGAAATATTGCCAACCCGGTAATTGATTCATATTCTTAGACAACTGATGATATCTACTCACATGCAGCCTTCTGATTTAAACTCATTGTAATCCAAGATGGTTATAGCCGAAGATCGTTGATCGATATAGTATTTTTCTTTCTCTCGTCAATCCGTAAAATTGTCTAAATACAAATCTATGAAAATTTATCTAATTCAATTTAAAAATGGCCATGACACCGAATTGCGGGATAAACTGAGTTGAGTTGTTGGATAATTTGTTCAAAAAAAAAAAAAAGCGTTGTCGGAAAATCAATTTTCTAATAAATGAATAGATTTGTTAAGGCGGAGCTGAATCTACATTATTAATTTGAAAAGGAAAGTTGAAGAATATTAATTATTTTATTCAAATAAAATTCAAATTAATGTCATGTCATTTAAATATTAATAATTATTTGAGATAGTAAGAGTACAATTGAAATTTTGTTTTTGTTATAAGATATTGAGTATGAAAATAATTACATTTAAATTTTTACGTTTTAAATCGCATACTTTAGTTAGAATATGTATTTTTTCCAGACAAACAAATTCAGATATTAAACATTCAAATAAAAAATAAATAGGGAGCTTTTTTTAGGATCTTTCCCCTAAATAAAATAGATTGTGTAATTGGTATTATTAATTTGATGCCTTTCAAAATTGGAAAAATAGGTAAAAAAACCCTCACTTTTCTTAAAAATATGTAAAAAACCCTCAACTTTTTTTTATGTGTTTTTAAACCCTCACATTTTTATAAATGGTCAAATAAAGCATAATATTAATAAACTCAATTTTTTTTAAAATCGTTATATTAAAACAGTAAGAAACAAAAACAATTTACTTTATGATTTTTATTTCAAATTCGGTTTTACGATTTTTTTTCTTCTAAAATTAGGTTTTTTGTGCTATGAACATTTATTCACCATTTAGTTGAGATTAGACAAATCATTTTTGTTACAATTAGAAGTTATGTTATATATAAACTTCAAAAATTTATAGGATATCATATTTGATATTTTTTATTTGAGTTTTCAGGTTTGTATTTACTTTGTCCAATGAAAATATTTTGATGTGGAAATTCATGTATTTTTCGTAGTACTATAAAATTTGGTTTGGTTTTACGTTAGTAAATTTATGTGATCGAACCTAATAAAACTTTATTAATATAAACTCATATTCGGTTTCGATATAAGAATTTACATATAATTCGTAACAAAATCTGTTTGGTTTCACATTGATGAATTTTTGTAACACACCGAACAAAATCTGTTTTATTTGGCTATTCACTAATATTACCCTTAACTTTTTTACATCATGACTTACAAATTTTCAATTTACAAAAATATTGTAAACTAGAATTTTAGAAGAAACACCCTAAATCAAATTGTTTCTATTTATTTATGTTTTAATATAATGATTTGTTTGAATTTAAATTAAGTTTATTAATACTAGGAGTTTTTTTTTTGTCATCCGAAATTAATTAGAACTCAAAAGCCATTCATGTGGAATGTTGTTTACAAATGTGATATGAAGCGGTTCTGTACGAATTTTTCGTGCCAGATGATCCGTTTTTACATTAGCATTGCGACAAATTAAAGATAAAGAGAATGATGAGAATTCTTCTTTGTCGCTCTGAAATTCCTCCGAGTACACTGAAAACGCCGGCCATTCGGTTGGAGAAGACACCATCTTAACCAGATCAAAACAGTCTGTAAAAAACTCTACCTCTTGATTATCTGCACCTGTCATACACTTCATCGCTCAGAGAAGGGCCTCAAACTCGGTATGTAATGGAGATAAACTTCGACGGAGATTTGCAGCTCCCATGGTTGGCGGTTCTCCGTTAGATGAAGTACAAAACCATCATGTACCAGAGAACTTATCATTTTCTTTCCATGATCCATCCACAAAGCAACAATATCCTGAATAATTCGAATCAAGTGAAGTATTCCCCACTCGAGACCGATTTACCAATTCCACAGTACCATGCATTTCATGATGAAGCTCAATTTGGGCATACTGCCACAATTGTGCTTCTTTTTCCGCTAACCGTAATACCTCCAACGGATCTTTATCAATATTTTCAAATATTTTTTCAAATATTAATACTAAGATTTATTTTACCATTTATGAAAATGTGGGGGTTTGAAAATCCACAAAAAAAAGTCTATGGTTTTGTGGTTTTTCTATCTATTTTTCCAAAAATTATTAGTACTCTAACGAATTCTTTGGCTCAATGGGCCATAAGACCAAACATTACACCCCTAAAATATTAATTCACGTGCCTCGAATCATATTAGAGGTCAAGAGAAAGCTTTCGTACTTGTAAATAATATATTCGAAGTCACCCAAACCTAGAGATAAAACATTCCCCGTAGTTCAATCAGAGGCCAAGAGAGAAAAAAAAGGAGAGAATATTTGTCTTGGTGGTATAGAAGAAGAATCGTGAGGATGATAGAGGTGGTGCTTAACGATCGGCTAGGGAAGAAAGTGAGGGTGAAGTGCAACGAGGACGACACCATCGGAGATCTCAAGAAGCTTGTGGCAGCCCAAACTGGAACCCGACCCGATAAGATTCGGATCCAAAAATGGTACAACATCTACAAGGATCATATCACTCTAAACGATTATGAAATCCATGATGGCATGGGTCTCGAGCTCTACTACAACTAAATCATCCGGTACGCTATTTTATCTCTATGTAATGAGACTTGAGATTTAGGGTGTGATGCTTTCGGAATTTGAGTTAGAAGATTACTTTCTTTATAATTTTTAATTTGTTTAAAAGAATTATAAGATTAAAATTGAAATTGTTTCTTCATATACTTGTTTTTGAGTTATATATGATTACTTGTTTTTATTGAAATGTTTATTCATATCAAATATTATGGCTGAAATTGTAGGTTTTTACATCTATGAAGGAAATAATAGAAGACTAAATTCAGTATTGAAGATTGAAGAACAGAACAAGTCCAAAACTCGACTCAAAGGCATGAATTCTATTCAATAATGAATAACGATTTCTAAAAAAGTGTAAAATAATTGTCGTTGAAACTTGTACTATATGATTTGGGGTTTGTCTTAAAAACCATTAGAAAAAATCATACTAAACCAATCTAAAACTAAAGCCATTTACATAAGATTTCATGGTTTGTCCCTATCTATAAACCTATAATTGGGAGGAGGTGACTTCCTCTCCCTTCTGATTTCCATAACCTTCCGATGAAAATTCGAGTGAACGTTTGGTATGAAATCGGGACTTGAAGCAGGACGGTACTCGGGTAGTAGCCGACCTGTTCTGTATCGCATTCCGCATGCGTTACATAGCGTACCCGCTCCTCTCGGTCCTTCCCTCCATAAGGGAGTCTTTCTCGTCCCGCAATGTGAACAACTCTTGTTTGTAATGCCAAAGAGATCTGCTGGACTAGTGAAGTTTAGTCTTTTTTTTCTTCCTCGCTTGTTTCTAGATCGTGTTGGTGCATGAAAACGACCTCTTGTCGCGGTTGGCTGAGCTGAGGAGTTTCTAGACGGTTTTGAAACATCGATAAATTTGTTGTGGTTAAGATCATCAAACTTTCGAGAATCCTCAATCTACATGGTAGAAAGAACATTGATGATTCTTATTTTCATGTAAAACTAAAACATGTTTAAGAGAATTGAAAGAAACTCACTAGTGAATTGGAATCTTCTATGATCTCTCGTAATTCATTAGCAAAACCGTAACATGTTTAAGAGAGTTGAAAGAAACTCACTAGTAAATTGGAATCTTCTATGATCTCTCTTAATTCATCCGCAAAACCATAAACCGAGTCCAAATCCATGGGTAATTTATCGAGTTCGTTGACAGGTATAGGAAGTTGCTGCATGGCAGTTCCAAAATCTTCTTCTACGTCTACAAAAACATCCTCACGACCCAACATTTTTTCTCTTAAAAGGAAGTTGACTTTATATGCATATAGCTCATATATATATATATATATATATCCTCAACAATAGAGTTTGGATAAAGTTTAAGGGAAGTGAATATTTTTAACTCTATATGTAAACTACTAGGAAACTTCCTTGCCTTAGAATTCTCCGGTCGAAAGAGAGTCTATAACCAAAAAAAAAAACAAAGGTGGATAAACTAGAATGTGCGATGGTATATTTTAGATACTCTTTCTATGATTGGTTTCGGTTAACAAGGTTTTAATACGATCGGCTTGGTGAATTTAAACCGAGTTACACCAAGGGACGAAACTAGAGACGGTTAGGACTTAGGAGTGCTTGCTCTCACAGTGTTTTCGAAATTGGGTTAATCAAACTTTAGTTTGGTTCACGGTGTTTTGGGTGTGAGAATGGTTTGATTTGGGTCGGTTTTCTATTCGTGTTTTGATTTGATCAAATTTCACAACATCTATCTACTTTCTATATTATCCTTTTCAAAAAAAAATCTACATAATTATTCAGAACATTTCTTGTAGTAATATAAACAAAATTATCAAAAAAAGAAAAAAAGAAATTGACAAAATGAATAATATGGAAAAAAAGATTCTATATTCCCACAGATATCAGATATGAATTTAAAATTTGATTCGATGTATATGTAATATAAACAGAATTATCGTGCCGTTATTTAATGAAATTTACATACAATGCAAAGAAAGAGATTTTCTAAAGAAATTTCATTAAAAGAGATAATAATATATTGTATTGATAGGTAAATGTATACGAGAAAAATGTCATTTAAAGCATGAACTATGCAATTTTGTTGAAACAAAGCAAAGACGAAATTTGAAGAAGAACAGAGAAATCGAAGTAGAGAGAAAAGAGAGAAATCGAAGTAGAAGAAGAAGAGAGAAAACAAAGTGAAACTAGATCTAAGGTTTCAGTTAGGGAAAACTAAATCGATTTGGAGGTTTTAGTTTGATTAAAATGATGACGTCGTTTAGTACAATAACGGATCTCATTTACGCAAAGTAAACACCGTCTAATTGTTCTGTTTATCCGTGCCTCAATTGGTGAAGTCAACAAGACTTGATGATTTAATTAAAAGTTAACAAAAAATTAGGTATTTAATTCACCAGGTGAATAGTTCATTCTTTGTTTCAACGAAATTGCATAGTTCATGCTTTAAATGACATTTTTCTCAAATATATACTGTTTCTCATAATATTTTAGACGCTAGATGAAATTTCCAAGGGTAATGTTGTTGTTTCATATGGGCTGCGCACCATAAACAAAATTAAAGCACGGTCCAAATTAAGTTTGACCTAATAAAACAGAATTAGCCTCGGCTCATCGTTTTGCTCGGCCCGTTACTCGGCTTAGCCCGACAGGAGAACAAATTAGAAGGGTAAAAAGGAAAATCCGCACAAACTTGCAAACTATCTCTTTTCTACAAATACAAAATAACATTGTTGAAAAAAAGATCCCGGATTTCACGTTAACTCATAAAAGAACATGCAACATCTTTTCAGTTAAGCTTAATCGCTGAGGGTCTTGGTAGATCATTCTTAGCTCGCTGTCTCGTTCGGCTCGAACATTTTAGTTCATCTATCACATATGGTTCGAACACTTAGTTCGTCTTGATATTGATATTCTTAAAAATTGTTGAACTACAACTTGCTTTTCCCTAAAATCCTCGTATAATTTACTTTGTTTGTTCCGGGTATCAATAGTTGTGATCTAAAATTTATATTTTTATAGAATGAATTATAATATATCCTAATAGTTAATTCATAATTTACAATTTTTAGTAATAAGTATTTTAATTTTCTTTTTAATTAATTTTTTTACTTATCCAAAATGGTGTTATATTGAAAAAAATGAGTCACTAAACCGGCCGATTTGACTGATTAATACTAATTTTGAACGTCTAAACCGGTAAACTGATTTGATTCACCGATTTTACTAATATCGGGGTATTCAAAGATTCATAAACGCCTCATCGCCGCCTAAACCAATTATTCGCCACCTAAACTGATTTTTTGAACATTGGTTTTTACTATATCTCATTTTGCAATAGTGGATATTTTAAAGATTATCGATTTATCGAATATATACTTAATGCATGTAGATGTTTTGGGTTGCACGGTTGTCTCCAATGTCCTATAAATGTAATCAAATATATTTGAATTGTGAATCAAATTAAAAACCTCTTAGTTTTTTTAACCTTACGATTTACTCCACTATCATTTGCTTCACTGCCTCTCGGCAACAAATCTTTCTCAATTTTTGTATATATGTCTTTACATACGTTGACAAAAAAGATTAATAATTCCTGTAACTTAGAAACGCTGTCAAGTATTTAAAAGTCAGTAAAACGTCACCCTTTGCGTAATGGAGAGTGAAAAGAATTTTAATGCATATCTAAATGTCTATATCTCAAATGATTTTGTATTTTATTCGTATTATATAATTTTATCCGAAGGTGGCAAGAGCATTATGAAGTTTGATGATTCATTCTACCATATAAATTGTATCCACTTTGTTATTCCCAAAGTTAAATAGAACCCTGAAATGATGAAAAATAGTGAAATTTTTACAGGATGGTCGGATTAGTTACTGTCCTACTCCTACAAATATAAATTCATTAATGTAAGTTGCCACCCATTGATACTAACTAAGAGCCAGGAATATATGTAATTAATTTGTTATATATACTTTATAATTCACTCCTTCAAGGGTTAATTATTAATGAATCAATTGGATTCCAACTTTTAGTAGTGGAAGAAAGTTCACACTGCTAACATTTACTTTCTCTTTGCAACAAAGTAATCTTCTGAAAACGAATATCTAATCAATTTCATCGTCATTATGTGGGTGATTTTTCTTTAATCAATTAGCAGCGACATGTAGACAAGTCTCACCAAAATTACTCTATGATGAAGACGGTAAAATTTTCGACCCCTCGAAAACACCAGTACATTGTTAGTTCCGGCCATTGGATCCGCGTAATAGTGTCTCTTAGGGGCAAAATTCATAGTAATTACATAGACTTTATAGTATACAAACCATTTTATGCGCCATTATAACCCGAAAACACATTTATTCCACTTGTATACGGAAGAACTTCTACATCATAGACATGCAAAATCACGCTTCTCTGACCAACTCATGTTGGTGAAAATGTCGTTTTTGCTGGATTTTTAGTGAACCAATTAGGGGAGCGATTCGATCAACCTAGAGATGTCAGACGAGCCGGCCCACATCCATCTGGTCAGTCCGCGATGGGCATTTAAGTTTCTGAGACCGCGACGGACCGGCCCGCTAGGACTGCGGGCAAAAATGATATGTACAGGCCCGCCCCGCGGGCTTAGTTATAATATTTTAAAAATAATTAAAAAATAAAATTAATTTTTAAATTTTGAAATTAACAATTTTTCAATTTTAAAAAAATTTAGTATTATGTTTTTTGTAAATCTTATAATTTTATACATTAAATTTCGTTATGTGTTCATATATTTCACATATATATTTTCAGAATTATATAAAAGTATTTATATTATTTATTCATTTTTTAAAAAATATTTGTAGTCCGCGGGCCGACCCGCAAATCCGCAGATAAAATCCGCAAAAACCGGCAACTCTGGACTTGTCCGCGAGGCCCGCTATTTTATGGACATGAAAAATGATGTACAACCCCGCCCCGTCGTGGACTACTTGGACAAAGTCCGCGGGCTATCGGCCCGCTTGACACCTCTAGATCAACCAGAGAATAAATGGATTTTAATCCTCCGAATAATCGGTAACAAAAGTCTTACGACAATCTATTCTTTGGGAGATAGAATATCGGAAATGCATCATTCGACAACATAATCGTCCGACAAATCTCAAAAATTCAATTCGAAAAGTATCCTAAGCACAAATCGTAATTGCTCGTGTGTTTGAAAAATCCTAATTACTTTTGGAAAAGCACCACTAAATATATTGCTAATCCATAAAGTAACGTGGGTTTTCCCTATTCGTAGTGCCAATAATAGACAACCCTTTTTCAACCAATTTCATCATTTTGTCATCGCAATTCTTTCCTTCTTAAGAAGAATATAATTCTCCAATAAGAGGTCTCTCCCACTTGTGATTGTCTCACCACTAGCAGCGTCACATCATACCTAAATCATATAATTTTAAAATATGATCTCAAATAGTCAACCCACCATAACAAAAACCCTACTCTCATGCATGTATATATATCAATGTCTTGAACTCTCAATCTTTTTCCTCTTAAGAGTACTTAGCTAAACCCATCAACGCTTGACTTAATTAGTTGCGAAGGTAAGTTATACTCATTTCATGTCAATATAATAAGATCTTGAGGTTTCTATATATGTTAACATGTCTTTATTCTTTTGTAGCTCATAACATAGAACCGAGATGGGAATAAAACCTAAGTATATTGTGGTTGTTATCATGGCGATGATGATCATAATAAGCTCATGTTTGGCTGCGAGGAATATGATTCCCCGGGAAAATAATCAAGAAAGCGAAAAAATATCTCGAGAGATGATCATAGAGAAAGAAGAAGATTCTACTGAGAAAATAGAGCACCCAAGAAGCAGCGTGGAGAATCACCATTACATCCCAAGACAAGATTTCAACTACTATGTACCTGGAGGCGATAACAATGGAGGTGGTGGTGGTGGTGGTGGATAACTCAAAACAAATCGGAAAAACGATATCGATAAAAATATATAGATGTTAAAGAAAAAATATTATAGAAATAAAACCTATGAATATGAGGCAATCCTTATATAAAAATGAATCCTTTAATGTTTTATTAACCATGTCTAGTTATGATCCTCTATTAGTGATGCTCGATTATTGTATTGTCTTTTTTTTTCCTATGTATAAAAGAGTAATTATATTTGAAAAAACTTATTTTAGCTTTTTCTGGCCATCGATGATCATCGAACGGTCCGCGTCACTTGCCTTATAACTATTGAAACTTGAAATTATAGGGGATATTCTCAAGGACTTGAAACAAGGAACACGAGAGGGCCCGAATGAAATCGGTGGTTTACTTAACGAGCTTTGTCATGGAGTGAAATTAATGAGAATGTAGGTACAACTGTATAAGACATGTTTACTTTCGTTGCATTAAATGTTAATTGGAAGTAATAAAGTTACTTGTGAAACAATGTCATGTTAATGAAATTGATTAAGTAGTGATATTTATGTGAATGTTATGATATAACCGTGTTTCTTCGTTTGTATTGATGATCCTTCCATATAATGGAATATAAATTTCTTCTTGTTACTGTAAAGTTACCCGGTCCTTTCTCAGGATCAAAATAAGAATTTTGTATAGAACTGAAGTTCATACGAAGTGGAAGAGTCATCGTATCATTTACATATATACCAAGTATGTATTTTGTGTGTCAGAATTGTTGTCGGTATTTGTTGGGTGCCGGAATGATCCAACCTTACAAAGTATACAACTAGTGTGTACTTATGATTCGACTTGTTGTCCCTTCCAATATCTATTTAGGTTTTGCATACTTTGTCTCTATGAGTCTTACCTCAGGGCCGGCTTAAACCACTATGCTACCTAAAGCAGAAATTTTTTTGGCTTAAGACTAAATTGTTTTGCAAAATGTTCGAAATTTGGGAGGATCATAACAGCATGAGAAATATACGTGGACTTAACCACTCTACCACAATAGATTTAATAGAGATTTGAGTGATTGGTAGTCCTCAATTTTCTTACAAATAAAAATTGTATATTTTCTTGAAAAAATATTATCTCTAATGGTAATGGTATATGCTTAGTCCTAACTAAACCAATATATTATAGCGAAAAACCAATGACGTCAACATAAACAGAGCAAGGTTTTTATAGGCTATGTTGGGTTCCTTCTTTGAATGCATGACTAGTCTTGTAAAGATTACATAATTTAATATCTCTATTCATTTTGGGGAGTGATAGATGGCGGTAAATATGCATATTTATACACATTTTTTATGCTCTGTCTGATAATGTCTCATATGTCCTTCAGCTCTCGAGAAACTGTCGGTGAGTTGTGCTGAAAAATTCACGACTGGTGATGACGTTTACTTGGTATGTCTCTAAATCTCTTTGGGTTTTCTCTATGGTACTACTCTCTTCTTTATTACAATGAATCATTGTTTTGCAGTCTGATCTTTTTTGCAGTCTGATCTTTTTCTAGCACCCATGCAGCATTCAAGTAACTGCACGTCTATCCGAAAGCTTGAGTACTGAACATACCTAAACATATATAGAATAGTATGTTTACGTAACTAGTTATGGAATCTCTAGCTACTAGAAATTGCATTCTGATTTCGGGTAGAAGACTGCATCAAACTAAACATATAAACTCTACGAATGATCTAGAACTGAAGAGAGAGATAGCGTTAACTAAATAAGAAAACATCATGATTAACCAAAAGGAGTCAACACAGGTAGTACGATTCTCTGAAATGTACTCGTTACATTATTACCAAATCTAGATTAGATAAGAACATCATAATATAACACATTAAAGACATTGATCCATTGCTATTAACTATCCCTTCTCTCATTATTCTACTCTCTTGTCCTCCTCCTCCTAATGCCCTTTATCACTCTTTCTTCTCATTGTCTTCTTCTGTTTTCAGCTTCCCTGCTGCCTCTTCCGTTTCTTTGGCACAGCAGGAGCAGAGATGCTTGACATTACTGATGCTTGACTTGAGTTGCTTTGCATCACAAACACTGAGATCCTCTACATGGTCGACAAAGGCATACACTGTACCATGATTCTCAGACGCTTCAAGGTTAGCTCCAAAACCTTGGATTTCAACACTTTGTAGACTGTTCCTTTCGGGATTGAAGTAGAACACATAAAAAGGTTTACATACATGCTTCATGGACAAAACGATATCACCTGAACTAGTCACTCCAGCAACTGAAAAATCATTGCATGATTCAAGGACTTCATTCTCCGGCAAGGTGTACACATGTTTCAACCATTCATTTTTCTCGACATCCTCTAGAACACACAAGCGCAACTCAATGATACGCCGTTCATCAGCATCGTTAGCGACATACTTCCAATCAATCGCACCTAATTTTCCCTTGTAGTTGACCAAAACCAGTTTAATAGTATTCGTCGGGTGTTCCATCCTCACAGTTGCCAAAAACACTTCCATAAAATTAGTCGGCTGCGTGTCAAAAACCAGTGGTCTCTCATTAGTTTCATCAAGTTGCTCAGAAAAGCAATCCGCATGAATAAACTTGAATTCCTCAGACATAAGATCAAAGCTAACAACCATACAAGACGACTCACAACGTGTATCAGCTAAGTAATACAAAACCCCATTGATACATATCCCTTCACTCAAAGAACGATCATACGCAGGACATTGAATAGTATTACTCCTCCAAGTGAGTTCTTCTCCAGTAGTTCCTAAAGTCAGAATCTGATGATGATCCCTTTGATCACAAAACACATAAGCCTCAGACAATGCCTTGAATTGCTTCTCAATTGGATCAAACCCTAAAAAGCCTCGCGCCTTTCTATACCTCGCAAGGTCAGGTAAGCTCACATACATTCCAGTGATAGGGTTACAAATCACAGGCGATGATGCCACGTTTAAAGTCCACATATCAGGGAAATAAACCAAACCTGAAGCATAGCTACAAATGTATCTGCTAACGTCTCCTGAGAACTTGGTGTGATAATCGACGGTTACTACTGAAGGAGACGACGATGGTGGATTCTGAGGCTGTGGAGATGAGAAGAAGAGCCACTCACCTTTTCGTTCCACTGCGAATAAGAGACGTGGACGATTTGAGGATCTCCTTAGGAACAAATCGGTGAAATCTGGACTGTGAAGCTTCGACGCCCAGTACTTTGAGAGGGTACGAAAAATAGCGACGGACTTCGCCGGTAATCTGGAGAAGATATCGGTGATGAGATCTGTTGGGAGTGGTTCCATGTTTGCTCTTCTTTTCATCGGAATCGTAACAACTTTTTTCCGGAGCCGCCGCTGAAGATGAATCAATTTAGGTCTACGAAATTTGGCGACTGGAGACTTGGAGAGTGAGTGATGATCTTGACTGGAGAGTGAAAGAGAGAAAATGATATAGAGACTAAATTTATTGGGCCTTTGGGCTTTAGCGTAATTTGTTAATGAGCTCAACCCATTTATTTCTAAAAGTAGGCAAGAAAGTGAAATTTTGAATGAATTAACATTACTAATTTGTTCTATATTTTAATTTATTATTGTATAAGAAAATGAATATATACAATTAGTATTGCAAATTTTCTCCCTTTTGTTTGGATACTAATTCGGTGTTAAACAAGTTCAAACTTTCATTTCGATTGTGTTGCATATACAACACTTAAGCATTTTAGCAAATTTTAATTTTAATTTTACCTTCTACTTATATTGCATGGAAACAAATATGCATAAGCAAAACGTTTTGGAAACGAAAGAAATTTTTTCTAAAATTAGAAAGTAGATACTTTTTTTTAAAAACTACACAAATCCAAGACATCAATATTAAATCTATATATACATTTTTGGAGCCATTTTTGGAGCCATTTATGAAATAAATCCTGGAGTTCCAACTTATTTACGATCAAATGTCATTGACATTAATTATTTAGATTTTCAAAATTAAATCAAAAATATTAACATAAAAAATCACTTCCAAAAATATTAACCTAATATATTAAACATAACTAATCTTTACCACAATTACATCCATATTCAATTCGATTTCCTTAAAAGATCTCAACAATCCCTACATTTAATCGTGGCCATTCAAATCTTAATCTGGTTTTTAATCTTCAATTTTGACCGTCGGTCATACGCAAATAATTCAAAAATCATTATATAGAATTAATTATTATTAACAAAAATATATATATATATATATATATATATAAATCAAACTTTTAAATTGACTCGAATTATATGTCTATTAAATAAAATATTATTAAAAATAACAAAATGATGTTTAATTTTACGGGACGGGGTTATATAGTGGGACAAGTTTGGATCGATATTAATACCGGACGGTATTAATATCACAGATGAAATCATAAAATTAACAATCAAAATACAATTATACAATATTAAACACTTAACAAAATAAACAATATTAAATAAAAATACAATTTAAAATTTATTTTTTTAGTTACATTTTTGGAGACATTTATGAAATAAATCCTAGAATTCCAACTTATTTACGATCAAATGTCATTGACATTAATTATTTAGATTTTCAAAATTAAATCAAAGATATTAACATAAAAAATCATTTCCAAAAATCTTAACCTAATATATTAAGCATAACTAATCTTTGCCACAATTACATCCATATTCAATTCGATTTCCTTAAAAGATCTCAACAATCCCTACATTTAATCGTGGTCATTCAAATCTTAATCCGGTTTTTAATCTTCAATCTTGACCGTTGGTCATACGTAATTAATTCAGAAATCATTATATAGAATTAATTATTATTAACTAAAAATATATATAAAATCAAACTTTTAAATTGACTCGAATTATATGTCTATTAAATAAAATATTATTAAAAATAACAAAATAATGTTTAATTTCAAGGGACGGAGTTATATAGTGGGACATATTTGGATCGATATTAATACGGGACGGTATTAATATAACAGATGAAATCTTAAAATGAACAATAAAAATACAAGAGAAATTGTCTCAAATAGCCACAAATCAAGTTTTTGGGACAAGAATAGCACTCAAAAGTTTAATGGACTAAAATAGCACCTTATTTTTGATTTTTTAAATTAATAAATAATTATAAATAAATATAAAAATCACAAATTAATCGTTAATATTTTCCCGCCAAAAACAAATCCCGTCAAAATTTTCCCGCCAAAAAAATTTCCCTCAAAATTTTCTCGCCAAAATATTTTCCGCTCCCGGAAATTCAAGGAATCATTTAAGGAATCCTTTCTTGAAATTCAAGGAATCTCTCCTGAATTTCGTGAAATCCTTCCTGAATTTCGTCGATTTTTTGGCGGAAAAATTTTGACTGAATTTTTTTTTGCGGGGAAATGTTGAAAAAAAAATTTGGCGGCAAAATTTTGATAAATGGAAAATATGTTTACGTTGCGGAAATTTTTTGGCGGGAAATTTCTAATTTTATTTATTTATTTATTTTAATTAAACTAATTATTCATATTTAATAATTAATTAAAGTTTATAGTGCTATTTGTGGAACTTTTCAAATGTAGTGCTATTTTTGGAAGAAAAACTTATTTTAGTGCTATTTTTGTCAATCTCCCAAAATACAATTATTTAATCTTAAACACTTAACAAAATAAACAGTATTAAAAATACAATTTAAAATTTAATTTTTTAGTTAAAAAATTGGCCCACGGTGTACCGTGGGGTAAAATCTACTAGTTTAAATGAAACTAAAGGCATGAAACTAAAGGCAGAACAATATATCAAGTTCTATATTATATATATATATATATATATCTTAAATTATTTAGGGTTTTTAAAAGTAGAAACATAAGTATCATATATATCATAAATCCTAATATTTCTAAATTAATTATTATTATTTTCAAATTAAAAGTATAATTCTAAGGTGTTTTTAAAAAGAAAACGTGAGTTTCCATTGCATGTCCAAATAAGTCTATTAAAAAACGTGAGTTCATCCCTTGAAAATTATGGGCTACAAACAAAATAATTTTGGGCCTATTAATTAAGGGGTTTTAAATAAATAAATTAAAATTTGGCAAAGTAAAATGAAAAAGCGTAATAATCAACTCAGCTGGAAATTTTTGGAAAAAAAAGACAAAATCTTATTAATTTTATTTACGACCGCAAACATAAGTTTGGCTAGCCGGTTAGTACGCAGGACAGCTGTGTCGCCACCCAAATTTAAATGTGTTTGATGTATAATATTAATAATAAATAACATTACTTTTTAAAATATTTAGTCTACATTCTCTTTGTAATGACCCTTAATGATTTTAAAAATGCATAAAGCGATAAGAAATGTAAACAAAATATACCTTATAGAAATTTTAACTTCAATAATTACAAAATGTTATGTATATACTAAACTTTTACATAGTATAGTGAAATAAAGACTCCTATATAGTGGGTTTCTTTAACTATTCTATAAAGTATATGAATTTTTAGAAAAATAGGAAAAAAAATTAAAGTTTGAACATTTAAAGTAATTGTTATTTACAAGCAAACAATAGTTTCTTATTTTATTTTTAGTTCTAGTTTTCCTTCCTTTTTTTTCTTTTTTTTAGTTTTTCTTTTCTTATGCATCTTGAAAATTATATTCTTTTATTTATAGGTTAAAAATATTAAAATAAATGTATGAATCTAAATAAAGAAAAGAATCTTTAAAGATTTATTGTCCAGCTAAATGTGAGCTGGAAATTTCTTTAAGAGTTTAAAAAAAAAATTTCTTACTCAAGTTTTCCTACTTCTTTTTATATCCTTTTTTATTTAAAATAAATTTATAGTTGTTTTTAATCTCTGTAAATTTAGTTAAATGATTTTTTTCACAACCATTGGAAACTAGAGATTTGAAAGAAAACCAATTTTTGACAATTTAAAAAACGGAAATAATTTTCAGAGAAAGTTTGTTTTGGCAAACATTTTGAATTATTTTTTTATTCTGGATTATCAATGATGGATTTTGAAGATTTTAATCTGATAACTTATCATAATAACATTTTTAACTACGGTATTCATCTAACAAATTTGAGATTTTTATAAGTTTAAAAAATACACTAGATGCTACAATTTTTTATTTATAATTTTAGTTTAGAGTAAATGAATCGAAAATTTAGAATGTTGAAATCAAATTCGGTTAGTAAAGATGAAAATTACATCTGAACTGAAAACCGAAACAGTTTAATTTTAATTATTATAATTCATCTTAACTGAAAAACATGAGAATACAACCAACAACAAAAAAATGCAAATTACAACCGAACCTAGTTCAAGACTCCAAACTGATAAAAAAACTAAACATATTGAAACCAAAAAAAAATGCAACCAACAACCGAACTAAGTCACCTGTCAATCATTTTTTTTTTTTGTTAAAAAGTCACGAGTCAATCATTCCTCTCTCCAAACATATGTTTTCTCATCCGCCGGCATCTCCACCTTACCAAGCTCAAACTGTGGTTGTGGCTGTTGTTGCTGCTGCTCTTGATTCTGATTCGACACGCCTTCTTTATCTCTCGCCGGAAGAGTAGATGAAGCGGCATATTCTGTCATTGTAACACCCGGAAAGACCATCTCATGATGACCAATATTTGCGCCTGTATAAGAGAAAACGTTATTATGATCACCAATATTAATGGTGAAGTGGTTATAACCACGGTTCGTATGATTATGAACATGGGTGACATCACTGGGGGTGGTGTTGACGCCGTGGCCGGTGGCGGCGAAAATGGCGGGCTCGGCATTTTGGAGGAGCCAACCGACTGTTTCACCATCGGTTTTGAAGCCGAGTTCTTTAGTCAATTTAAATACTTGGGGAGCAACACTCGGCGGGATCCGAATGCGACGATCACGGCCACCAATTTTCACATGGCGGTCTCTTGGAGTCCTTGTTGCCTTTTGCCTGTTGTTAATTTTATTTCTCGAATCCATTTTTTTTTTCTCTGTTTGTTTTTTCTTTTGTAAGTGTAAGTGGAAAAATATGTTGTTTTACTTGGTTTATATAGAAAAGTTACATAAGAAAAACACAAAATATATGCTATTTCTGGTTATGTTATGTATGTAAAACAATAATGGTGTAACAAACTAATAATTAGATAATAATTACATTAATTTGTATATAGAAAAAGTCTTAAATTTATATAGGAATATGTGAGAGTGAAATCTTATCATGTAATCTTTAGAATACAAAATATTTTTAGTGGACCTGAAAAAAAAAAGTTATATAGGAATAATTAATTGATAGGTCCACTAAAGAAAGGAAAATAAAATTTTCTTCTACCAGTTTACAGAAATTAATTACTGATACAACTGTATAAGTGTGGTCTTATTTTATTCTATTTTAACTTTTAAAAAAATTAAAGTTTTTGATTTTTTTTCTTTTGAAAATTAATGATATTTTAACATTATTCTATAAAATTATATATTATTATTTTAAGTACATGTTTGGCTAGGATTTCACATCTTTTGGACGGTTAAATTTGTTCTTCAAATTATATATTTATTTATTTATCAAGTATTAATATTATAATAAATCGCATATTTACAGTTTAGATAATAATATATCAAGTAATATGATGGATAACAAACATATGGTTTAAAAATGTAAAAAAAAAAACTGATATCAGATAATAAAACTGCAATACTCTTTACCTGATTTGAAAGCAATATATATATATATATATATAACAGATACGAGTTGGATACAGTGCCGCTCATATAGGGGCGGACGATGCGACGGTCTCGAGTGCAATCCCGTGTTCCAATAATTAATGTACCTATTTTTAAAGTATTAATAAATTAGATTACAACATAAAAATAAAATTTAGAAGGACCCATAATTTTTTTTTTATCATACAAAATTTTTTTTATAGTAAAATAATATTAAAAGAAAGTTTTAAAGGACCAATTTTTTTTTTTTTCCTATGGTCTATAAAAATGTTGAGCCGGCCCTGGTTGGATAATGGGTTTAAGACGGGCCGTCAAACACTTCTTAACGAGCTAATAGAAACAATGAAATGCAAAATAATTAACCACAACAAGTACATAGAACAATCTGAAACACTTTTACAAACAATCGAGCAAAAGATAAAAGATCAGGTAAAAGAATTTAAAACAGTCTTATCTTGACTACTGCAACATTTTCTCACATACCACCTTTTTGCAACCTGGTTCAATCTTTGGGAATTTTTATTTATTAGCATTGTCTATATATATTCACTCCAAAGATACTCATATTTTAAAAAATTCCTTTGTATTGGTCTAAAAATTATAAACGAAGGGTATATGTTAATTAATATTAATGATTGAGAACCTTTACACTTTGAGAGTGTAGATGCCAATCCCATCCGACCTAAGCGACTCATGATTTCCTGAACAAAAAGGCACATTAAAAAACTATTCTTTCAATTCACAGTCATTAATCTTTGAGACCTCTGCTTCACTCATGTATAGATTTGATTAGTTTGGTTTAAGAGAAAACTAATTTGTACTTAAAAATAATATGTATAAAACAAAAATATGATCACATACGTCTTATTTTAGAGAAATTGTTAAAAATGCCCCTTTTTCAATACCCCTTTTCAAAAATGCCCCCTTTGAGAGTCCATTTTTAAGTTTGCCCTCTTTTAATTTTTAATGACCATTTTACCCTTATTTGAAACAAAATTAGGTCCACAAAATACAAAATATTTTTTGGCGGGAAAAGTGATCCCCCAATTTTCCCGCCAAAACACTTGTAAAAACCTTTAAAATACCTTGTAAAATTTTCCCGTAAAATTTTTTCCCGCCAAAAAATTTTCCCGCCAAAAATTTTTTTTTGCGGGAAAAGTTATTCCGCAATTTTTTTGGCGAAATTTTTTTGGCGGGAAAATTTTTGGCAGGAAAAATTTACAAGGTATTTTAAAGGTTTTACAGAGTATTTACAAGTGTTTTGTAAAGTTTTTACAATGTATTTTAAAAGGTTTTACAAGGTACTTATAAGGTTTTATAAAGTATTTACAACTTGTAAAACCTTATAAAAAACTTGTAAAATCTTATAACTTGTAAAACCTTATAAAATAGCTTGTAAAATCTTATAATATCTTATAAATACCTTATAAATACGTTGTAAAACCTTTTAAAATACATTGTAAAACCTTATAAATACCTTGTAAAAAACCTTTAAAAAACCTTGTAAATTTTTCCCGCCAAAAATTTAACGCCAAAAAAATTGCGGAATCACTTTTCCCGCAAAAAAAATTTTTTGGCGGGAAAAAATTTTACGGAAAAATTTTACAAAGTATTTTAAAGGTTTTTTACAAGTGTTTTTGGCGGAAAAAATTTTGGGATCACTTTTCCCGCCAAAAATATTTTGTATTTTGTGAACCTAATTTTGTTATATTTCCTTATATATTTGTAATATCTTTTATTAAAAGAAGGGTAATTTAGTCATTTTATACATAAAAGGGGTATTTTTAAAAATAGACAGTCAAAGGGGGCATTTTTGAAAAGGGGTATTGAAAAAGAGGCATTTTTGTGAGTCTCCCTTATAATTATTCATTTTTTTGCTAGACATTAGTTTAGATCAAAAGGCAGTTTACAAATTAAAAGGTCGAAGAATTCTGCCGTTAGACTACAGATGTGTTGAAAAAAAGTTCAACAGTTTAATCTAGTTGGTTGAAAAAATAAAAAAGCTAATGTAGATTAATTGGTGTCGAAAGAATTCAACATGTTGAACGAGGATATTATTATTAACCTAGATACGTGGTGTTTTTTAATTGGAAGAAATGATTACTTTTGGACTAAAATATACAGATTAGTGTATGTGTTTTTTATTCTCCATGAGGATTTTTTTTTTTCTCCACCAAAACATTTGAAATCAATTATCTTATAGTAAATTAATCTTTGAGAAATTGTTAAAAATGCCCCTTTTTCAATACCCCTTTTCAAAAATACCCCCTTTGAGAGTCCATTTTTAAGTTTGCCCTCTTTTAATTTTTAATGACCATTTTACCCTTATTTGAAACAAAATTAGGTCCACAAAATACAAAATATTTTTTGGGAGGAAGATTGCTACGGGAATTTTCCAAACCACAATACTCGATCAAACGATGATGAACCTTATAGGTATTGACAGGGCAGGGTTGTGGCGACTATAACTCTTCCGGCCGTTATTTTTTTTTGCGGGAAAAGTTATTCCGCAATTTTTTTGGCGAAATTTTTTTGGCGGGAAAATTTTTGGCAGGAAAAATTAGCAGGGTATTTTAAAGCTCTTACAGTGTTTTTACAAGGGTTTTGTAAAGTTTTTCCAATGTATTTTAAAAGGTTTTACAAGGTAGAGGTAAGGTTTTATAAAGTAAGTACAAAATGTAAAACCTTATAAAAAAGATGAAAAATATGTTGACTTGTGAGACGTAATAAAACCGCTTGTAAAATCAAGAGGATCTTAAGTCACCTTATAAATACGTTGTAAAACCTGTTAAAATACATTGTAAAACCTTATAAATACCTTGTAAAAAACCATTTAAAATACCTTGTAAATTTTTCCCGCCAAAAATTTTCCCGCCAAAAATTTAACGCCAAAAAAATTGCGGAATCACTTTTCCCGCAAAAAAATATTTTTGGCGGGAAAATTTTTTGGCGGGAAAAAATTTTACGGGAAAATTTTACAAGGTATATTAAAGGTTTTACAAGTTTTTACAAGTGTTTTTGGCGGGAAAAATTGTGGGATCACTTTTCCCGCCAAAAATATTTTGTATTTTGTGAACCAAATTTTGTTATATTTTCTTATATATTTGTAATATCTTTTATTAAAAGAAGGGTAATTTAGTCATTTTGTATATAAAAAGGGGTATTTTTAAAAATGGACAGCCAAATGGAGCATTTTTGAAAAGGGGTATTGAAAAAGGGGCATTTTTGTGAGTCTCCCCTTATTTTATTAAAGCGTAACTCTTTCTTTTCGTTCTTTAATTTCTTATCTTGGAAATGCCACGGTCAAAACGCAAGCTCCAAAGATTTGGTATTCTAGATCAGTTGAGATTTAAACAGAAGACAATGGATCATTTGCTTAATTTATTAATTTTATTGAGAAGAAAAGAGATACAGAAAAAAAAAAAAAAAAAAAAAAAAAAAAAAAAAAAAAAAGAAAAGAGATACAGAACTGAAGCTTTTTGAGAAACAAATGCACAAAAATGCATAGATCAAATAGAAATACTATAAGGAACACCCATTCCGGTAACGCCATGGTCAGAGAGGGGCTTCAAAAGCTCATACTTAACAACACCAGCTCCAGCTCTATTCTTTAGAGTAACGTTCACGTTTCTCTCATCTATCACTCCTTCTAGATATTGGAGCTTACCTTTGAATTTTTCAAATGCAGCATTGATAACAGGGTCATTGGCCCAAGATGCTTCTGGTTGTTGTCCTATGTACTCTTCGTCAGGTGAATGGGTTGATAAAAGATCCAAAGTGACCATCACTAGGGTTGCCTGTTTCTGCGACGGGTATGTCTTAAGCAACACTATTTCTGGCGACTCATAGAACTCTTTTAGGTCTTCATCTGTCGGATCTTCCACTGGCATTCTTCTCCTTGTTGTCGTTGGTCGGTTGGGAAAGTATCCTCCATATCCGTACTGTCCAAAGTTTACTGCTGCATGGTGACCTGAGGTGACCCATGCAATTGTAGTTACCACACCAATCAAGTCATCTTGTGTTTTGAGGACAGGCCACCAAGGTTCGTCTTTCTTATCACCGTGCCCTATGGTCCGCACTTCATGCCACCATCCTTGGAGTTCGTCGTCCGATGTGATCAGTCCATCATCTGGATAATAGTGTTTCACATAGTCTGTCACCCATTCCTTAAGTGCATCCCACAATATTAGACCGTCATTCGCAAATGGGTAGTCTGGTATCCTTAGGCGTAGTCCATGTTCCGCGGTCTCATCTTCCACAGCCAGCCCCCTTATAGCGAAAAATTTTAGTGTAAAAAGATTTGATTAGCTTTTTAATTTGATTGCGGTTGTAATATTCAAATGTAGAAAAAAAAAAACACACACCTTCCGATGAGATCTGCCGGTAAGCCTTCCTTGTCGAACCTCCATAGTTTACCATAGACGGCTGAACTTAGCTCTAATGAATACTTCCCGGGCCAAAAACAAGTCTCAATGATTCCACCTGCGTTGACAAGACTTTGGCGTGCACGAGCGTTGATCTCCATGGTGTAGCGGAAATGAGGGTGCAAAAGTCTATAAATAGGATGCATGGCACTTAGTTGTCTATTTGCCGCTATTATGTATGGCTCCGTACAACAATGAGTCCTCAACCTGTAAATTTATCCATCTCTTTCCTAGTTAGTGATATATCACATATTCACATGCATGTAAATGTAATGTATTAGGCACCAAAAAATTTCTGTCAACAAAAAACCATATATTTTGATATAAAGAGTGTTTTCAGTACCAATGGGAAATAAGCTGATGATAACCGGCGTCATGCGAGATAGCATGAGTCTTAGCAAGATTCCATAGCCAGCATGACGTAGCATCATAGCCTGGCGTGAAGACTTGTTTCCATTGCGGCTTGTTGACATTTGGGGGACAAGTCAACTCAATGGCAACAGGCCTCAATGTGCTATCATCACTGAGGAAGAATAGTGTTCGAGAAGCATATAAGGTTGTGTTATCCAACTCTCTCACTTTGTTCACATATGGTAGAAGCAAATCGTGATAATCCAACACGAACAATCTCTTATTCTTTAGAGCCTGCATACAAATGTATAGATTATTCATTAAGCAAATAATCCTCCCATCCATATGCGTTTTTTTTCAAAAACATGTCAATAATCTTACCTCATCAACTGTCATGTTTCCTTTAACTTCTTTTTCTACAATTTCCCAAGTAATGAGTGAGGTGGGATCTCCATAAACTGCCGGGTCTAGTTTACTTTTTAACGGCCACTCCTGGGATTAACAATGCGAGAGATTTCAAATAAAATTTAGGGTTCACATTGTAAATAAAAAAGCATACTCTAAAAAAAGATAAATGAAAAGTGTTACTTCACTCTAAGGTAATCTCTGTTTTTAGCTTTGACACCAGCGTTTTTGTCTTTTTCTTTTTCAAATGATTCTTAATATTTCCAGCAACCATGTTTAGACATGCATAGACGCTATATGAAAACATCACGAAATCCTATGATATTTCCTACGAAAATTTTGGTGGGATAATTTTTCATACCTTAAATCTAGATATTATTTTATTGGAAAAAGCAGAAGAAAAACTATTAGTATGTAGCTTACTTCAACTAGCTGAATGCTATAAGGATTAAGGCCTGCAAGTGTTTGGCGAGCGAACTCGTCGTCTCGTAACCATGAAAATCTATCCCCTGAATCAATGTGAATGATATTAGAAATGAGTTTACTTTGTAGCCTAGACAGTATAGAAAATTGGAATACTACAATGGAAAATTTAAAAAAGATAGTGGTTGGTAAGTACTGTTAATGAGAACTGGGGCTTCAAACTGAAGAATATCATCTTGAGCTTCACCAAGAGCTTTGATGATTCTGGGGAGCAGAGGTAAAAGGCCAGCATCCTTGGGAAGCTGGATACCTTCTTCAAAGAGATTTTGTATGGCCTTGAAATGTGGAAATGGCGATTGGGGATCCAACAGAACAGATTCGATCTGCGGGAAGACGGAGGGAAGAGCTGCCAAGACGGCCTTTCCTGTGAATGAAGTGCCCTTGGCTGTAGAGAACTCCTCGTCTCTTGGGACATAGAACTCTCCCCCGTAGCGTTGCTCTGAGGAAGGGTCAGTCTCACAAGGTTTGCGACCAGTCTTGCAACGCCTTGGATACGGATGTTGGAGGCCTCCAATGACGGGACGAGCAAGTTCAGGATCATTGTCAGGATCACCCACATCGTTGTACACATCATAGTCGTAAATGCGCTCAAACTTGGTAAATTCACCAACTTGCTCGCGGTTCTTGCCTTGTAAGGTCTCTAGCTCCTCCTTTCGATACTTTTTAAGAGGCTCCGGTGTTTCGGAAGGCAAGTAAGACTGGTTGGAGAAGAATATCCTCTTGGTTGGGTCAACGTTCTTAGGGGCCACCCATGACTCACATGTAAACGTAACCGACCCGCCGGGTAACTCAAGCTCCATCCCTTGGAGGAACAACTGTCTATGGTATTGGTTTTGAACCTTGATGGCTCCCACGGGTCCAAAGTCTTCAGGCATCTCAAACTCGCACTCGTACTTCTCATCGGGGGCTTCGGCCCATACACGTTGTGCATAGTCTTCTACCGTAATCCCTGAAATATGTGTAACTTGGTTAACATTATTGATTGCGTTAACCTACTCCTATACCATTTCATAAGTCTCAATAACTAATGTTTGATAAATTAGGTACTAACTTAACGCATCTTGTAATGTTACAAACAAAAACATTCCCATGCCTCTAATTCTGTTTGAGAAGCACATAAATCGGTTACAATTGTTATTTTGGACTTTTCTAAGGCCTCTATAGTTTTGTCACAAATGCTTGTATCCATTTATTTTAAATTTTAATTGAAAAAATCGTTAAAACGAAAGAAATAATTTTGTACTCACGCTGGTCACTCTTGGCGCTAATAAGCTCGACAAGCAATGATCTGCCACGGATATCAGCGATGTCATCTAGACCTCTGGACCAAGTTATGCCCTCCAGAAACTCTTCTTGGGCTGTTATGTATCCCTTTACTTTGATTTTCTGAATGGGTTCTTTCACTATGTTACCTTCCTGTTCAATATTAGACCGTGAAGTGGTGACCTTACATCGTCTTCTGAGGTTCGGACGAGGCAAGTTGTTTCGACGTCCGGTGGAAATCGGGTTGATGAGTGCTGATTGTTTAGGGAACAAAGAGCTGAGACTCTTTGCTACGCTCAAGGTTTGGAGACTCGACAAGGACTCTCTACAAAACATCTTTTTATCTCTTCTATCTGGCTTACAATTCCTCTACATCTCCACTTCATCTATTTATACAAGTTTGAAATTATTTTTGTTGATACAGCTGTAAGAAAATAATATATATATTTTATTAAAGAATTACACAACGTTTAAAAATAGGAATATGTTGCAAACTAGTACATTTATGAAACATAATAGACAAAGTAGTACGGGTACTATTCACAATTATCAAAATCCCCACCTTTCACTGTGCTACACTATTTGGCTGACTTTCACACCCTCACCAACCCATATTATTTACGATCATGCCATTACAATTAGATATTATTTGTTTCCTTTTTAATTTATTTTTTTTACTCTCTTCGCCGATCCCTCTTCGTCTCTTCTCATCTCTTCCTCAAACCCTCATTTTCAATGTTTGTTTGGATAATCAAAGAGTTGCAATTCTGGGCTCATAAATTAATTTTTATCTCTCTCATACACACTTGTTTTTTATTATGATTCTTTTACGAAATTTTCTTTGATTATCCAAACAGAGCATGTAAAAGTTCTTCACTTGCTCCGTAACAATGGCGACTTTTTGGCCACCTTCTTCATCTTCAAACTACCCTTCAATATTCCTTTATTTACAATCATACCCTTTTCTCTTCTTCCTCCTCTTTCTGACCACCTCTGCAACTTCACTCACCCTTGCATCCTTAGTGAATCCTCACTCTTACATATCCCCACGAGTCCCTTATTCCGATCACTGCAACCACATAGTTCCAGAGTCTCCGATCGACCCATCTCCCTCCGCCGTATTCAGCCGTGCGTCGCTTGCTTTCGATTTCAGCTTCTTCTCCGGCGGCGACTCTTTCTTCAATCGGTATCAATCACAGAATGGTGATGTTAAATCAGCTAGATTCAGACCCATGTCAATCCGCAAAACGTTGGGTGATGGGAAGATTTACAAGGTTGAAGACAAATTGACTTTACAAATCTCAAAAACCTCAGCTTTTTCTTCTTATTACGGCGGCGATTTTGGCAAGAAAAAGCTTCAGGTAACGCATATCGACGGACGTAGCTCTTGGGGAGGAGCAAGTTTCGATTTTTCTGGGTTTTGGTCGGAATCTACAGGACAAGTTTGTATGGTTGGATCAACTCAAGTTTTATCTGTGGAAGGTACTGATTTGAAGTCCTTTGATGCTCGTCTTATGCTTAATTATTCCAATGAGTCTAATATCTATGGAAGTTTGGTTAAGGGAGTGTTAGAGAGCGTGAATAGCCAGAGTGAGTTTAAAACGATCTCGATTCTTGGTGCAAGAAACACTCCTTTGAACTATGAGTACAAGTTTTTGGAGCAATCGAAATCAGATTGCGAGGTAAACAGTGGAGAGAGTTTGTCGTTAGAGAATGTTTTTGGAGGAATGTGTAAGGTTTTTGAAGGTAATAGTCATGTGTTTGGTTTGATGTATAGAACTGGTTGTGGGATTAACCATAGTTATAGTCCTTTTGGAAGTGATGTAGAGTACACACCGGGTTTTATGTCGATGTTATCGTTTCTTTGTGACGGGGATTTGTCATTTAGTAACATAAGTAGTTATAGCAGGTTGTTTCCATTTGATCCGAGAACCAGTTTGGTTGTAGAGGGAACTTGGGATGTGGAGAGGAATAGGTTCTGTGGTGTTGCGTGCAGGATCTTGAATTTCTCGGATTCTTTGAGTAATGCTGTGGTTGTTAACTATTTGTATATGTATATTAGTGTATAGATCAAACTCTTTGTACAGTTGTTTGAATGTATAGTTGTTAACAATCTGTACAGATATTCTGATGTACAAATACTAATCTGTACAGTTGTTACAGTGAACGGTTGTTAACTATCTGTATATGTATATTAGTGTACAGATCAAACTCTCTGTACAGTTGTTAACTATCTGTACAGATATTCTAATGTACGGATACTAATCTGTACAGTTGTTACAGTGAACGATTGTTAGATATCTGTACATATCAAACTCTTTGTATAGTTGTTTGAATGTATAGTTCTTAACTATCTGTACATATATTCTAATGTACGAATACTAATCTGTACAGTTCTTACAGTGAACGGTTGTTAACTATCTGTATATGTATATTAGTGTACTAATCAAACTCTCTAAAGACCAAACTCACTATATAGTTTCTCCAACAATTGTTTGATGTGATTTGTAACATTCATTTACTCTTGTATATTCATAAAAGTGGATGCATATTTTTATACAGTATTTAAGTTTATTTTGACTTAAAAAAAGAGCAATAAGCTAGCAGATATTTTGGCATATTCTAAATCTTCTAAAATATTCTAAAATGATACCGTAGATCATTTTGGGCATATTCAATACCCAAATGATGGATATGTGGACAATTTGATATGTATGATATATCTGCCGGACAGATAGTTTGATCTGTACGATATATTTGCCGGACGGATAGTTTGATCTGTACAATATATTTACCGGACGGGTAGTCGATATGTACGGTACATTTGGCGGACGAATGTCGATCTGTACGGTACATTTGGCGGACGGATGTCGATCTGTACGGTATATTTGGCGGACAGATAGTCGATCTGTACGGTATATTTGGCGGACGGATAGTCGATCTGTACGGTATATTTGGCGGACGGATGTCGATCTGTACGGTATATTTGGCGGACAGATAGTCGATCTGTACGGTATATTTGGCGGATGGATAGTCGATCTGTACGGTACATTTGGCGGATAGTTAGTTTGATTTGTACGATGTATATGATGGAGGGATAGTTTGATTTGTACAATATAGTTAAGGAGAGCAAGATACAAGAAGAGCGTCTCCAAGTAGTTGTTGCTCTTTGTTGCTATAACTGAAACTATCTAATAATGATTACACGGTTAAGAGACTAGAAGGCAAAACTTACAGCATTGATAATGTAGCTCAATCCTTTCTAGACTTTGCCTCCGCTTTTTTTGTTTTGTGATCTCTGCATATTACCAACATAATTAATTGAGAAGAAACAAAAAGAAATGCAAGACTTGTTCTAAGAAAATAGGATATTCAACCACATAATAATAGTACAATGGTGTATATATGTACAGTGGTCTACATCTGTACAGTGGTTTACATCTGTACAGTGGTCTACATTTGTACAGTGGTTTATATCTGTACAGTGGTCTACATCTGTACAGTGGTCTACATCTGTACAGTGGTCTGTAATATAAATTTAAAAATCATCAAACAAAATGCATATCAAATGATAGAGAAAAAAACATAGATTTTTATGTATATGATCTATTTTACAAAAATAAAATTTACGAACGAGCATTTTAATTATTAAACTTTGAAAGAATGTAATGTAATAAAGAAAGAAAAAAAAATATTTTTAAAAAGCCTGACCCACGTCTCTCTCTTTCTCACACCCACGTTTCTTTTTTTTTTTTTCTGAGAGACAAAGAAAAGCCTTTTTTGGTCTTTTCTAAAACCCACTAATATTTCTATCTCACAATTATATATCTCACAAACCGGTCCCACCGTACTACTTTTACAATTGTGAATAGTAACCGTACTAATTCTACAATTATGTTTTAGAAACGTACTAGTTTCCAAACAAACCCTTAAAAATATCCGAGAGTTACGCATTACAATAATTTCAATGAGAATGGTACTCTCTAAGACGTTAATGTTCACGAGTGACATCTCTTCTTATGTGTTTGTGGACAATTCATTATCTTTTTGTCCTTACCCGATACATGCATGTGACGCATAGGAGGACCACTGTACCTAAAAAAGATTGGCTAACAAATACATAGCAACACGCCATAGCCAAGAATGCAGCCTCTTTTCCATCTTTATGAATTTGCTATTATATAAAACCTAACTAATTTTGGAGGACCATTTATTTCCAAAAAAATCAAATAATAAATTGTGTCTTCTATTTCTAGCTGGTTACGAACAAATCTTCAATTCGCACATGCCTATAACGTGATGAAATGGTATGTGCGTACACATACCTAAAACCTAATATCTCTTATTGAACAAACACTTTTGAGCTATCTTGTTTTTGTTTCCGTCGCTATTTTTTTATTTTTAAGAAAACTCAATCAATGATCTTCTCGAGAAAAGTGGCAAAGATACTATTAGAAGTGAAGATCATTTCCTTTCACGCCAAAATAACATAGATATTACCAGTTATATTGTTACTTGCAGAATGGTGATTAAGTATTTATTAATCACCGTGTTTTGCAGTGTTGATATAGAAATGTTGGTAATTATCTCCAATCTGCATAATGTTCACAATATATGAGAATCCAAGATAACTAACAAATGCAAGTATGGGTAGTTGAAGTATTCATTTTATAAAAGAGATAGAATTAGAAGAGAAGATAAGAAAATTTAGAACGTGAATGAGACATGCAAATGATGTATTTGACCAATACAATTTATCTTATAAAAAATATATTATCTTGATCAATTACGAGTGGTCTTAAAAAAAAAAAAAAAAAAAAAAGGAAGAAGCAAAGGATATTACGTTATCATATTTGTTGTTTTCTAGAGAAATGAGTACGAAAGGAAGCACGTTTTTGTTATTGTTGGGCAATTCAAACTAATACTGTACCTTCGAGCAATTTGACACCATACGTGTCTTTCTCAATCTCATGAGGTCGCAAAATTCCTAGTAGTGACATATTACTTTGTACTTACATACACTCATTTATTGTAGTGGTCCATCTGATCAGTTGCTTAATCATGTTCTTCTGATTGTTCATAATCAAAATGGCATACCATTTACGGTTGAATTAAGTAAGACATATATATTTTGAAATAAAAGAGTTTTTGACATTTAATTTGGTTTTGCTTTTCAAAAACTTGTTGAATCACGCCATTCAAATTTTTTTAAGAACTTTGTTGCCTAGGATTTATAATTTTTTGTTTTAGTTACTCATTCAAGTACTTAGATTTTTAGAAAATAGGGAACTTCGTCAACGTTGTTTTCTCTCCAAACTAAAACTTTGTATATTTGGATTTTCGGAAAGTAAAAAAAAACTTCTATAGCAAAATTAAAACTAAAATCTAAAAACTAAATCTCAAAAAGAAAGTCCAAAAACTAAATTAAAACAGGGACCATTCATGGCCATTGTTTGGAGTTTATACTAAGATGCTCGATTCTCCCATGGATTGGCCGGATTTCTCAAATGAGTTAGATGAAGTTGATGAATTTGTTAAACAATTAAGTAATGTTTCAAGTTCTTTTCATTACTTGTTCTGATTGTCTTGCCATATGAAAAAGAGCTCGAGGGTCACTTTTTCCCACCTAAATTTGGTGTCAAAATGGCTACCTATTCACACTTGATCATATTTATAAAATATGGAGAATTTGATGTAAGAAAAAAAAAACAGTAACGTTTATAATAATTGAGAAACATTGTGAGTATCTAACGTCTTGTCACCAGTTTTATCAACAAAAAAAAAAAAAAAAGTCTTGTCACCAAGGTTATTTGTTAATTCCGATGACACTGTTCATTCCGAGGTTGATGTACGATTCATCATAAGATAATGTAAAATATTTTGTTATTTGTGTGGATAACTATTTTATCTACGTGATAAATAATATAATATCCTGCGAAATTCACATATTATGTGCTATATGTATGGTTATCATTTAAACGAGTTATATATCATATCTTACCAAATAATATAAAATATTAATTTAAAATTGTCAATTAATACTTTTTGAAAAATTCTCTTAAATAATTAACATGGTAAGAATATCATAAACATATTATATATTACCTATAATGATAATGATAACAATAATAATAAATCACTACACATACTTGTAGCGTGCTAAGATATTAAATACATCGATAATATTTATATTAACGTGTTAAGTCATGAAATACATCAAATAATGTTTGTATTAACGTGTTAAGAAAGTAAACAGTATTATATATTGATAAATTAGAATATTGACAAGATATCTACCAAATAAAATATGTTAAAGTTTAAATAATTATTTTCTTTATTTAATACGGTAAAATCAATTATATATCGATAAATTAATATTTAGCATACCACAAAATATATAACCATGTTTTATAAAATATTAACGATTTTGTCACCGACATTAATCTTGAAAGTTGAAAGACAAGAAGTAAAGAAAAATGATAATGAGAAGGGGTATAGAGTAAATTCATATACCAAGACCCTGTAGAAAAAGTTGTCAAAACTCTCACTTAATTTTTCATTCGTCTGTGGTCATGCATTTATAATATCCTTATTGAAGGGTGGGTCACCTTTTTAAAGCTCTGTGTTCCTAGGATTTATGAATATATATTATTATTTTAGTTACTCATTCTAATTTTTAGATTTTTAGTTTTCTAATATAATAGGGGTTTTTTTTCATCAACGTTGTTTCTTTCCAATCTAAAATCTTTTATATATGGATCTTCTTTAAAAATTCTATAGCAGAACTAAAACTGAAAACTAAAACAAAATCCAAAATTTTGATGTAAGAAAAAATTGTGATTTGTGAGTATCTAACGTGTTCACACCAAAATGAGTATCAGTTCCTTTTGGAGAATCAACATATAGTACCAATGCATCAACTATTATTACATTGGCTCCATCTCCTCTCTTGTCTTCTTTCTTCTGTAATTTCCAACAATTCTTTTTAATATGGCGGCATTTCTTGCCATAGTTCCAGCGCTCTACAGGCTGCATGGTCTTATATTGACCTTGTCCATTATTTAACTTTTTTCTACCCTAATTCCGGTTTGCTTTGTCTTGACTTTTGCCTCTGTTCTCAACGTTTAAAGTAGATATCATCAAAGCTTCTCTTGTATCTATCCTTTTAACTTTTTCACCAAGGATTCAATCTCAAACATCAATGAATTTAAGCATCTCAATACCAGCATAATTACTAACCGATGTCCTGATAGGCTCTCTATTATTCGGTAGAGATGCTAGCAAAATAAAAGTATGCACCTCATCATCAAACTCGATTTTAACCGATGAGAGTTGGTTGAAAATCGTGTTGAACTCATTCACGTGCGCTACAGCAGGATTACAATCTTTTATCTTCAATTGGAGAGTTTCTTCATGAGAAATATCTTCTTTTTGGGAAAATGTTTCTCATACATATCCGAAAGAACTTTTATCAACCCCTCTTTAAACTTCTCTTTTACGATGTTTTGTGCGACATTCTTTAGTAGTGTTAACCATAACACCTAGAATTTGTCTATCAAAAAGATTCCATTCATTCTGATTCATCGTCTCAGGTCTCTTCTTCAACGGTTGATGAAGGTTTTTACCATTAAAATAATCTTCGATCTGCATCTTCCAGAACGAATAATCTGTACCATCAAACTTGCTGAGTACTGAACCATCTTCGCTTCCCATTGTTTCTTGAGCTACAACACAAACTTTGTACTCTAATACCAGTAGTTAAGAATTACTGATCTAATTCCTCCTCAAGAACACAAATTAAAGTAAAAACTAAAGTGCATATATATATACAAGTTGTTCACTCTTAAAGTGAGTGTTACGTCCACTTTCTGCCCCTATAGATTTCACTGAGATCAAAGAACTTCGAGAGCTACAAATTCTCTCAATCTCTCGCTCTACCGCTCTCTATCTTCCATATTGAAGAGAACCGACTATAAAGAATACATATAAAGAAAAAACCTAGGGCAAACATGAACCAAAAGTATCTAAAGTACCCTTATTTAAACGTTCTCAAACATGTGTTCACATACCAACCATACGTTCACAATATCAATCATACGTTTACAGAATAGAACATACGTTCACGGTATCAACCATGCATTCACAAAATAAAACATATGTTCAATTCATTGAGATGCTCCATTCCATACATCCTTTTTATTGAGAATTGTCTCCACAATTCAACAAGTATCTGACTCTGATCGGACCTCTCTCTTCCTCCTTGGCGGATTTCTAGATTTTGTTGTGTTTTTCTCTTTATTCTTTGTAATTTCATTGGTTTCTCTAGAGATCTGAAGTTTTTAATCAAATTTTTTTTTTTTTTTTTTTTTGAATGAATGTTAAATTTATTCAACCAAAAAAGTCTTTTGTACAATGAATGCAACCTTAAATCGAATATTGTTTTGAAAGAATTCTAAGTATAAAACTAAGAACACTAGGTCCTAGATTCAAACCATAAGCGGAGTCCATCTTCGAGTTTGCGAGGATCCAAGAGACGGATTGAAGAGATTCTGTTGCGAATTATGCGATCAATAAACTTGATTATTTGGTCTGCAGCACTTGGTGATTCTCCATGTCTACGTTTGTTTCTTTCCAACCAAAGTGTATGAACAGTTGCTTGGAAAAGAATGCGTATAATGAAGCCAAGGGTACCTTTGATCGATGAATCTGATAGGAGAGATATGATCCCGGAGAAACTGTTGGTGAACCTTCTTTGAAGAAGTCGACTTGCCAGCCCCTCCCAGATCCGTGAAGAGAAAGCACATGAAAAGAAAATGTGCTCCTGAGTCTCCATCGGTGCTTGACAAAAAACACATGATGGGTTCACTTCCATATTCCAAGAGACCATACACTCACCAGTGGACAATCTGTTTTTTACCGCAAGCCATGTCAGGAAAGAGTGTTTCGGGATAGAATCCGAGAACCAAACACTCTTAACCCAACTTATTTTTTGACCTGCAGTTCGAATTTGTTGCCATGTTTCTGAGGTGGTAAACCGAGCTTTGAACTTATTATCTGGTCTCCTCCACAAGGATACGTCCGGTTCAGAACAATGTCCCCTGTTTCGAATTCGTTCAAGTTCCAGCTCTACCCGATTTAGAAAGTCCACACGATGATGCCTTGTTCTGTGATTTTGAAGAGCTGCAGCCACTGTTACTTCCGAGGAGATCCCAAAATCGATGAAACCTCTATCACCAAGAGTATCATGTAACCGACCTAGAGGGCACCAATGATCATACCAAAATGATGTTTGGAGCCCACTTTTTATCTCCATTGAGTGAAACTCCTTCGCCTGCGCTCTGTACTTAAGCAACTTCCTCCACATCCATGAACCCAAGGAAGTGGTGTCTTTGACGGACCAGAAGGAGCTAGACCGAATAAGCTCTCTTTGTATCCAGTTTACCCAAAGTGATTTTGAACCTGAAACGATCCGCCATATGAGCTTAAAACAACTGACCTTATTCATCTCAACAACAGATTTTAGCCCCAAACCACCTTCATCCTTTGGCTTACAAACATCCTTCCACATAACCTTATTTTTACGAGAGTTAAGAGACGGACCAGACCACAAAAATGCAGCACAAATTTTTTCGAGCTCTTTGACACAAGCAGAAGGCAATCGGAATGCAGCGATCCAGAAGTTTGTTAGACTTGCGATCACTGAGCGTAATAACTGCAATCTCCCCGCAAACGACAAAAATTTATTCTTCCATGAGTTGATACGTGCTCTGATTTTTTCAAGTAACGGAAGACAGTCAGAAAGTGTCATCCTCTTAGTCATCAGAGGCAGTCCCAAGTAGCGAACTGGTAAAGCTCCTGAATCAAAAGGAAAACGAGCTAGTATGTCCTCTCTGTTAGTCCCAGAAATACCGGCCAAAAACAGAGTTGATTTCTCCAGACTTATACTCAAACCTGAGATTTTTTGAAACTCCTTGAACACTGCAAGAATTCCTTCCATGGAAGCTGCTTTTCCATCTGTAAAAACCATTATATCGTCCGCAAAACAAAGATGTGTAAGTTTCATGTTTTTGCAGCGAGGATGAAATCCTAACGTCTTAGCCACCGCAGCTTTGTCAAGTAGAGATGATAAGACATTCATACATATGACAAAGAGATATGGAGAGAGAGAGCAGCCCTGCCTTAACCCTCTTCCGCTATTGAAAAAACCAGTCAACTCACCATTAATTTGAACCGAAAAAGAAGCCGTTGATATACATAGGTGAATCCAATGAATAAATATGTCCGGGAAATCCATCGCAGCAAGCACATTCAACAAGAAAGACCATTGTACTGAATCAAACGCCTTCGAAATGTCTATCTTCATCGCACAACGAGGAGAGACTCCTACCTTATGATAGTCTTTCACCAACTCTGTGGCAAGGAGTAAATTTTCCATCAAGAGTCTATCTTCAATAAACGCAGACTGGTTAGGAGCAATGAAATTGGGGAGGATTGACTTCAACCTATTTGCCAAAATTTTTGAGATGGCCTTATACACCACATTGCAGCATGAAATTGGCCTATAGTCTTTCATCACTCTTGCGTCGATCGTCTTAGGAATAAGTGCTAGGATCGTAGCATTCACTCCTTTAGGTAAGAATCCAAACTTGAAAAAAGATTGAATCGCAATTGTAAAGTCACTGCCAACAATCGTCCAGGCTGCCTTGAAAAACTCCACAGTGTAACCATCAGGTCCCGGTGATTTGTTTGTAGGCATAGAGAATAACACCCTCTTCACTTCATCCTCTGTGACTTCCCCTAGCAACTTCTCTCTCTGTTCAAGAGAGCAACGAAAAGGAAGCAGCTCCCGAAGAGCATCAATCTCCATACCAATAAAATCCGAGGGCATGTGTGTCAATAATTCCGAGAAAAAACGGACACCTTCTGCCTTTATATCCTCCATATGATTTAGACAATTGCCATTTGGATCAGAAATCTCATGAATAGAGTTTTGAGCATTTCTTTCCTTTATAGCATTGTAGAACGTCTTGTTGTTCTTATCCCCTACATTTAACCAATGCAATTTAGATTTTTGTTTAAGAAAACCCTCCTCTAGACCCGCTAGTTTCTCCCATCTTTCCACAGCAGAGGACTCGGCGGCAACTTCTAACGGTGATGGGTTTGATAGGGTGCTCAACTGCCGCACACGTAGCTCTTCAAAAGCTTCTGCAGTTTTTTGTGAAATGTCTGACAGAGTGTTACGACTTAGATCCCGTAGAATTGGTTTGAGAAACTTTAGTTTCTTTGAGAAGCGAAACAATGCTGAAGTAGAATGAAACAAAGCTTGAGAATCTCTCCAATAATCCTCCACTTGAACAAGAAACTCCGGTTGAGACGCAATTACATTTGAGAACCGGAATGGCCCTTTCGGTTTCTGAATTCCGGAATCCAAGAAAAACTTACCCCGGAGATGGTCCGAACACCCCCCAGCCTCCATTACACAATAAGCATGTGGAAACTCTCTAAGCCATGTATCGTTGTGTAGCACTCTGTCAAGCTTCTTACAAATGATTCCATTCTCTTGTCTATTGGACCAAGTAAAGATAGGACCGTGAGTTCTCATGTTTAAAAAAGAGCAGTACCGTACAACTTCTTGAAAATCCCTCATCCCCGACGAAACCATGGGGTTAATAGCAGAATTTGAATGCTCCTCAATGTCTAACGTCTCATTAAAATCCAAAAAATAAATCCAAACTAAATAAAAACAATGGATCTGATCCAATTTTAGATTTTTAGATCAGCTTTGGATCTGTGTACGTGTTGGTACGTGGTTGGTCGAGATTTAGTATTACGTCTGATATTTTTTTTCTCCGTGTTTTCTCTTTCGCCAAACCACGGAGATATCAATGAAATCGAAAGCAAACTGCGGAGAACTACTGACATCGGAGTCCTCGATCCGCCGGCATCATCATCTCCACGGATGCATAGCACGATCGGCGCCTTTGATTCAGCAAATCGGTGTGTTTCATGTGTTCCTCATGCGTTTTTCAAGTTAACTAATGTGTAGGAATGATTTTGTGTGAATGAGTTCTCTTCCTGCTATGAATCTCGTTGCATGACTAAATTGAGTGGCTGTAATACTAAAAATCTAGACTTTATTTAGGTTGAGTATGATTTCAATGTCTAAAGCCCTTATTCTCTTAAACTAGATCCCTTTTATGTGTAGGAAACTTATTGATTTCACGGGCAGAGGAGTTGAAAAACCAGGCTAACGAAGCTTTTAAAGGTGTGTAATTTTATCGAAAACATTAACGAAATCTTGTGGAATCAGTTTATTTCAACTCTTTTAGTGAGGTACTCTATCTATTTGCTTTAAATTAAGAACAGCTTGCTCTTTTTTTGTTTGTAGCCATAATTGCTTGTTAATTCATGTGTAGACAGGCTCTTCTGAATAAGGTAATCACCCAAGAAGGTCTTCCACTTCCATTTTGATTTTGATTTTGATTGTTCTTGTCTTTTGTTTACTAGTATTTCTTTAGTGAAAAATTGTTGGGTTTTAAGTGCAGATTTGGAGTTTAATGGCCGAATTGACGAACCCCATGTCAAGAGAAGGTCAAGGACCTTGTTTGGGATCCTATGGTTAGTTCTTATGGCCCTGATGAAGGTCTTCCGGAGTTAAGACAGACTCTTCTGAATAAGGTAATCACCTAAAATTGAATCACCGGATTTCACAT